GCATGGGTGAGGTTCAGGTTGTAAGCCCAGTCACCTGCAGCCGCGTCCACGCATGCGTGAGTGGGAGCCGTGGCTCCTGGAAGGCGGCTCTCGTTCAAGCTCAGCTCAGGAGCTGGCTGACACTGTCAGGAGTGGGAACAGCACTGAAATCTGACCATGGGCACGGGTTCGCCTCCCTGGGCGCCAGCCCTTCCCAACACTAAGGGAATGAGGTCCTGCTCCTCGGCGGGCCCTGCACTCCACTGGAAGCCCCCTGAGTTCCGACTTCCTGGCTCCTCTGGCCACATGGGGGACCCTGTACCTTGATCTCACACCCAACCCCTCAGCAAAGACCTGTTGATTCAGCCTTCAAAATCCACCCATAAGCCCAGCGCTGGAGGCTCACGTCTGTAATCCTAGCCACTCAGGAGGCTGAGATCTGAGGATCAGATGAGTGTTCAAAGCCAACCCAGGCATGGAAGGCCATGAGACTCTTATCTCTAACTACCAAAAAGCTGGAAGTGGAGCTATGGCTCAAGTGGCTCAAAGCGCCAGCCTTGAGGCATAGAGCTCAGGGACAGCACCCAGGACTTGAGTTCAAGGCTTAGTACTGATAAACACACACACACAATTCACCATGAGCCTTCATCCCTGTAGTCCGCCCAGGGATGGCCTGCTCCAGACCACGCCATGGCTCTGTCTACAGTGAACTTGACACCTTGGCAGAGACTTCTGTATTCTATGTATGCCAATTAAAGTATTCCTTTATCCATTCATGACACAGATGAGCACATGCTCTTTGTGGTAGATGGGAGCCTTGGGGGCAGAAGCTGTTCCTGGCATGATGCCACCCCAGCCTCGCAAGAAGAAAGCCGACCTGCAGAGAGGGCCGGGCAGTGCCCCGTGAGAGTCAGATCCAGGGCTCAGTGGCTTACAGTCCTGTCAGGATGGCTCAACCCACGGCCCTCGGTCGCAGTGGGGCACTGCCCAGGGGGTGTGCTCTGCAGGAAATGTCAGTGTGGGGTGTGTGTGGTTTACAATGATGTGGGCATCATAGGAAGGTGTGTGTACCCTGAAGCTGGAGTTGTGGGTTTCTTTTCTCCTCTGCCCTCCCCTGCCCCCCCTCCCCTCTCCTCTCCTGTTTGTTTCTTTCTTTCTCCTTTGTGTCTCTTTCTTTCCTTTTTTTGTGTGTGCTATCACTAAGGCATGAACTCAAGGTCTCTTGCTCTTGCTTAGCTTTTCTGCTCAAGCCCGGTGCCCTACCACTTGAGCCACAGCTCCAGTTCCAGTGTTTTTGCTATTACATGGAGGTAAGAATCTCTTGGATTTATCTGCCCAAGCTGTTTTGAAGCTCGATCCTCAGATCTCAGCCTCCTGAATAGCTGGGATCACAGGGAAGAGCCACAGGCCCTGGCAGAGGGGCTATGGGTTCCTTGCTCGGCTTCTGGTCTGCCTGAGTGTTTTCAGTGATGGATCTCAAAGCTTCCAGGGCACCTGGGAGGACCTCCACCATGACAGCATTCCTCACCACGTCGCTGACTTCTAAAGAAAGACTTTTTTTTTTAATAGAAACTTACGGGGTCAGGCCTCTGTGGTACTTGAAGAAACATTCCAGGGTCAGGAATTTCCCCCAGTCAGAGGAGGCCCGAGAGGGGCTGAACGCCGCTTAACCTTTCCCAGCCTTTGACTTCCTGCTCTCCGGGCAGTGCAGGCTCGTTCCATGCAGGCCAGGGTTCAGACAGGAGATCTGATGTCTCCAGTCAGGTGGACGGCTCAAAACCTCAGAAGGTGCCTAATCTAAGAGCGAAAACATGTTTTAAAAACCAAAGCATGTGTGGGATTGATTACACAGCGGCTTGGCTATGGCAGGAAGCAGCAGGGAGCATCCTTTGTTTGAGGTGCTGGGGATGGAACCCAGGCCTCCATCTTGCTAGGCCAGTGTTCTGTCAGGAGCCACAGCCCAGCCTGAGGTCCTGACACCGGGCTGCCCCCCCATCCCCCTCCAGTCCTGACACCGGCCTGGCCCCCCCGCCCCCCCCCCCCCCAGCACACTGGCCACAGACAGTCATGTCTCCTGGATGTCTGTCTCTTGAGGACATGCCAAGCAGGTCCGCCGGCTTTGAAGGGAGTCCTGTTTAGGAAGCCAAGCTTTTGGTTTTTTTTGAGCTCTTAAAGTTAACACTTCTCCGCCAGCATTCTCTTCATATTTGGGCAAAAGGAGAGATGGGAGGACTTTTTGTTTGTTTTTCTCATAAGAAATAGCAAAAGCCAGCAGGTTTCTGGACCTCGTCTCTCTCACGAGTGATTCTAGTCTGAGGCTAGAGTCCTGATTGCCCGGCTCACCTCTGATAAGGCTCGGGCTTGCAAACGTCATAAAACAAGAAATGTAAGTTCATTAAAATTCTTGGAGGAAAACCCCACCTCTGTTCAGGAGCTCATATTTTGGGGGCATTTTCTGGGCCCAAGATAAACATCTCATCCTCTACTCTGTACATCAGAGCTGCCCAGGGATCAAACCTGGGCCCTGTTTTACAGAGGGGAAACTGAGGACCAGAGAGCCCAGAATTCTCCTTCTGACTTTTTTTTTGGGGGGTCCAGTCGTGGGGCCTGAACTCTGGGCCTGGGCGCTGTCCCTCAGCGCTCTACCACTTGAGCCACAGCACCACTTTCGGCTTTTTTCTTTTTGCTTATGTGGTGCTGAGGAATGGAACCCAGGGCCTCAGGCATGCAAGGCAAGTGCTCTACCACTGAGCCACCCTCCCAGCCCTCCTCCTGATTTTTTTTAAGTTTTGGGTTGTAGGGTTTGAACTCAGTCCTGGCGCTATCCCTAAGCTTCTTTAGCTCAAGGCTAGCAACTCTACCACTCTGGGCCACAGCTCCACTTCTGGTTTTCTGCAGATAAGGGTCTCTCATTGACTTTCCTTCCAGGGCTGGCTTCGAACCATGATCCTCAGAGTAGCTAGGATCCTCCTGAGTAGCTAGGATTACAGGCATGAGCCACTGGCGCCCAGCTCCTAACTTTTTTTTTTTTTTAATAGTGCTGGCAGAGCCTCTTGAATGCTAATCAAGCGCTCTAGTCCTGAGTTTCACACTTAGCCCCAATAAGTCTTAGAAGTTACATGTGTGCCAGGTGTAGCCGCTTGTGCTACAGTTGTAGCTACTCGTGGGGATGAATACTTCCTTACTTCCTTACGTTCTGGCTCCTTTGGATTTGTCCTATCAGCTCCTCTACAGGACCCTGGGGTCAAGGTTACCCATGCTCTTTGCAACTGTGTGTGGATGTGGTGGAGAGGAGCAAATATTGGCCCTTTTTGTGGTGAAAGGTGTAAAAAAAAAAAAAGTTATTTTTTTCCATATGAAATTAATTAAGCAAAAGCTCCAAATCTCCCTTGTTCTACAGTGAGAACCTGGGTCTCAACACCCTCCGGCCACCGCACACCAGTTACTCAGAACTGCTGCCATCCCCACTGCCGCCAGTCAGCTTGGGGGGGTTGGGGTCTGATGCCAGGGAGTCAGGCAAACACCATTCTGTTCCCTGGGGTAGTTATTTTTATTATTATTTCCTGCAAGTGGCTATGTCAGCCATACCAGATTTGTTGGGTTTCCCTTTTAGTTTTTGCCCATCTTCATTGACTTATTTCTGTCTTACATGTCAAAAGGATTTAAGGTGTGTCTGAAGATGTGCACAGATCCTGATGCTGGGAAGAGCTACTGAGGATCATCTAGGTCAGCTGAGCACTGAGTCACGTGTGTGTGTGTGTGTGTGTGTATAGAACTCAGGGTCTCCTTCCTACTGGATGAGCATGTGTGTGCATGTGTGTGTGCATGCATGCATGTGTATATAGAGAACTCAGGGTCTCCTTCCTACTAGATGAGCATGTGTGTGCATGTGTGTGCGCGTGTGTGCGTGTGTGCATGTGTGTGTGCATGCATGTGTGTATATAGAACTCTTCCTACTGGATGAGCATGTGTGTGTGCATGTGTACATGTATGTGTGTGCGTGTGTGTGTGCATGTGTGCGTGTGGGTGGCTGGAACTCAGGGTCTCCTTCCTGCTGGACCGCCGTCCGCCCTGGACCGCGCCCCCCCCCCCCCGCGCCTCCCTCAGCCCCCCCCTCTGGCCCCCCTTCCCCCCCTCTTTCCCCCCTCTGCCCCCCCCTCCGCGCTCTGAGGCCTCGTCCACCCCTGCGAGGCCGGCCGGGCCGGGTCACAGGGCCCCGGGGCTCCCGGGGGCCCTGCGGCCTGGGGAGCGCCCCCTCCCCGCACCCCGGCCAGCGCGGGGTCGCCGGGCCCCGGCCCTGCCCGCGCTCAGTGGGCACGCCACCGCCCCCTGCTGTTCCGAGTGGGAACCGTCTCCTCAAGCCGCGCTCAGCCCAGAAGGCGCCTGCGCAGTGGGCGCCGAGGCGGGCGCGGGGAGAACGGGGCGGGACTTGCGGCCGGGCACACGGAGCAGGGGGCGGGGCCTGGGCCCGAGTGGCATGCAAATAGCCCGCGAGAAGGCCGACGATTGGCCGGCGCGGGTAAGGGGCGGGGCCCGCCGAGGGCCCCGGGTGGGCAGGTGCCGGGAGCTGGCTCGGGCCGGGCCAGACCGCGCTCCCGCGGACGGTCCCGGGAGATGCCGCTGCTCTGGGCCCTGCTGGCGCTCGGCTGCCTGCGGTGCAGTTCCAGTAAGAGGGGGCGGAGGCCGGGGTGCCCAGCCGAGCCGCCTGGAGCGGCCCCCGGGAGGCCTCAGCGGAGCCTGACCGGCCACGGCACCGCTGGCCACCCCCGCACCCCGGTTGCTGGGATTGTGGTTACTTTTCATGTCCCGTGCCGGCCCTGGGGCTTGAACTCAGGCCTGGGCGCCGCCCCGGAGCTCTTTCGCTCAAGGCTGGTGCTCCACCATTTGGGCCACAGCGCCACTTCTGGCTTTTTGGGTGGTTCGTTGGAGATCCGAATCTCACGGGCGTTCCCGCCCGGCTGCTCTGGACGGTGGTCCTCAGCGCGCAGCCTCCCGAGGGGCTAGGATGACAGGCGTGAGCCCTGCGCCTGGCTCAGATACGGTCAGACCAGCGGTAGCCAACACTTATGAGCTTCCTCTGGTGGGAATGGGGTGGCGAGAAGAAGGCCTGTGTCTAACGATGTGTATTGTGGGGTGCGCGAGTGCACGTGTGCGTGATAACGTGTGTGTATCGGGGTGCCATGGGTCAGCTCCCCCCCTCCCCTCAGCTGTGCACCTCCAGCCTCAACTGGCCAGTGTGACCTTCGCCACCAACAACCCTACCCTCACCACCGTGGCCTTGGAGAAGCCTCTGTGTGTGTTTGACAGCTTGGAGCCACTCACCGGGGACTATGAGGTCTACCTCTACGCCATGGCCGACTCAGGTAGGAACGCTTTCTTCTGGAATGGTCTGTGTCCACTGAGAGAGGCAGGCGGCAGGGAGAGGTGTGCTCTCTCCCTGTAGTGAGCTGAGCTCTGCCAACGGGGTGTGTGTGTGTGTGTGTGTGTGTGTGTGTGTGTGTGTGTGTGTGAAGGGGTCGCTGGGGTTCCAGACATCGGGCCTGGCATCCACGCTAGAGTGGGAAGTAACTGGCAATTGCCAAGCGCTGAGTACTCCGGGGGCCAGGGGCTGGGCACCCACAGGAAGCACACAGTAAGAATGCAAGCTGCGGGTGTGAGGGCAGGCGTGTGGAGGAATTCTCTAGTGCTCCCAGAGCTGGAGAACAAATCCAGGGCTCTAGAGTCCTCAGGCTCAAGTCCTTCCAGAAGCTTCCAAGATGGTTCAGGATTGGCTGAGGTGAAGCCAAGCATGGGGACCTGCCCCCTCTGGTCCCTCAGCCCTTCACTCGGAGGAAGTGGGGGTTCCAAGGGAAGGAACCCAAGGGCACCCTCTTCTGCTCATTTCTAATCCTTTATTCTTTCAGCAGACAATTGCCCACCTGTGCCCAAATCTGTCGCTTTTTCTGTCATTTCACAGAAAAGTAGTAGGATGAGTTGCCTGGTAGCACCCCACTAGTAAGGAAGAGACCCGGCATAGCTCCAGAGCCCAGAACAGGGCTGAGGCAGAGGGAAGGGCTTGGGGGTGTTTGCTGAGTGACTTTGTGAGTGCCCAGGATCCTGGCCCCCTGCTCTGCCTCCGGAGGCGCCCAGGATCCTCAGCCCCTGCTCTGCCTCCGCAGCCAGCTCCGGCAACGCCTCTGTGCAGGACGACACCAAGGTGCCACTGAGCTCCACGTTTCGGCAAACGCGGGGAGGGAGGACAGGCCCCTACAAAGCTGCGGCCTTTGACCTGACCCCGTGCAGTGACCTGCCCAGTCTGGATGCCATCGGGGATGTGACCCAGGCCTCAGAGATCCTCAGTGCCTATCTGGTCAGGGTGGGCGACAATGGGACCTGTCTGTGGGACCCCAACTTCCGGGGTCTCTGCAACCCACCGCTGTCAGCAGCCACGGCGTACAGGTGGGTGCGGCACGGGTGTGGAGGGAGCTGGCCTCAGCCTGGGCCCTGGAAGAGCCAGGGGGAGGGGCGACAGCCAGCTTCGGGGCTGGGACCATCCCACGTCTCGGGCAGGGCTGGTTTCCTAGGCAACAGTGGTGCCTGGAGCTTGAGCTCAAAGCAGCCCTGCAGTCAGCATCCTGAGATTCATGATTTTTGGGTCACACTGCTCCTCATAAAGGATGCACATCTGGAGAAGTCACACACCCTAACCCTCCAGATCTGTTCTTTCTTCAGAGATAAGGTCTCACTACACAGCAAGGCTAGCCTAGAGCTCCCTACGTGGCCTACGCTGGCCTCAAATTTCCTAGCTGAACGCCGGTGGCTCACGCCTGTAGTCCTGGCTACTTAGGAGGCTGAGATCTGAAGATCAAAGCCAGCTTGGGCAGGAAAGGCCAAGTGACTCTCCTATCTCAAATTAACCACCAAAAAAGCTGGAGGTGGAGATATGGCTCAAAGTGGTAGAGCCCTAGTCTTGAGTACTAAAAGCTAAAGGACAGACCCTAGTCCCTGAGTTCAAGTCTCAGGACCGACACTCACACAGTTCACACACACACACATACACACACACACACACACAGAGTTCCCATCCTCTTGCCTCAACCTCCTGAGTGCTGGGATCATACCATCACACCTGGTTTATATGTCAGTGTGTGTGTGTGTGTGTGTGTGTGTGTGTGTGTGTGTGTGTGTGTGTGGTGTGGAAACCCAAGACCAATGTATGCCCTTCCACTGAATTACTTCCCAACCCCCTAGGGTCTTTTTAAAATTTTAAGTCTTAGTAAACTATAAGTTATAGACAACTCAGTCTTCAAACTAACCTTTTTGTTTTTGTGCTAGTACTAGGTTTTATTAGCTCAGGGCCTCAGCGTATTACTTAGCATTTTCATTCAAAGCTAGCACTCTACCACTTGAGAGCCACACCTCCACTTCTGGCTTTTTGGCGGTTAATTAGAGATAAGAGTCTCTTGGAGCCGGGCGCTAGTGACTCATGCCTGCAATTCTAGCTACTCAGGAGACTAAGATCTGAGGATTGTAAGATCTGAGGATTGTGGTTCAAAGCCAGCCTAGGCAAGAAAGTCCGTGAGACTCTGAAGAGCTGAGGGACAGTGTCCAGGCCTGGAGTTCAAGCCCACGACCAGGAAAAAAAAAAAAAAAAAAAGAGTCTCTTGGATCTGTCTACTGAAGCGGCTTCAAGCCATGATTCCCGTCTCAGCCGCCTAAGATGAGCCATTGGCCCATCCGTCATTGTAAGCTGTTCTTGCAGGAGGTTTTAGGGGCTATGGCTGGTTTTCCTCTCTCACCTACTGCTTTCCTGTTGAACAACACTTGTTTGTTTGTTTTTTTGGTCAGTTGTGGGGCCTGAACTCTGGGCCTGGGCGCTGTCCTTCAGCTCTTCAGCTCAAGGCTAGCGCTCTACCACTTGAGCCACAGTGCCACTTCTGGCTTTTTCTGTTTATGTGGTGCTAAGGAATCAAACCCAGGGCCTCATGCATACAAGGCAAGCACTCTACCACTGAGCCACCTTCCCAGCCCCTGAACAACACTTGTTTGTAGATTCTTGCCCCTAATTGTAGCTTTGACCCAGGACAGTGGGGCTGGTGATGGCTATGGCTCCTTCGCGACCCCAGGGACCAGGCGTGCGTGGAATAGCAGAAGGCAGAGCTGCCATGACAGCCTGTGAGTCCACACCTAGAGGTGAGACACGTGTGTCCATAAGATGAGCAGGGGGCTCCCAGAAGGACCGCCTAGAACCGCTGCCCAACCGCGAGGCTTCCCAGAGGAGGCCCAGCCACGCTGGAGAAGGAGCCAGAGGGTAGTATGTGGCCACATCCAGCGTCCTTCTGCTGTCTGGAGGCCACTTAACAGCTGCCTCCTGGAGCTCCCCGTTCCTGACCCTCTGTGGTTCTTCTCCCCCTACTGCCTGATCAAGGTGGATGGATGGATGCATGAGTACATGGATGGATGGATTGGTAGATGGATGGATGAGTGGATGGTTGGATGGATGAATGGATGGATGGTTGGGTGGATGGATGGATGGGAGTCTTGTTCTGCCTTCTTCCAGGTTCAAGTATGTCCTGGTCAACATGTCCACAGGCTTGGTAGAGGACCAGACTCTGTGGTCGGATCCCATCTACACCAACCGGCGTAAGTGATAGCGGTGAGCTCACAGGAGCCCAGGGGACCCAGGCGGGCCGGGCCAGGCATAGACTAGCTGTCCTTGAGGTACGGCCACTGGCCCAGTGCGTACAACGCCTTTTGGAATAGCTTCATTGCCCAGTGCCGGTGGCTCATGCTGCCATCCCAGCTACTCAGCAGAGTGAGATCCGAGAAATCACAGGCAAAGCCAGCCTAGGCAAAAAAGTCCCTCAGACTTTCTATCTCTAACCACCACAAACCTAGAAGTGGAGCTGTGGCTCAAGTGGTAGAGTACCAGCCTTGAGCAAATAAAGGCAAGCAAAAGCAAGTGGCCCTGAGTATGGGCGTGCGTGCACACACACACACACGCACACACACACACACACACACACACACACACACACACGAGATTCACTCGAATTCTCCGCTCCTGCCTTCCTTCACTGGCCCTGGCTTTGCTTAACTGTTTACAATATGTAATCATCCATGTCGCAGAAGGCAGGAGCCGGTTTATACCTGAGCACTGCCAAAAAGGAAAGAGGCCTGAACACACAGGAGAGAGTCCGAGCGAACAAGCCTGAGGGGAGAGGAGCTGCGGGTTCCCTCCCGCGTCTTAGGCAGCCATCCCGGGAGGCGGCGGCAGCGCTGGCTGCGGGTAACCAGCCCGCGGTCCTCTGCAGCCAGCTCCTGTCTGGGCATCGACACGTGGCCAGGCCGGCGTAGCGGGGGTATGATCGTCATCACGTCCATCCTGGGCTCCCTGCCCTTCTTCCTGCTCGTGGGCTTTGCCGGTGCCATCATCCTCAGCTTCGTGTGAGTGCCCGCCAGCGGGCAGGGCCGGGTACAGGGCTGCGGGGACGGGCCAGACTGTAGGACAGACTCAGTGTCTGGGTCACTAGGCAGAGCAGGGGTGGGGGCAGGAGCCGGCCCCCCTCGGGGGTGGATCTGGAGAAAGGAAACTGAGTTGGGGGCCTGGGCCGTGTCCTTTCCCGGGCGGGCAGGGCTCAGCTCCCGCCCTGCGGGAAGATGGGCCTTTTGGACCTCAGCTCTTGGGGTGGGGATTCCGCTCGGTGGCAGAGCGCATACATCCCATGCAGAAGGCTCTGGGTTTGACCTGAAGCATTGCAACCAGAGGAGACACCTCCGTGCGACTTGGGACAGGGGACAGGGCGCCCAGCTGGTCCTCGGCTCCCGGTGCTGGAAAGCGGACAGTACACTAAACCTCACAGCGGCCACGGTCACGGGGAGCTTTCTCCATAAAGCCCTCAGCTCCATTTTCCAAGTCTTTCAATGCACCTAGTTGCAGTTCATGTAGGGAAACTGAGGCCGGTGCCAAGGTCACCGTCTGGAGTCAGAGCCCAGGGCTGGGGCTCAAACCTAGGTTTCCTGGCTCCATGGACCAGGAAAGATGGAGTGGAGCGCGGTGAGAAGGGGGATGGGGGGGAGCCCCAGGGGCTGTGAGGGCTGAGGGGGGCTGTGAGGGCTGAGGGGGGCTGTGAGGGCTGAGGGGGGCTGTGAGGGCTGAGGGGGGCTGTGAGGGCTGTGAGGGCTGAGGGGGGCTGTGAGGGCTGAGGGGGGCTGTGAGGGCTGAGGGGGGCTGTGAGGGCTGAGGGGGGGCTGTGAGGGCTGAGGGGGGCTGTGAGGGCTGAGGGGGGCTGTGAGGGCTGAGGGGGGCTGTGAGGGCTGAGGGGGGCTGTGAGGGCTGAGGGGGGCTGTGAGGGCTGAGGGGGGGCTGAGGGGGGCTGTGAGGGCTGAGGGGGGCTGTGAGGGCTGAGGGGGGCTGTGAGGGCTGAGGGGGGCTGTGAGGGCTGTGAGGGCTGAGGGGGGCTGTGAGGGCTGAGGGGGGCTGTGAGGGCTGAGGGGGGCTGAGGGGGGCTGTGAGGGCTGAGGGGGGCTGTGAGGGCTGAGGGGGGCTGTGAGGGCTGAGGGGGGGCTGAGGGGGGCTGTGAGGGCTGAGGGGGGCTGTGAAGGCTGAGGGGGGCTGTGAGGGCTGGGAGGGCTGAGGGGGGCTGTGAAGGCTGAGTGGGGGGGGGCGAGGGGGTAGAGTTGCTTCTCCAAGCAGGTGAAATGGACTGCCGGGTAGGGAAAGGTGGGGTCAGCTGGGAGCTGGGGCGTGGGTCCTTTAGAAAAGGCCAGGGAAGGTGCCATCATCGCCACGCCCACTGCCTGAGCCTGTGAGCTGTCAGGTGGCGGGGACGTGTCCCCCCTCCCTTCCTGCTTGATCTCTCGCCGCCGCCCCCCTCCTCCTAGGTCTCCCCTTCATCTCCCCACCTTCCCTTCCTGCTTGGCTGGACCCCGGCCCTCCCTCGGGACGGGGCTCGCCACCTCCTCCCCCAGGAAGCCCTCCTGGGACTCAGCTTGGCCTGGAGCAGCCTCAGTGGTAAACGTCGCTCCTGCTCTGTCTCCCAGACTGCCTTGGTGCTTTGGGGACTTGTGGCCATGAGCCGGCCGCTCCACTCACACTGAAAACAGAAGCAAGTGTTCACTCGCGTAGTCCCAAAGGTTGACAGGCTTCATTGCCAGGAATGAGCGCTCGGCGCACCCCTGTGACGCAGTGCTGTAGTGCCCGCGCTTGCCCTGCTCTGCCCTAATTGTGGCTCTCTCTACCTTTGGCCAGGGACATGGGCGGTTCTGCTGGGGAGACCGCGCACGACTCTCAGATCACCCAGGAGGCCGTCCCCAAGTCCCTGGGGACCTCGGAGCCTTCCTACCCATCTGTGAACCGGGGACCACCTCTGGACAGGGCCGAGGTGTACTCCAGCAAGCTCCCAGACTGAAGCCCGCCTGGCCTCGCCCCTCCCGGCTGGCCTGGCCCCGGCAACCTGCCCAGAAGGCGCCGAGCAGGCCGGGTTGGTCCTACTGCAGGAAAACACTTCATAAAACCTTCCCAAGAAAACCAGTTCAGTTGTAATGTGCAGCGTGGATGGCGAATAGGAACGAAGGAGCTGTTCGTGTTCTCGGGGAGGGGTGGACGATCTCTCTGGAGGCTGTGGAGGTGAAGCTGGGCACCAGTGGCTCACACCTGTCATCCTAGCTACACAGGAGGCTGCTGTCTGAGGATCGTGGTTCAAAGCCAGCCCGGGCAGACAACTTCCAGAGTCTCATATGTCCGACTAAGTAGCAAGAAGCTAGAAGTGGAGGTATGGCTGAAGTGGTAGGGCACCTGCCTTGAGTGGAAAAAGCTAAGGAGAATGCCTAGGCCCTAAGTCCTAGTGCAGAGATCGGGCCTCGGGATGAGCCTAGGCCCTCAGGGTGACATCATAGCGAATGGGATCCAGTCCTTACAGCAAAGACCGCAGAGGAGACAGAGCCCTCCCGGTCTCTCGTGACCTCTGCAGCCTCAGAGTGGCAGGGGTGGGGTGGGGTAGGAAGTGGGGGGACCCTCATCAGAACCCCCCTGTGCCACACTTCCACTTTCCAGACCGTGGGAGGTAAATCTGTTTTTCGTTTGTTTTGTATGCAGGTTTAAACTCAGGTCTCGCATTTACTGGGCAGGTCCTCTTACTGTGGAGCTGTGCCTCTGATACGGTTTGCTTCTAGCCTGGGCCTGCTCTGCCTGTGTCAGACTTCCAGTGGGAGTTAGGAGAGTGGGTGTGCACCCTCATGCCCAGCTCTCTGTTGAGATGAGCTCTTGGTGAGCTCTAACGCCCAGGCTGGCCTCAAATGACCATCCTCCCAACCTCGGCCTCTCAACTGCTAGGATTACAAGCATGAGCCACCAGCGGCTCTCTTTTCTCCGCGCTGGATGCCTGCCGCTCTTTGTTAGGGCATCCTGACGTGGGCAGAGGGTGCTTTGAAGGGAGGCAGAGCAGGAAAGGCACGAGTGAAGCCGTGGGAAGAGCGGCCTAAAGTCAGGCAGCAGGAGAGAGAGCAGGGGCAGCGCAGGCAGGGGCAGCACACATCAGCCAGAGGGGCAGCGTCCCTGGGTGGAGAAGAGGGCACTGGCCCCCAAAGTCCCCTGGGCTGGATCCTCGAGACTTCTCAGGCCTGGGCAGAGATTCCCCTGGCCTCTGTCTCTGTGCTACCACCCCCGCCCCGCCCCGCCCCGCCCCCAAGAGAGAGGACCACCTCTCAGCTCCCAGCCTTCCCCTGGCTGAGCCTCCAGCTGGGCCTGACCAGGCCAGAGCTGCTTGGAGTCCTGTCCTTGGTACAGCTCTGTTTCATGACATGCCTGTGTTTACTTTGTATTTGTGGTGAAGTTCACCTAACACATAATTGCCATTCTTTCCGTTTTCTGGAGACAGGGTCATGCCTCATAGCCCACACTGCCCTGGAAGCTCCCACCTCCCACGGGCTGGTATTAGGTGTATGCGCACCTGTACCCAGGCTTTTCTATGTCTTCTCCGATTCTAGGGCCTGGGCGTGCAGGACGCAGAGGTGGTGGCAAGGGGAATACTAGTTCCAGGTCAGCCTGGGCCGCACGGTGAGATCAGGTCTGAAAAGCAAGCAAGCTGGGGGCCAGTGGTTCACGCCTGTCACCCCAGCTACTCAGGAGGCTGAGAGCTGAGGATCACCGATGAAAGTCAGCCCAGGCAGGAAAGCCTGTGGGACGCTTATCTCTAGTGAACCACCAGAAAACTGGAAGTGGTGCTGTGGCTCAAAGTGGTAGAGCGCTCGCCTTGAGTGAAAAAGCTCAGGGACAGTGTCCAGACCCAGAGTTCAAGCCCCAGGACAATTAAAGAAAAAGACACACACAAAAAAGACCCCAAACAAAAAACCAGCAAACAAATAAGCAAATCAATTATGCTGGGGATTAAGCCTAGGGCTCAAGGATAAGAGGCCAGCACCCTACCACTGAGCTATACACTTAGCCCCAGATTAACATTTTTGTGTGAGTGTGTGCAGATCCTGGCGCTTGAAGTCAGGGCCTGCATAGTCCCTGAGCTTTGGTGCTCAAGACTAGTGCTCTACCACTTTAGCCACACCTCCATTTCTAGCTTGGTGGTGGTTAACTGGAGTCTCATGGACTTCCCTGCCTGGGCTGGATTTGAACCACAATTCTCAGATTGCTGAGTAGCTAGGATTGCAGGTATGAGCCACCAGCTCCAGGATCCCAAATCGACCATTTTATATGGTACAGTTCAATGGCATTTAGTCAATGCAGCATACGTGCAAACACCACTCTATCCAGCTCTGAAATGTTCCTACCACCTCACGCCTAGTGAGCCCTCGCCCAGCTCTCCTCTCCCGCCCCTGACAACCACATAGATGTACCTGTTCTGCAGTTGCGTATACAGGAGGTCAGACAGCACCTGGTCCCCTGTACATGCTTCTTCCACTTGGCTTCCTGTCATCGATTCCCCTCACTTCCTTTGTCTTTTCCCTTCCCTCCCTCCTTCGTTCCTTGCTTCCTTCCTTCTCCCAGCCAGCCCCAGCCTCATGTTTTCAAGTACAGTCACATTTTTTTTTTTTTTTTTTTTGTCGGTCGTGGGGCTTGAACTCTGGGCCTGGGCGCTGTCCCTCAGCTCTTCAGCTCAACGCGAGCGCTCTACCACTTGAGCTACAGCGCCACTTCCGGTTTTCTGTTGGTTTATTGGAGATAGGAGTCTCACGGTCTCTCCTGCCCGGGCTGGCTTTGAACCGCGATCCTCAGATCTCAGCCTCCTGAGTAGCTAGGATTACAGGCGTGAGCCACCAGCGCCCGGCTAGTACAGTCACATTTTATATTGGGATCAGGGCTTCTTTCCTTTTCATAGTAGAGCAATATCCCATTACATGGAGGGACCACATTTTCTCATGTACACCTCCATGTTTTGGCTAGTATGAACAGTGCTGCTGTGGACATTTGTGTACACATCTGTCTCAGCCTCTTTAGCTACCGGCCTTCGAGGTGGAGCTTCGAGGTCACAGGGAAATTCTGTTTAATTTCTGAGGGCCGCTGCTCGCAGCAGCTGCCGCTTTCCGTTGAGCTGTGTTGAGCTCACTTATCCTAGAGCCCAGTGGTTGTTCTGGGGACACCCCAAGCCTGATCCACGGATTTGTACCCCTGAGTGTGTGTGTGTGTGTGCATCTTTCCAGACTGAAAAACAAGACCCTTAGCAGGGTTGGAAAAGTTCTGAGCTACCGATGTTTCACACAGGAACAGGGACAGCAGCTGGAAAGGAGCGGGCAAGGCAAGGTTTGACCTCTGCAGCAGGGGTGGTTCTGATAAAACGCCAAATGAGCAAGCACAGGAAAACAGGTTACAGTCCTTTCTTTGGGCCGATCAGAACTTAGGTCCACAATCTTGTGTGACTGGCTAGCTTGGTTGAACAGTCCGGGCGACCGACCCAAACCAGGCAGCAGGCCAAAGCAGCCGGCGTGACAGAGCAGATTCACGTCCCCACAGCTCACCATCGTTTGGGTGCTTGCTGGGCTCCTGTTCGGGCGGGCCTGGCTAGTCAAGGCTCCAGGGACCGGCAAGGGCTAGCCGCTCTCAGACCTCGCACACACCCCGCAAAGGGACCCAGTTGCTGGAACACCGATGAGCAAACGTGTCAGCACCAGGAGTCAGTGAGCAAAAGCACCATCTCTCCAGCCGTGAACTCACGGCCTGGACTCAGGTGGCAAGTCTCCACTTCCCCAAGGGAGTTGAGCCCCCTCTTCCATCCCAGCCAAGGCTGCTGGTCCTGTGACTACAGTGTGCCTCTCAAAAGCCAGGCAGGGCTGATGAAGACCCTGGAGTGGGCGCCTTCTCTGACGGCCTCAGTTTCATTTGTAACATGGGGGTCATGAATGGATCCCACCTGCCCTGCGATCAGGAAGGGAAGTGGACCTTTCCCTCCCGCACACCACTCTTTTATTTATTTATTTTTTTGTCAGTCGTGGGGCTTGAACTCTGGGTCTGGGCTCTGCCCTCAGCTCTTCAGCTCAAGGCTAGCACTCTACCACTTGAGCCACAGTGCCACTTCCAGTTTTCTGGTGGTTTAGTGGAGATCAGAGTCTCCCAGACTTTCTTGCCTGGGCTGGCTTTGAACCGTGAGCCTCAGACCTCAGCCTCCTGAGTAGCTAGGATGACAGGCATGAGCCACAGTGCCACTTCTGGTTTTCTGGTGGTTTAGTGGAGATCAGAGTCTCCCAGACTTTCCTGCCTGGGCTGGCTTTGAACGGCAAGCTTCAGACCTCAGCCTCCTGAGTAGCTAGGCTGACAGGCCTGAGCTACCAATGTCTCACCCTCATACCCTGTTGCTTGGCCTGTCGGCGCTCAAAGCTGGCACTCTACCTCTTGAACCAGAGCTCCATGTACAGCTTTGTGCTTGTGAAATGGAGTCCCATGAACTTTTCTCCTGGGCTGGTTTTGAATTATGATTCTCAGATCTCAACTTCCTGAGTAGTTAGGTTTACAGCAGTGAGCCACCAGCTACTGGCTGGGTCATTATTTCAATTCTGCTTCTGGAGAAGGGGAGCGATCTGATCTGACCCCAGATTCCTCCTGTTCTGGGGTGCAGCCTGGTCACTGTAAGTAATCATCCTTCCATCAGTGCAGGTGATCGACCCCAAGGTGACTATTATTTTGTTAGGGGTATTTTCTGCCCTTTGATATAAAGACGTGACTGATGAGCCCTGTCTTTCCTGGAACTCAGCGGGATTGCAAAGTGACTGGGGAGAAGGCTCAGAGCAAAGAGAAATAGAAAAGGAGGCAGAGCGGTCAGGCTCTTCTCTCGCTTTTAGAGAAGTTGTGGGCCCAGGAGGAAGTCCGGGCTTTCCAGCAGAAGCTGTTTAAGGACTTGTTACAAACACATTTTCAATGGACTGGAAGTGGGGCGTTTCTAGGGTGAGCCTTTCGGGTTTGGGTCCTTACGAAGATACCCGCGGTCCAGCCCGCAGGACTGAGGCCGGTCAGCGGGGAAGTGTTCATTACGGACCCCGTTTCCTCTGAGTCTTGTGCCCCCCTCCCAGAAGGGTCACCGGCGCTGTCTATTTAACATTTTTCCTTGAAAGGCTGGATGCCTGAAAGAATGTTCCACTTGAGGTTTGCTTTATGTATCCTCATTCCTTATGGCCCGCGGCTACCTATCGGCTACCTATCACCGGTCAGCTTTTAAAAACAGGATGTCTAGCTTATTATTCTTGAGCTGTGAGAACTCTATATATTTCTAGATTTAGCTCTTTGGCAAGTCGTGCTTTGCATTTCTCTTAGGGTAAGCTTTGCTTTTTATCAGCACTGATACTGCCTGCTCCCCCGCCCTCCCCCCACCCCCCCTCGCTCCGCCATTGGTCAGCTCCTCAGGGGCTGGGCTGGTTTCCTGCGGGGGAGGGGGTCTCAGGGCCCACACAGAGGCCATTCTGCCCACTTGTTCAGTGCCCTACTGTCCTAGCCCCTCCCTCTCCCCAGTCCCCGTATCTGGGTGGCTGGGGAGACCTGTGGTGACCTTCCAGCAGAGCTGGAAGCAGAGCTGACAGCAGAGAGATTTTCCCAAGGTCCCCTCTACCATCAAAGCCCTGCTGTTAGCTCCCTCCCTCTCCACCACTGCCCAGCGCTGGCTTCACAGCCCTGCCAGCCTGCCTAGGGGCAGGGAGGAGTTTCTGCAGGAGCTGCTTGGGAGGAGACTGGCTCTAAAACACTTAGCTGCTTTTTCATGGATATTTACAGCCCCACATTAAATGAGCCAAAGTGCGAGGTTTTGTGGTGCTTTCTCTTTCATCTATGCAGGCTGTGGCCTGGGGGTGGGAGATTGGTGTAATTCTGTCCTGAACCACGCTTAGGGACCCCTAGGTGTTGTGATGGGGGTCGGGTGTCTGGCAAGAAAATAACTTTCTCTTCGGGAGAGTAGTGTCTTGTGGCTCTTAGTGCAGAGTCCTCCTTCCCTCCCTCCCTCCTTTTTGGTCAGTACTGAGGCTGCAATGTAGGACTACACACACTCACTTGACTTTTTCCACTCAAGGATGGCACTCTACTGCCTGGCCTACAGCTCTACTTTTGGCTTCTAGGATTTGTCTGCCTGGTCTGGCTTAGAACGTCGATCCTCAGATCTCAGCTTCCTAAGTAGCTAAGGCTACAGGTGAGAGCCACCATCCCCCAGATCCTCCCACTTCTCTTAAAATTGTTCTTAGTGATGACGGACGGTGCCTTCTTCCCAGGGTGGTTGTGAGGCCTTGAAGGAGCCCAGGCAGCCCAGGCAGAAGAGGCCTTTACATTAAAAGGCCTTCATTCCTCTGTTGTAGTTTTTTGGTCTGTCTCCTCCTCCCCCAATTTACTGGATGGTGAAATTTCTAAAACCAGCCTTTTTTGTTGTTGTTGGTTGTGGGGCTTGAACTCTGGGCCTGGGCGCTGTCCCTTAGCTCTTCAGTTCAAGGCTAGTGCTCTACAACTAGAGCCACAGTGTCATTTCTGGTTTTCAGGTGGATAATTGGAGATAAAGAGTTTCAGGGACTTTCCTGCCCTAGGCTGGCTTTGAATCATGATCCTCAGATCTCAGCCTCCTGAGTAGCTAGGATGACAGGCATGAACCACCCCGCTGGGCTTAAAACCAGCTTAAGGTCCCAAAATGCAGAACTTTGACTTTGAGTTGGGGAGGGTTGGAGGGGAGGGGGCAGGTTTATTCAGGTGGACTGGGGGCGGGCGGGGGGGGGGGGGGGTAGGTTTATTGGGAGGGCTGGCAGGGAGGGTGGATAGCTTATTGGGTGGGCTGGGGGAGGGCAGGGGGCAGGTTTATTGGGTGGCTGGGGGAGGGCAGGGGCAGGGTTATTGGGTGGCTGGGCAAGGGCAGGGGGCACGGTTATTGGGCCGGCTGGGGGTGCCGGGAAGGGTTACTGGGCGGCTGGGGTGCGGGACAGGTGTATTGGGGGCTGGGCAGGTGTATTGGGGGCTGGGGGTGCTGGGCAGGGGTATTGGGGGGCTGGGGGTGCGGGGCAGGTTACTGGGGGGCTGGGGTGCGGGGCAGGGTTACTGGGGGGCTGGGGGTGCAGGGCAGGGTTACTGGGCGGCTGGGGGTGCGGGGCAAGTGTATTGGGGGGCTGGGGTGTGGGGCAGGTGCATCGGGGGCTGGGGTGCGGGCAGGTGTATCGGGGGCTGGGGTGCGGGCAGGTGTATCGGGGGCTGGGGTGCGGGCAGGTGTATCGGGGGCTGGGGTGCGGGCAGGTGCATCGGGGGCTGGGGTGCGGGCAGGTGCATCGGGGGCTGGGGTGCGGGCAGGTGTATCGGGGGCTGGGGTGCGGGGCAGGTGTATCGGGGACTGGGGTGCGGGGCAGGTGTATCGGGGGGCTGGGGTGCGGGGCAGGTGTATCGGGGGACTGGGGTGCGGGGCAGGTGTATCGGGGGGCTGGGGTGCGGGGCAGGTGTATCGGGGGCTGGGGTGCGGGGCAGGTGTATCGGGGGGCTGGGGTGCGGGGCAGGTGTATCGGGGGACTGGGGTGCGGGGCAGGTGTATCGGGGGACTGGGGTGCGGGGCAGGTGTATCGGGGGGCTGGGGTGCGGGGCAGGTGTATCGGGGGGCTGGGGTGTGGGGCAGGTGCATCGGGGGCTGGGGTGCGGGCAGGTGTATCGGGGACTGGGGTGTGGGGCAGGTGTATCGGGGACTGGGGTGTGGGGCAGGTGCATCGGGGGCTGGGGTGCGGGCAGGTGTATCGGGGACTGGGGTGCGGGGCAGGTGTATCGGGGGCTGGGGTGCGGGCAGGTGTATCGGGGACTGGGGTGTGGGGCAGGTGTATCGGGGACTGGGGTGCGGGCAGGTGTATCGGGGGGCTGGGGTGCGGGCAGGTGTATCGGGGGGCTGGGGTGCGGCAGTTCCCCTCCCATAGGAGTCGCCCGCGGAAGGCCGGCGCGGCCGAGCGAGGAATCAGCGCAGAGCGCGGCTCTGGCGGGGCCGGGCGGACGGGGCGGGGGGGGGGGGGGGGCGGCTGCTCCGCGGTGCTCAGGCCGGGCCCGGGCTCGGGGGGAGCGGGGCGGCGGGGCGGGGGGGCGGCTGCTCCGCGGTGCTCAGGCCGGGCCCGGGCTCGGAGGGAGGGGAGCGGGGGGCGGGGCGGGGCGGCTGCTCCGCGGTGCTCAGGCCGGGCCCGGGCTCGGGGGGGGCGGGGCGGGGCGGGGCGGGGCGGCTGCTCCGCGGTGCTCAGGCCGGGCCCGGGCTCGGAGGGAGGGGAGCGGGGCGGGGGGGGCGGCTGCTCCGCGGTGCTCAGGCCGGGCCCGGGCTCGGGGGGAGCGGGGCGGGGGGCGGGGCGGCTGCTCCGCGGTGCTCAGGCCGGGCCCGGGCTCGGAGGGAGGGGAGCGGGGCGGGGCGGCTGCTCCGCGGTGCTCAGGCCGGGCCCGGGCTCGGGGGGAGCGGGGCGGCGGGGCGGGGGGGCGGCTGCTCCGCGGTGCTCAGGCCGGGTCTGGATCCGCCCGAGGCCTGAGGCTGCTCCCGAGCGCGGCCGCGGCGGCTCCCAGCGCCCCGCACTTCGGCGACCAGAAAACGGGACGGCGAAGCCGCTGGAACGTACCGGGTGCGGACCGGAAGTCCGCGCGCCCCACTGCGCACGCGCCCAGGCGCCGCGGGGGCGCGGCCTCAGCGAGGCGGAGCCTCTCCGGGGGCGGGGCCGACGGCGGGGCGGGGCCTTCCGCCAGGCCCTCCCCCGGGGCGGGGCCTCGCGCTTCAACGGCCGGAACGTTGGCGCGGCGGTGCGCGCTCGCGGCGGAACGGCTGGCGTGGAGCGGCGGCCCGGCGGCCCGGCGGCCCCGCGACTCGGCGTCTTCCGCTCGGCCCGGCTCGTCCGGCCCGGCGCACGGCGCCCTCCCGCCGACGGCCCCGAGGCCCCTGGCAGACGCGCGGGCGTTGGCGGCGGCGGGAGCGCGGGCTCCTCCCGCGTGTCGGCGGCGCGGCGGGTGAGGAGCGCGGCGGCCCCGGGGCCCCGGGCGGGCCGACCCCGAGGCGCCCTGGTCTCCTGCCTCCCAGACCCGGGATCCCCACCCTCTCCAGGCGCATCCGAGCCGCTGACCCCAGCCCGGGGCCCTCGGACCCCCCGAGCGCATCCGGGTCCCCCGCCCGGCCCGGCCTGCCCGCCGTCCCGGGTAGCGGCCTGCGGTGCCAGCGCCCGCCCGGCCGGCCCGGCCGGCCCCCACTCGGGCCCACAGCTGTGTTAGCGGCGACCCAGGCAGAGCCGCCTTGCACGTGTCGCCGGAGGACTGGGAGCACCGGGCCGGGCTGCGGGCCCGCTGTGTGGAGCACCGGGCCGGGCCCGCTGTGTGGAGCACCGGGCCGGGCTGCGGGCCCGCTGTGTGGAGCACCGGGCCGGGCCGGGCTGCGGGCCCGCTGTGTGGAGCACCAGGCCAGGCCGGGCTCCGGCCCGCTGTGTGGAGCACCAGGCCGGGCCGGGCTGCGGGCCCGCTGTGTGGAGCACCGGGCCGGGCCGGGCTGCGGGCCCGCTGTGTGGAGCACCGGGCCAGGCCGGGCTGCGGGCCCGCTGTGTGGAGCACCGGGCCAGGCCGGGCTCCGGCCCGCTGTGTGGAGCGCCAGGCCAGGCCGGGCTCCGGCCCCGCTGTGCGGAGCACCCGGCCGGCCCTTTGTATTTGAGCGTGGCCCAGCCTGGCACCTGGGCGCTGCCCCTGGGCTCGGCCACTCTCCCCACGCCTCCACCTTTGGCTTTTGGGGTTGATTGGAGAGGAGGGCCTCACAGACTTGTCTGCCTGGGCTTGCTCCAGCTGCGCCGCGCTCCCCCCGTAGCCAGGTTCCGGGGGTGAGCCACCGGTGCTCTGCACCAATCCTGGTGAGACTGGTGTGTGATGCCTCCCTGGGCTGGGCAGATGAGAGCCAAGGGCTGGCCCCCGGGCGGCCGAGGGGAAGCTCAGCCTGGCAGGAGTCTCCTTGAAGGTGGAGATTTGTGGGTAAAAGGTGCTCATGTGATCCTAATGCTGGGTTCAGTTCTGTAAACCTGAAGAACAGGTGTCATGGCTGTGGCTAGGAGGTCAGAAGGTGCCAAATTCAAATAATGACCATTATTTCCTCAGGCTGTTTTTATCCAGAGTCTGTCCACTTGTGAGTCCCTTCTGCCCTTTTCCCCAGCGCTCGTGCCGGTCACCAAATCCACAGATGTGAATGAAAGAAGACATCCTTCACCTGTGGAAAAGGCCAGGTCAGGCTCCGTAGGCAGCACGGGACGGGTCCAGTGCTTGGCTTTAGTTCTGGACCACAGCCTCTGATTTCAGGGCTGGGTTGGGTAGAGAATTAGCCAAGCTGGAAGTCTTACAGGGTGCAAACTGCCTGGGCCTTGAATGCACCAGGGCTGGGTGGGGTCCTTGAGAAGGGGTGAGGAAGAGCTTCCTGACTCCAGGGCTGATCGCTCGTGGGGAAGTGGAGAAGTTTGTCAAGGTGAGCAGGTGAAGGCCAACTATGGCTAGGCAGAGCAGGGCTGTGGTATCTTGGTATGATGATGGGGGGCTATGGAAGTGAAAGTGGGGAGAATCAGCCCCTTCCCCCCCACAATGTCCTTGAGCCTTTCTTGAAATACTGCTGCTCAGTGGAGGTAGAAGACCGGAGGAGGAAATGTGTTCCCACTTGAGACCAGGATGGCCTGAGGTCAGAGCTTGAGGTGTGGGTGGCTCAGAAGGGGATGTGGTAGTCCAGTGGGGTCTCTGAGTGGAGAACCGGACACCCTGGGGGATGGGAGGCCATGGAAGAGGCAGAGGGCCCCCTGGGGCTGCCAGCTGTAAGCAGGAGGGTTCTGGCCCAGACTATGGGTGAGAGGCTGGAAGGACGGCCCACGGGACCTCCACTTGGCTGGGGGTGCGAGGAGCCCATGCAGGTCTCCTGATGCAGAATTTTGGAAGGCTGTTACAGCGCTGTGTGGTGCCATCCAGGACTCTGGCCACACATGGCTGCTGGGCCCCGAGAACGTCACACTAGTGACAGGGACTGAGTGTCTCTGTTGTGCCTAGTGTGAATGAGTTGTTAGAAGTACGAGGGCCCTGCCTCCCCCAGCAGGTGTATAGTAGCAGTCTTGTAAACTCTTCAGTTATTTATATATGTGTATGTGGGCTTATATATTTGTTATAGGTATAATTCATTTTTATTTACTTTTTAAAAACTTTTATTACTGGTGTTTGAATCAGGAAGTCATGCTTGTTTGGCTCGTGCTCATTCATTTGAACCATGCCTCCAGCCCTCTTTGGCTGTAGTTTGAACCATGCCTCCAGCCCTCTTGGGCTGTAGTTTGAACCATGCCTCCAGCCCTCTTTGGCTGTAGTTAAGTTTTTCTTTTTTTGCCGGTCGTGGGGCTTGAACTCTGGGCCTGGGCGTTGTCCCTCAGCTCTTCAGCTCAAGGCGAGCGCTCTACCACTTGAGCTACAGCGCCACTTCCGGTTTTCTGGTGGTTTATTGGAGATAGTCTCACGGTCTCTCCTGCCCGGGCTGGCTTTGAACCGGTCTCTCCTGCCCGGGCTGGCTTTGAACCGCGATCCTCAGATCTCAGCCTCCTGAGTAGCTAGGATTACAGGCGTGAGCCACCAGCGCCCGGCTTGTAGTTTTTTAAGTAAGGTCTCTAGGGTTTCTGCCCTAGGGCCAGCCTGGACCTTGGTGCTCTTCCCTGTTTTATTGTCAAGGTGACTAGTGGGTGGTTACGATCCTCCCAGTTTCTGAATAGCTGAGGTTGTTGCTGTGAACTGTTGTGCCTGGTCATTTGTTTCTTTCTTTTTTTTTACCTTGGAGGAAACAGACGTAGTGAGTTGCCTGGTACTAAATGGTGAGCGAGTGCCTGGCATTGGCTGGGTGCTTTCTGCTGTGTACTTCTTCCTTCCCCTGCAGAGCCTGAAGCAAAGTCTTCCTGCCGCAAGAGTGAAGTGGCTGCACTGTTTCTAGTTGAGTTCTCCTTATCTGTCCCCTGCTGAAGTGAACACCAGTAGCTGTGTGGTGAGCCAGCACACAGAACGGCTGTGTGCAGTGGGCTCTTGGCTGCATGCAGGCTTTCCTAATGGCCACATTTTTCTGGGGAGTGAGTGGCGAGTGATCGATGGGGTGAGGAGGCTGAACTCATCCAGCCCAGGCTTTGCCTTGTGTGCTGAGAGGAGGAAATGGGTGTCCCACACTTAAGTGTGGGGTCCCCGTGGGCCGAGCCGCTCCTAGGACAGCACAGTCTGGGCCTTGAGGCAGGACAGAGTTTATAGCTTGCCCCTACCTCTTTGGGAGATGTTAGCCATGTCCCTGCCTTTTAGAGTATTGGGTTTGCCTCAGATGAATGAGAGTCTTTGATACTGCCTAAGGTCTTCCAGCTCTAAGTTCTGTCAGAGGTTTACTTCCTTACATCCCCCGTGGGTCCTTTTGGGCCGGGTGAATGCTGGAGAAGCATTTGGACCATTTTGCTATTGACCAGGCAGTTGTCATTAGGCGACACGTGTGACGTGCCACAACAGTGAATGCTTTAGTGAGAGGCCGCTTCCTGGTAAACAGCAAGCACGTTTGTTTGCCATCCTGAGCCTCGCTGGCGTTAGAGCAGGCGTCACACTGTATGTACTGTTGTCCTTGGCAGAGGGTCCAATGTCAGCCTTCCTTTTTCTGGAAGTAAAAGCAGTAGCCACTGCATTGGCTTCTGAGGATTAAGTGAGATAATCCAAGTAAAGTCCTCAGTTTTCCCTGACAGTGAATGCCACATCTTGAGTGCATCTGTGGCCTCAGCGTTTGTTCCTAATGAGAATTGTGGTTTTCTTGCCTTTTTTTTTTTTTGCCAGTCTTGGGGCTTGAGCTCTAGACCTGGCCACTGTTTGTCAGCTCCGTTTGCTTTAGCACTCTACCATTTGAGCTACAGTGCCACTTGTGGCTTTTTTTGGGTGATTTAATTGGGCTGGCTTTGAACTATGATCCTAAGATCTCAGTCTCCTGAGTAGCCAGGATGATGGGCGTGCGCCACTGGTGCCCAGCTGCTGTTTTCTTTTCTGTTTTTTTTTTTTTTGGTCATGTCATGGGGCCTGAACTCAAGGCTAGCGCTCTACCACTTGAACCACAGCGCCACTTCCGGCTTTTTTTTTTTTGCTTATGTGGTGCTGAGGAATCGAACCCAGGGCCTCAGCATGCAAGGCAAGCGCTCTACCACTGAGCCACCTTCCCAGCCCCCCAGCTGCTGTTTTCTTGCTTAGGGCCCACGTGTGCACACAATTCTGCTGGGGACATTAATTTCCAGAAACTGGTGAGCACATTTGATTGTTACAAACTAGGCACCTTTTCTGTTGTCATTTATTTTAGCAGAATAAAAAGGGATTGGACAAGTAGCATGTGTCAGGTGAAGAAAGCAACTTCATCTTGACAACTGGTGCTGGCTGAAATGACTTTTTTCCCAGACCTGTGTTGAAGTTAACACAGTGTGGGGCTGTGCTGGGAAGCCTGTGGGACAGGGCCGTGGCTGCTGCGGCTGCTGAGGGTCAGGGAGGGGGTTAGTAGTTGATATTAGTTCTGGAGAGGGGCTTGCAGGTATTAACTAGTCCTGGCGGAGGCCTTATGAGTGTTAACAATGACAACTAGTTCCAGAAGGTACCGTATTGCTGGCAACTAGTGAGGGAAGGGGCCTAACAGCTGAGAACTAGTCAAGGAGGGGTCTCAGTGGTAACTAGCTGTCCTGGGTACCTCTTACATTGGTAAGGAGTCAGGGGGAAGGGGTTTGCTCTCGGCTTATAAAAACAAGCTCACTTCCCATAATGTATCATTTCGAGTTGGTCTGTTTGGTGAACACTTACTTGGTGCTGAATGCTAAGGAAGCAGAGTGAGGAAATCTTAGTTATTGGCATAGCTACCTTTTTTTTTGGTTAGTCATGGGGCTTGAACTGAGGGCCTGGGCGCTGTCCATGAGCTCTTTTTGCCCATGAGCTCTTTTGCTCAAGGTTATCACTGGAGACATAGCTCCATATCCAGTTTTCTGGTGGTTCACTGGAGAGAAGAGTCTCACAGACTTTCCTGCCCGGACTGGCTTTGAACTGCTATCCTCATATCTCAGCCTCCTGAGTAGCTAGGATTTCAGGCGTGTGGTTTCAGAGCTACGCAGAGCATCTCGGCACGCCATTCACGCCATTCACGTTGGGCATTGGATAAAAAGGCCAGGACTGCTTTCGAGGACCGGCGGTGCCTTGAGGTTTAGTTTTGCGTTGGGAAGTGCCGGTGGATCACGGTTGCTGTGATGACTGGCCCGGCCTGCCAGCTGCTGACGCCACGGTCGCCACGGAGACCCATCAGGGCACGTCTGTTGTGTGGAGGAGAGGACTGTGAGAGCGGAGCTGATGCGGGAGGCGCTATCCAGGTTATTGTGAATGTTGGCTCTGCTCTGTGCACTGCTGGAAAGCAGGAAATGAGGTCACGTGGTGTTTAAAAAGAACCGTAGATGGCTAAATATGGGCTGTGGCTGGGCTGCTGATCCTCTGCGGAGCCCCTGAGCGGAGCTTGAATGTCTGCAGCACTTCCCTGTTGGGCCATCTGAAGGCTAAGGGGCGTGGCTCCCCGCAGAGTGCGGCCTGCCCAGTTCTGTTGTGAGTTGTCTGAGGAGTCTGCCCAGTCTTCCTGCCCTGCCAGCAGTGCACGCTCTGACCTGTAAGTGCGATGAGTGTAAATGTGTGTGTGTGCGTGCCCACGCTCACCTGCAGCCCCTTGAACTCATGGCCTGGGTGCCGTCCTTTAGCTTTTTCACTCTACCACTTGAGCAACATCTCTCCTTCCAGCTTTTTGGTGGCTTATTGGAGATAACGGTCTTATGGACATTCCTACCTGGCCTGGCTTTGAACCATGATCCTACCTCCCTTTCTCCTGAATAGCTAGGAGTGCAGGCGTGAGCCATCAGTGCTCGGCTTCTTGTGGGAACTTCGGAATCATTTGATTTTGCAGTTAGTACATACAGTCCAGGAAAGTTTAATTTGTTCCGGCTTTCTTGTAGATGTGTAAATAAGTGTGGCATTTAGCTTTTAGATGATCTGTGCAGATATATGGAGAGCCAAAGCAGTTGACGAGAACAGAAAGAGCTGAGACTTGAAAGTCCTGAGCTAAGGTGACAGCACAGGGCATGTGGCTGAAGTCTTGGCTGTTGGATCTGTTGTGTGGACAAGGCCGGGGGTTATGCCTTTTCTGAAGCCATGGGTTTATGGCGGTGTGTGTGTGCGCACGTGTGTGTGCGCGTGTATGTGTGTGTGCGTGTGGGGGGGGTTGTATCTTTGGAGAGGACAGCAGGGCTCGTCTTGCTCTTGCTCTGTCCTTCAGGGGCATTACTGAGGGAAGGCAGCCAGGCAGCCTCGGCCCAGGAAGCCTGGTAGGCTGGCAGGCCCAGGCTGTAGTTGGCAAGGCCGGCCGGTGGTTGGTGAAGTCGGGCCTGGAAGGCTCACGGCTGGGGACCCACAGTGGCTCCTGAGATGCAGCCGAGAGGCATGGCGGCATACGGTGGAAAATCCCAGCATTTGCTCCGGCTCAGAAAGTTTCTAGATAAAAAATCCAGAGTGGGCTAGACCTTGTGTGCTGGCCGTGGCTGTGGAGGGGCGGGAGATGACGTTGGGGTGACGGCGGCTCGCTCTTCCTCCTCGGGCGGGCTTCCTCCACGAGCCTCACTCTCCTGGCCTGAAGATGGGGTTTCTCAGCATGGGGGATGGCTGCTGCCCTGCCCACAGACCCCTCAGGGCCTTGGGCGGCTGGCAGCCCTCCCACGAGACAGTGGCCGCTGCTTTCAGGCTATGGGGGTCCCATTCAGCTCTCTAACCTAGTGAGTACAGCCTGTGGCCATAGCCCAGAAAGCGGAGTGTGCCGGTCAGCCAGTGCGGTTAGAAAGCGGAGTGTGCCGGTCAGCCAGTGCGGTTAGAAAGCGGAGTGTGCCGGTCAGCCAGTGCGGTTAGAAAGCGGAGTGTGCCGGTCAGCCAGTGCGGTTAGAAAGCGGAGTGTGCCGGTCAGCCAGTGCGGTTAGAAAGCGGAGTGTGCCGGTCAGCCAGTGCGGTTAGGATGGGGCAGGCCCGAGCCAGCGTCCTGCGCCACCCGCAGGGACGCACGGGCGGGGGGGGGGGGGGGGAGCTGCGTGCTGACAGGTCTGCCATGCTCCAGGTCGTTTTGTTTTTCTTAGGAAAGAGCCTGTAGCCCAGGCTGGCCTCACACTCAGGACCCCCTTCCCCAGCCTCCTGAGTGCTGCAATTACAGGTGTGCTTCTGCTATTCAAAGTGCTTTAAAGTCTTAAAATACTGTGTGTACTGTTGCCGCTTGTCCTGCGCCAGGGACACCGGCAAAAGATCGGTGCTAGAGTTCAGCCGTGAGTGCAGCCTCGCACGTCGAGTTACGAATCGTTTTAGTAGCAGAAGGGACTGACTGCTGATAGTAACACACGGGCCCTGTGCACTAGGCCCTATTTGTTCGTTTGTTTATGTTGGTCTTGGGGCTTGAACTCTGGGCCTGGGTGCTGTCCCTCAGCTCAAGGCTAGTACTCTACCACTTGAGCTACAGCGCCACTTCTGACTTTCTGCTTATGTGGTGCTGAGGAATCGAACCCAGAGCCTCATGCATGCAAGGCAAGTGTTCTACCACTGAGCCACCTTCCCAGCCCTACATTAGGTTTTAAATGATATAAAATTTTGGGGCTGGGAAGGTGGCTCAGCAGTAGAGCGCTTGCCTCGCATGCCTGAAGCCCTGGGTTCGATTCCCCAGCACCACATAAGCAAAAAGAAAAAAGCCGGAAGTGGCGCTGTGGCTCAAGTGGTAGAGCACTAGCCTTGAGCTGAAGAGCTGAGGGACAGTGCTCAGGCCCAGAGTTCAGGCCCCACGACGGACCCAAAAAAAAAAAAAAAAAAAAGAATTTAAGTAAAAATTCTAGAGGGACTGTGAAGAAAACACTGCTCAGCAGAGGTAGGCTATAGGCTATGTAAACTTGGCTTTCTGGAAGCTTCTCATTTGCAGTAAGTGGTAGGTGTAGAGTTCGAGGTGGACTGGTGGGTTTGGCGTGGACTGTGGAGATGCTTGGCCTGGCCGAACACTTGCTCTCTGAGACATGAGATTGGATTCCGCTGGCAGCTGAGTCTGGCCCTTGCACTGTTGCTGTGGGTGCTGAGAGGTGGCAGGCCTCCTCAGCCCCTGCTTGTGCCTCAGGGAGCCCCCCTTCCTTGGAGCTCTGGCTGGGCACTGGCTTTCCCTTGCATGGCTCTTGCTGTCCCTCCCTCCCTCCCTCCCTCCCTCCCTCCCTCCCTCCTGTGCTGTTGGTGTCTGTGTTTGGGCACTTCTCTGAGTGGTGTGTTGAGAGCCATTCCCAGAATGTGTCAGGTGCTGTAGCCAAGGCTGAGGACCATGGTTTGAAGCCAGCCTGGGCAAAAAGTCCTTGGGATCTCATCTCAATAAGTAAGCTGGGTGTGACGGTGGGCGTCTGGATTCCAGGTATGTGTGAAGCCCTAGGTGAAGGGTCTCGATGTGAGGCCAGCTTCAGACCCAGTCTGAAAAATAACCAAAGTGAAAAAGGGCTAAAGGCCGGCCGCCTGCGTGAAGCCTGAGGCCCCGAGTTCAAACCCAGTACCTTAAAAAAGGAAAGGAAGGAAGAGGACTTTGTGGAATGCTGTGGACACTGGAGCACCCGGCCGCAGCCGCGCGGGTGAGCAGCGATGCGCTCACGTGACGCTCACGTGACGCTCACGTGACGCTCACGTGACGCTCACGTGACGCGCGCTTCCACCGCTGGTGTCCTTCAGGTGTTGTAAAGTTCCTGGGCACGCAGGGCCTTTGCGGCTCTTCCTTTGGGACCCCGATAAAAAGCGTACCCGAGCAATGGAGCTGCTTCTGATCATGCTTCTCTTCTTCAGATTCACAGATGGATTCGCTGGAAAAGACGACACACAGAAGTGAGCAGAAGTCAAGGTAGGCAGTGCAGTCTCGCGTGGGCTCAGGAGGGTGCTGGCCGCGCAGTCTCGCGTGGGCTCAGGAGGGTGCTGGCCGCGCAGTCTCGCGTGGGCTCAGGAGGGTGCTGGCCGCGCAGTCTCGCGTGGGCTCAGGAGGGTGCTGGCCGCCAGGGTGCCTCCAGGGAGGCAGCAGGATGGCCGCTCACCGGGCTCCGCCTCAGCGCAGGCTCGGCCCTTCCGGAAAGCCACATGTGTGCGGGACTGTCCTTGTCCCGTGTGCACGCAGGAACTGTGGGCTGGCGGCTGTGGGCCCAGCTTGGCTCGGGTGGGCAGGATTGGCAGTGGCAGAAACGCTGCACTGCCAGGAACGCGCCAGTTGCCACAGCCAACCAGCATCACTCGCCATCCCAGTTTGTGCTAGCAGCTGCTGGCAGCCTCGGGTGTGAGAGGGCTGTGCGCACACGTGCGTGGCCCTGGGCCGCGCGGTGGGCGGGGAGCGGCCTTCAGAGGACCTGGGTGGGCATGCGCGCAAACGCCCCAGAGGACAGTGTGTGGGCCTCACCGTGTAAGCATGCCCCAAGGGCACACCCGGCCCCAGCAAGCACTGTCCTCCGCCTCTGCCTGCACACAGAAAGTTCTTGAAAAGCCTCATCCGGAAGCAGCCCCAGGAGCTGCTCCTGGTCATCGGGACGGGCGTCAGCGCCGCCGTGGCCCCCGGCATCCCCGCGCTCTGCTCCTGGAGGGGCTGCATCGAGGCCGTCATCGAGGCTGCCGAGCAGCTGGAGGTGCTGCACCCTGGGGACGTGGCCGAGTTCCGCCGGAAGGTGATGAAGGACCGGGACCTGCTGGTCGTGGCCCACGACCTCATCCGAAAGATGTCGCCTGTGAGTGGCACACAGTAGCTTCTGGCTGAGCTGGGCTGGGCTGGGCTGGGCTGGGCTGGGCAGGCTGCGGCCTCCTCAGCCGGGCCGCCAGGCGCAGGCTGCGCCTCCCCAGCTGGCTCTTGGTAAATGCAGCTGGCTCTGAAGAGCTGAGGGACAGCGCCCAGGCCCAGAGTTCAAGCCCCATGACTGGCAAAAAAAATGAACTCTGTGGTCCATGGCTGCACCTTCTGTTGGCTTCTGATCGTGGTGGTCTCCCGCCCCTGATCGTGGTGGTCTCCTGCCCCTGATCGTGGTGGTCTCCCGCCCCTGATCGTGGTGGTCTCCCGCCCCTGATTGTGGTGGTCTCCTGCCCCTGCTGTTGGCTTTTGATTGTGGCGGTCTCCCGCCCCTGCTGTTGGCTTTTGATTGTAGTGGTCTCCCGCCCCTGATCGTGGCGGTCTCCCGCCCCTGCTGTTGGCCCCCTCGTGGCGGTCTCCCGCCCCTGCTGTTGGCTCCTGATTGTGGCGGTCTCCTGCCCCTGATCGTGGTGGTCTCCCGCCCCTGATCGTGGTGGTCTCCCGCCCCTGATCGTGGTGGTCTCCCGCCCCTGCTGTTGGCTCTTGATCATGGCGGTCTCCTGCCCCTGCTGTTGGCTCTTGATCATGGTGGTCTCCTGCCCCTGCTGTTGGCTTTTGATTGTAGCGGTCTCCCGCCCCTGATCATGGTGGTCTCCCGCCCCCTGCTGTTGGCCCCTGATTGTGGTGGTCTCCCGCCCCTGATCGTGGCGGTCTCCCGCCCCTGCTGTTGGCTCTTGATCATGGTGGTCTCCTGCCCCTGCTGTTGGCTTTTGATTGTGGCGGTCTCCCGCCCCCTGCTGTTGGCCCCTGATCGTGGCGGTCTCCCGCCCCTGCTGTTGGCTCTTGATCGTGGCGGTCTCCTGCCCCTGCTGGTTGGGTAGTTGTAGTAGAGGCTGGGTGACCACAGGCGCCCCCCCCCCCCCCCCCCAGCATGGTAGATAGGAAGAGGGGCAAGCTCTCAGCCCCCGATGGCCCTGCTGGGGTGCCAGCTCACTCACCCAGGGTGGTGCCCGGTGCAGCCCTGCCCAGCGGCCCCTGTGCTGGTGGGCACTGACTCTGGCGCTCTCTCCCCAGCGCACAGGGGACGCCAAGCCCAACTTCTTCCAAGACTGCCTGATGGAGGTGTTCGACAGCCTGGAGCAGCACATGCAGCACCCCGCGGTGCTGCAGTCCATCCTCAGCCTGATGGACAGGGGCACCATGGTGCTGACTACCAACTACGACAACCTGCTGGAGATCTTCGGGCAGCAGCAGAACAAACCCATGGAGTCGCTGGACTTGAAGGACAAGTCAAAGGTAGAGGGGTGGTGGGCGCGCCCGACTTCGCACGTGGTCCCGAGCCCACAGCACGAGGCTGAGCCACACTCAGGGCCAGACCGTGCTTGCTGCTCTCATTCCCGTCGGTCCTGGACATGGACTCCTGTAGTCACCGTGGGATCGGTGGACATAAATAATAAGCACAGCCTCCCACTGAGGCTCCGCCTGTAACCCTAGCTACTCAGGAGGCTGAGATCTGAGGATCACAGTTCAAAGCCAGCCTGGGCAGGAAAGTCCCTGAGACTCTTACCTCCAGTTAACAACCAGAAAACTGGAAGTGGCGCTGTGGCTCAAGGTGGTAGAGAGTTAGCCTTGAGAGAAAAAGTTCAGTGACAGTGCCCAGGCCCTGAGTTCAAGCCCTATGACTGACAAACATAATAATAAATAATAAGGAAAAGCAAGGCGCCACCGGGTCTCACAGTGCAGCACAGGCAGGCCTCAAATTTGAGAACTTCCGGTCTTATCCTCCCAAGTGCTAGAATTACAGGCATGTACCACCATGTCTGGTTTTCCTTAAATCTGTAAACTGTTTTTCAGTGTGATGATGATTCTTTTCGTTGTACTAGACTAGCGCTTGATCTTAGAGTCTGGGCGCTGTCTGTGAGCTTTTTTTTTTTTTTGCTCAAGGCTAGTGGTCTACCACTTGAGGCACAGCTGTACTTCCAGCTTTCTTCGGTGGTTTCTTCAGTAGTTTAGTGGAGATAAGAGTCTCACTGACTTTCCTGCCTGGGCTGACTTTGAACTGTATTCCTCAGATCTCAGCTTATTGTGTAGCTGGGATTACAGGCATGAGCCACTGACACCTGCCTGCAAGTGTGATTCTAAGACTAAGTTATGATTTTTACCTGCTTGTCAGCCTATTTTTACTGTCTTAATGCTGCAGAGAAAACTTGTATGCTTCTGTCTCTCATTAAGTTCCTGGAGAAGTGTAGGACCTAGATGTGAATATTCCAAGATACAGGATACGTATTACCAGAGAATTAGCTATTGCACACCCAGCCAGCTTCGTGGGAAAGCCCACGCCTCATCTTTTGCTGCTAGCGGTGTTATTAAAGAAGTAAAATGTCCATTGCGCACTGGATGGGTGACGGTCTTACGCTCTATTTCCAAGGTGGAGCATAGTCTGGTTTTATTTGTTCCCGTGTGCGTTAGGCGTTACTCCTGCCGCTGGGCAGCTTCTCCCAGTGGCTGTGAGGAGCGAGGCCCGTGGGAGGTGCCCGTGGTGCTTGTCCGAGCCGTGCGCCCGCTCTGTGTGGCGCCACAGTGGTGGAAGTGTGACTGCTGCTGAGAGGGGCCCGCCGGCCGGCGCGGGCTGCGGACGCGTCCTCTGTGACTCGAACATGCCAGCCAGCAGAGCCCGCTGCCACGCTGCCCAGGAGAGAGCGCCAGCCCCGACTCCTTTCTCCAGGGCTGATGGAGAGACTGCGCGTTTCCTCTCCCTGTGTGAAGTAACCCGGCCGTTGGCCTCTTGGCTGCTCTTGACAGGTTCTTCAGTGGGCAAGAGGCCACATCAAGTACGGGGTTCTGCACATCCACGGCCTCTACACGGACCCCTGCGGCATGGTCCTGGATCCCTCGGGGTACAAAGACGTCACGCAGGACCCGGAAGTCATGGTAGGTAGGGCTGCTTGGTTTCATCCTTCGGGGGCTCCTGCGTGGCTGCCGTGTCTGCCACACCCCTGAGCTTCAGCCCGGCACGGGGCCGCGTGTGTCAGAACCGCAGATCCTGCCCCGCTCCCGCCCCTCCTCGCCTCTCAACCATCTCCCCTCTGAGCCCCGGCCTTCCCCACTTAGCTGCTCTTCAGCCTGCCAAACTTGGTGATGCTTCCTGCTGCCCTGGCCGTGTGGGTCTCTGTCCTGGCACTGGGCCGCAGTGTCTGAGGCTCGCTCTCCAGATGAGGGGCAGCTGCGTGTTCCCAGTGGCCTGGCACAGGCTGGCCTTCACGATGCCTGGCCTTGGTCACTGTGCCTCTCCTCGGCTCTCCCCCGACACCCCAGGCCCCGTCCACCTGGGTTCCACAGGAACAAGAGCCCCGCTGGGGTCCATTGAGACTGGCGGTGGCTTCGGGGCCCTGGGCTGCCCGGCCGCAGGCCCGTGCTCGGCCCCGAGGCTGCCTGCAGGGGCGCTGCCCTTCGGGGGCTGGGGGGGGCGGGGGCGGCAGCCCTGCCTGTGGCCTCGCGTCCGCTCTCGGCTTCTTAGGAGGTCCTGCAGGGCTTGTACCGCACCAAGTCCTTCCTCTTCGTGGGCTGCGGCGAGACGCTGCGCGACCAGATATTCCAGGCGCTCTTCCTCTACTCGGTGCCAAATAAGGCGGACCTGGAGCACTTCATGCTGGCGCTCAAGGAGCACGAGGACCACTTCTTCAAGCACCAGGCCGACATGCTTTTGCACGGGATTAAAGTAGTGTCGTATGGGGACCATTTTGACCACTTCCCAGGATACGTGCAGGAACTGGCCGCCCAGCTCTGCAAACAGCGGAGTCCTGGTGAGGGGTTTGCTTCCCTTTCTACGAGCAGAACACACCATGATGTTCACCAATCTAGTTATTATCTTAAAAGTGTGTCTTCAGCAGGGTGCCAGTGGCTCACACCTGTAATCCTAGCTACTTAGGAGGCTGAGATCTGAGGATCACTGTTTGAGGCCAGCCCAGGCTTTAGAAAACCCCGAGACTCTTATCTCCAATAACTACTCAGAAAAAGCTGCAAGTGGCACTGTGGCTCAAATGGCAGAATGCTAGCCTTAAGCACAAAAAGGCTCAGGAACAGCACCCAGGCCCCAGGGCTGTTTAAAAAAAAAAAAAAAAAAAAAAAAAAGCCTTCATAGGCTGGGCTTGGTGACTCAGGTCTATAATCCCAGCTACTAAGAGGTGGTTGTTGGGAGGATTGTGGTTGAAGCCAATCCAGGTTCAAAGTCCTTGGGACCTCATCTCAGTCAGCAGGTTATTGGTACACGCCTTTCTGTGATTCTATCCACTACCAAGCTGTAACTAGGAGATTGCTTTCTGAGCCTGGCCCAAGACTACTGAAAAAGAAATAAAGCAAAATAGGGCTAAAGGTGTTACTCACGTGGGTGATTTCTTAGCAAGCACAGGCCAATTCAGACCCTAAAACCAGAAAGAAAAAAAAAAAGAAAAAGCGTCTGTAATGTAAAAGCATACTATTGGGGTAAGTGGTTTGATAGTTGTACTTTATAACTGTACACCTAAGTGTTAGACGCATTGTTCATGTTTCTGGTTATCTTAACCAGAAAACACTGCCAGGCCTTTATATAATTTTTTGGTCATGGAGCTTGAACTCTGGGCCTGGGCGCTGTCCCTCAGCTCTTCAGCTCAAGGCTAGCGCTGGACCACTTGAGCCACAGCACCACTTCTGGTTTTCTGGTGGTTCATTGGAGATAAGAGTCTCATGGACTCTTCTGCCCATACTGGCTTCAAACCGTGATCCTTAGATCTCAGCCTCCTGAGCAGCTAGGATGACAGGCGGGAGCCGCTGATGCCTGGCCCTCACTGCTGTTGTTTTTTTTTCCAGATGCTGAGCGAGTGGACAGCACTACATTGCTAGGTGAGGCTGATCTGTTGTGTTTGATGGTTTTCCCTGCATCTTCTATTAACTTTATGTAGCTGTTTGTAAAATAGTGTGTATTAAGCACTGCAGGAGAGAGCACCAACAGATCCCTTGAGGTGACCCCTGCACGGGGGAGGGGCAGCCCTCCCCTCCACTTCCGGCACTCACTTCTGTTCTAGAACCAAGATCTACAGGGAGCGGAGCAGGGCTCTGTGTGTCAGGCACCATGCAGGGTGCAGCCAGCGAGGGCTGCTGTCCTTAATTGGAAGGGTCCAGCTTTCATACAGATTTCTCTCTCTTTTTTTTTTTTTTTAATACTGTTGTTGGGGCTTGAGCTTGGAGCCTGGGTGCTGTCCAAGAGCTTTTCTGCTCAGTAGAGCCACAGTTCTACAGCTGGCTTTTAAAGTCAGAGATTCAAGGCAACTTTTAGCTGAGAGTCTTTATTTAAAAAATAAACTGTTCCTGACACAGTGGTGGAGAGGAGAGGAGAGGAGAGAGGAGCTGGGGAGCGGGCCTGGCCTCCGGGAGCCCTGTGCCCCGATGGCCGCAGCCCTGCGTGTTGCCCATGGCTTCCTGGCGCCCCAGTCTTCCTGGGTTTCCCTTGCTGGGTAGGCTGTGCCTTCACCCCGTCGGGAGCCGCCCTCGGGCGTCCTGAGCGCCCCACATGGCCTGCACTCCCTGGCCTCGTTGACTGTGGAAGCGTCCCGGGTGCATGTGGATGCCGGCAGGTCAGCCCTGGGCAGCTCCTGACAAGCAGGGAGCCCAGAGCCTTCCTGTGGCTGCTGCGAAGGCCAGCCCTGCCCGGCCGTCTTTCCCATTGAACAAAGCGGGGGTCTTCTTCCCTGTGGTCCTGACTTTGTGATCCTTTTCTGGTGAAATGGCAAGTTCTCCAATTCCTGGGTTACTTTCCATTATAAATGGGCCTAAACCAGTGGCCACACAGCTCGTGTTCCAGATGAACTGGTGTCACCCTTCGGCTCAGGCTCCCGGAGGGTCTCAGGCCGGGGCCAGACCTGACGTTGCTGAAATGTGCGGCGAGCGGCGTCTCGTGGAATCCCCATCGAGCCTGGCTGCCTCTGCCCTGGGCAGCCCGCACTCTGCGCGTAGTTACCCAGCAAGCCCCTCTTCTCCGGACTCTTCCAGAGGCCTGCAGACCGCCTCAAAGGCTTCTGAGCCACACCACTCCCAGCTCTCTGTGTTAGTCTGTTTTTCAGTACTGTGATAAAATACTGAGAACAGCAACGTAAAGGAAGAAAGATGGATTCTGCTGGATCCTGGTTCTGTGTCAGTTCTCGGTCACGAGGGGCTGGTGGACTGTGTGGCGCCGAGGCCCCACACAAGTAGGTGGCAGAGGAATAGAGAGAGAAGAGGAGAGCGGCGCGGGCCAGGCCGGGACGGCAGAGCCCTGCGCTGCTGCCCCAGCTGCTCCCGCTCCTGCTCCTCCTGTACCACCTGCTGCGCGGCCTGCCCAGCCTCCACACCATAACAAACGCGTCTGGCAATGAGTTTTACCTTTCAGGTAATGCGTGTCAGGACTGTGCAAAGAGGAAGATGGGAACGAATGGAATGGAAGTTTCAAAAAAACCCAGATCGTCAGATCCTGGTACTATGTTGTCTCAGATTTGTCTCGTTGGGGTGTCCCTGGCTTATCCCGCTGCTGGAGGACCCCCACCCCCCTTTCAGAATTTGAGCATGTCCTGGCAGAAAACACCCTCCACGTGCGCACGAGCGTTGTGGGTCAGATCAGTTTGGTCACGCTCAGGCCAGCCACAGGGTTGGGGACATTGCCTCCCACCAAGGGCGGCCCAGCTGAGGGGTTTCCACACTCCGAGAAGGTGCGCACTGCTGCCGGTCGCCACCACCATTCACTTCGGCCCTGGCAGCCTCTGCAGCGCCCATCCAGGCAGCAGCCACTGCCGCCCCAGGGGCATGGGGGTGGGGTGGGGAGGGGAGAGGGGGGAAGGGGGGGAGGGGAAGGGGGGGAGGGGAGGGAGGGGTGTGCGGTTGATGTTGAGCTCCTAAGAAACATTGTGATGCGGTTTCTCAGCATGTTTTCAGCTGAGCTTTGGTGTTTTGCCTCAACAGATGATGCTGGAGGGTCTTGAAATCTTTAAAACCATGAAGAGCCTGCAACGTGAAGCTGCCTTCTGCAACCACAGTGCCGAATTCCCGCCGCCGTGGCTCTCACCTTCACCCCAGCACTCACCGTGGGGCCCGCAGTGCTGCACGGTGGCTGTTTGCCAGCGGCTCTGGAGGTGACACACGTCAGGCACACCGCGGGGACTGATGGGTCAGCTACCTCAGGGACCAACTCAGCAGGAGGGGACGCACCTGTGGTCCCCATTGCTCCCCCGTGTGCTCCCCCGTGCTGGGGTGGCGTTTCCCTTGTATAGGGAGAGAGTGAGGCCTGGCCAAGCCAAGACAGAGCTGGACCTTTAACTACCTGTCAAAGTGTGAAGTCCGGGCAGTCAGAGGCCTTTTCAAAGTGGATTTGGTGTGCCAGGCCATAATGACTGACGGTGAGGGGGGCACAAGTGGGGCACGAGACCAGATCTCACTACTGGGGGGAGGGCCCGGCCTTTCTGTCCTCTTACAGCGCTGCCCCACCCCTCCGCTGGTGGCTCGCATGGAGAGGTCTGTAGGGACCTGGCACACAGTAAACTTTTTCAGGGCTGACCCGTGTGCAGCAGCCAGGCTGGGTGCTCTGTGCCTGGGGCTGCTTTGATTGTGACAGTGGCATCCTGGTGGCAGAGCCGTCTGGAAACAAGCCTTGCAGGTTGTAAGTTGTGGTTGCGGCCTTTGATGACATTTGCCAAGCCTGTGACATGCTCATAGCTGGAGGAAAGTTAAGAACAGGAACATAAGTTTGGGGCATACAGGGAATGGGAGAAGCCAGGGCCGTGTTGATCCTCCTACTCCTACTACGCATGGAAAACAAATCTTTTTTGTCACTCCGGTTATAAATAAAATTTTAATGTTAACCTTGTGTGCTCAAATTTCTTTAGATATGGCAAGATTTTGAATAAGCCTTAGGACTTAATGAGAATTTTTTAGCCAGAGTTGCCACCTATTTCTGAGATAAAGTACCACTTTAAAAAGCAAGCATTAATCCAGAGGCGCACACCTGTAATCCTAGCTACTTAGGAGACAGAAATTTGAAAATCAAGGCTCGAAGCCAGACCTAGCAGAAAAGTCCTGACTTATTTCCAGTTAATCAGTCAAGTGCCAGACTAGAGCTGTGGCTCAAGTAATGGAGCCCATCACAAACGTTGAGAGCAAAAGGCTGTGAGTTCGAGCCCCTGGTACTAGCACATGCATGTATCCACACGGCGAGCATGAATTACTTTGTATGTGTGTGAATACTGGGGTCTGGACTTGGGCCAAGAGCCTCTTTAGCTTTCACTCAGGCTGCACTCCCTCACTTGAGCCACAGCTCTACTTCCATCTTTTAGTGGTTAAGTGGAGGTAAACGTCTCAGACTTGCCTGCTAGGCTAGCTTCGAACCACAGTCCTCTGATGGATGGATATTTGAATCTGAATGCTGTCCCAACAGTGCTGTGTAGCAGTTACTAGCCCAGAAGGTGCCTAGAAATAGACAAGCTGGACACAAAACTGGGTGAGTAAATCAGCCCGGCAAAGAAAAGCTCCCAGTGTCCTGCTAAAGAATGTCTTGCTGATGACTTGTTTTGTTCTAATGGTCTGATAGTCCCATGATTAGTATAAATTAGAAGGAAACAGCACAAGGTCAGTGAAGAGTCTGGCCTTGTCAAGGCTAGATTGTAAGGTGGTTGCATTTTAAGTAGTTGCTAGAGGCATGAGAAGGTCCTTGCCAGGGTTACCTTGGTCCTTCTTCAAGGTGGGTGCTAACCTGTCCTAGGTGGACTCTGGACACTACCCAGCTGTCCCCACCGGCCTGGCTCCCTGATCGTGAGCCATCCTGCACCCAGTTCCCACCACCTCTCCGTTAGCTCCCTTGGTGGAGTATCATCTTGGGGTTTGTGTGGCTATTTTGAGGTGGGTGTGAATGATGCCCACACACACGCTGTCCTTTCCTACATGCATCAGGTCTGGCTGAGAAAGCCGCATTCTTAATAGAAATGAGATCTGGAGACATTTGAAATCAAGCCGGCTATTTTTATTGATATTTTCAGTATTAACATAGTTCCTCTGAAACAGTTTCCCATAAAAAATGGTTTCAACTTACTAACCTTTACCCTATCTAAAAACCCCGTCTTTCAGCAGTTAAGCACTTTAATATTAGAGTGTGGGAGATGTGGATTTCATCAGCACCACAATATCAACCCTCAGCAAGAGGCATTTTCTTTCAAAATACTTCAGTGTGCAAGGCAAGACCAGAGTGGAGATTGAGAAACTTCTGACAAACGTATCCAAAGTGTACAGAACCGTCTGTCCCACACAGCCTTCCCTGCGGCCAGCCCGGACACGCCTCACCACGGGCCACAGCTGTCTGGCTAGAATAGTGGTGAAAGGTTTTGTTCAACTCCACACAGACCTGGGCTTGTAACTGGGTACTAAACACTGACCCCACCTCCGCTGGCCGGGGATGGTTTCTAACAGGAATGGGAGTCTCTGGACTCTTGAGCATCCTGCTGTTTTTTGCCTTCTTGGCCTGGAAGGTCACATGGATACCGAGAAAGATCCAGAGTCAGAACTCGGCTGAACATGCAGTCATTGTGCTAAAACAGAAAGAGAACAGTTTAAGGCTGGGAAGGTGGCTCAGTGGTAGAGTGTTTGCCTTGCATGCATGAGGCCCTGGGTTCAATTCCCTCAGCACCACATAAGCAGAAAAAGCTGGAAGTGGTGCTGTGGCTCAAGTGGTAGGGCGCTAACCTTGACCTGAAGAGCTGAGGGACAGCGCCCAGGCCCAGAGTTGAGGCCCCATGACTGACAAATAACATGAACTAGTTTTAAAAAATGAAAACAGTTGCCAGGTGCTGGTGGCTCACGCCTGTAATCCTAGCTACTCAGGAGGCTGAGATCTGAGGATCGAGGTTCAAAGCCAGACCGGGCAGGACAGTCCGTGAGACTTATCTTCAATAAACCAATAAAACCGGATGTGGCACCGTGGCTCAAGCGGTAGAGCACTGGCCTCGAGCTGAAGAGCACAGGGACAGGGCCCAAGCCCAGAGTTCAAGCCCCACGACCGACCAAAAAAACCCCAAAAAAAACAAAAAACAAAAAAAAATAGCTTAAGTCCTCTGTAATTTAGGGGAAAGGATTAGTGCACACAAATACGGCCTGAAATGAGTGAGTCTGGATTTTTGTTAATAAAAAGGACTCTCCTTTTACCTAAAAGGTCATGAAGAGATAGATGTTCCCTGTTTATAGCAGGATCTTTCTTTTAAAGGAAAGTTGATTTAAAAGTGTGGAACACGTCGGGAATTTGTGTGTCCTCCTTGCGCAGGGGCCATGCCAGTCTTCTCTGTTCTGTTCCAATGTTAGTGTATGTGCTGCGGAAGCGATTTTTTAATCTGGTATGAGAACTTCTACCCCATGTAGCCTATTTCTGGATGGTCCTCTAACAGCAATGTAAGTTAAATTTGATCTTAGCTTCAAGGAACATTCAGGAAGTAGGACCTGAGCCTGAAAACCCAATGTCTGGAAAACTGCTCTACCTTGGCAGCCCAGTTAAGTATCTGAATAGCTTAAAAAGGTGTTGCATATTCTAAAAGCTACTGTGCCACCTGAAGCTTCTATGGTTTTTCCTGCTTATAATGCATTTGTTTTGCCTAAGACATAAGAAACATCAGATAACCATATTGTTTGTTCTGTATAAGTTAATGTATTATTTTATAAAAGTCATGGTGCTGTAGAGTTAATTTGTCCTTAAAATACATCTTAAATATTTTTCAACTGCAGAAACCCAGCAGTATCTGCAGCTCAGGATGGCAGGTACAGGGCATGCTGGGATGGATGCCTGTGGGGTCTGCGTGTACCTCAGGATAGATGCCGATGAGAGCGTCAGCTTTGGAATAGAACTCTTCTTTCAGGGAGATGATGATCATCTGAAACTGTTCTTGAGTCTGCTCTTTGATGTAACTTGACACCTGAGAGGAAATGAGCACAGTTCACCAGCAAGCCAAAGGCTCAGTTGGGCTCTGGAGGCAGTTGGGGGAAAAGTATGGTCTCTAAGTAAACACTCTTCTACTTGAGCGCTCATTTTAGGCGAGAACATTTAACACTTGCTCTTCTGGCCATTTAGTAAACCCCATGAACTTCTAAAATAAGAGGTCAGTCAAAATAAAACTACCATGCAAACATTTTATGAGGGTGAAGAAGGCCTTCTGCTTCCTCCTGAGCCTGAAGGTGGGGGACATGGCAGCCGTATAGGTATCAAGATACAAGGCCTGCTTTTTTTTTTGTCGGTTTGGGGCTTGAACTCTGGGCTTGTGCGTTGTCCCCACGCTCTTCAGCTCAAGGCCAGTGCTCTACCGATTGAGCCACAGCACCACTTCCGGTTTTCTAGTGGTTTATTGGAGATAAGAGTCTCACGGACTTTCCTGCCTGGGCTGGCTTTGAACCGCAATCCTCAGATCTAAGCCCCCTGAGTACCTAGGATGACAGGTGTGAGCCACCAGCGCCCGGCTTAAGGCGTGAAGTTTTGAAGCAGGAAAGGCAGCTTCAGGGGAGAAATGAGTCACCAGATTTCCTGAGGAGAGATCGTTCCAGGCAATCAGGCTGGAGTCCCGTCAGCTGCCTGCATCCATCAAGGTTTACATGACAAGCATTTGAGGCAGGAAGGTGGGGAGTGGGTCACCACCACAGAGAGCGACGAGGGAAGAGGAGAGCTACTCTGGAGGAATAGTGCTCTGCTCCAGACACATCAAGACTTTCTTTTGTTTCATATTTTCTCTTCTCCACACTTACTACCACAAGGTCTTTGGCTGACTTTGGGTAGCGTTAGGACCTTCTTGGATCTCCTGTCATGCTGGGAAGTGAGTCCTGGGAGGGGCTGAGGTGCCATCTCAGGCCTTAGCTATTACGTGTATTTGATGTGAGACTCACCGGAGTTAGTGATCTGGGAGAGTAGCTCCAGAGGCGTGCTCGCTGGGCAGCACCCATTAACCAAGCGCTCAAGAGCAGGTTATAAACCAGGTTGCCAATTTGTTTAAGTTCTGAGAAATGTACCTCAGCAAAAACAGCAGCCATAAGACAGGATCCAGTCATCTCTGGAAGAAGATGGGTCTAGAATGGAACCCATCTCAAAGGGGGGGAAGCTCTTCAGGCTGGAACTCTCCCTGGCCAGGAGAAGGGCTGCTCAGGGTGTGCGCCACCCTTGGTCAGGTGTTATAGCTGACACTCATGTCCACGGATCACTCGTCAAGAGCTGAGGAGCGGGTGGAAAGTGTGGAGGAGCGGCTGTGTGGATCTGTGTCCTGTCCTTCAATGCTGATACAACTCTCTAAGGTAAGCGATGCCCCATGCCTGGCATAACTAATACAATAATAAGAGTTAAATGGTGACCTTGGTTCTGCCTTTGTCTCGAATAATGAAGACAGGCTTATGCACAGCACAGCGAATGGATGATAAAACTGGGCCATAGAACTTTGAACTCTTAGGGCTGGGAAGGTGGCTCAGTGGTAGAGTGCTTGCCTTGCATGCATGAGGCCCTGGGTTTGATTCCTCAGCACCACATAAGGAAAAAGAAAAAAACCGGAAGTGGCGCTTTGGCTCAAGTGGTAGAGTGCCAGCCTTGAGCTGAAGAGCTGAGGGACAGCGCCCTGGCCCAGAGTTCAGGCCCCATGATCGGACCCAAAAAAAAAAAGAACTTTGAACTCTTAATTCCTTTGGAGCTTATTTGGAGAGGTTATCCTTGGACTTTAATAACTTATTTGGCCCATGGACCACATAAACTGAAGGAAACAACTAAAACATCTTCTTTTTAGATATTTATGCTTTTAAAGGTACTGATTGTGTGTGTGTGTGTGTGTGTGTGTGCTCGTGCATGTGTACACACATGCACACACCAATCCTGGGATCTGAACTCGAGTTTAGGTGCTATCCTTGAGTTTTTTTGCTCAAGGCTAGGGCTTTACCCCTTGAGCCACACCTCCACTTCTCGATTTTGGTGGTTAATTGGAAATTAAAGCATCTCATGAACTTTCCTGCCCAGACTGGCTTTGAACCAAGATCTTCAGATCTCAGACTCCCGAAGAACTAAGATTACAGGTATGAGCCAGCCACTGGCACCTGGCCAAAGGTACTGATTTTAATGAGCTATTAGTGGTGTGCCTATGACCCCATATATTTGAGGTAAACTACTTTTTGACCAGGACATGAACCTAGACATTAAGTCACGTTGCTGAAAATTAAAGTGGAGAAAAACTCACTTTGCCAATGTTAGTATTGTCCAGGGCTGCATCCACTTCATCTAGAACAAAGAATGGGGCAGGCCGGTAACTAGAAAAAAATCAGAATCAAGTTAGCAATGTTCTTGTTTTACACAATACTTGTCATTGTCAGGAAGACGAGCAATAGAATAAGACATCTTTTTGGGAAGTGGAGCTGTGGCTTAAGTGGTAGAGTGTCAACCTTGAGGGAAAAAGCTAAGCAAGAGTGCAAAGCCCGGAGAGTTCAAGCCCAGGCCTGGCATGGACACACACACAGACACGCTTTTGGAAAGCTGCTTAGGTAACTGGTTACCTCTCTGCTGCTAAATCCTGGACTCCTTCCTAGTCCACAGCGGCACCCAGCCCCACGAGCCAGGGCTGGCCTTTCCTGGCCTGCACCTCTGCTCTGTTACTTGAAGGAAACCTGCTTAGTCTCAACCTTCTGAGTCTCTTCTGCCAACTTTTCATCGAACTCTCAAATGCCAATATCTCGGGGCTCAAAGCCTCCTCCCCGCATCTAACTAGCTGCCTTGGTAAGGATGTAGTTCAGTGGGAGAGTGAGAGCCAAGCACGTACCATCCCCAGCCCGCAAAAGGAAAGAAAACCAGCCCTTTTAGTTTTAGGGAGAACGTGGCATGGTAGTGCCCGCATGTAACCCCAGGTAGAGACGAAAGGATCTCGAGGCTTGGCTCTGAGTTCTTGTCTCACACCCTGCCCGCCTCCACTGCTTCTGTCAGTCGTGCCAAGCGCTTGCCAGTGGCCTACTGCTTTCCCAGCGGTTCCTCACCTGCCTGCACCTGCACCTGCACCTCGGCCTCAAGCTCTCCATGTGCGAATCCTCAGCTGCTCCCCTCCCCAGCCCTCTTCTTGTCATTCCAGTGTTGGGGCCACGCATGGGCTCATCCCCAGGTCTTCCAGTCCTACTCCCTGTCTGCCAGCTACCACTGTGGCCACCCTCACCGTATTACAATGGCCCCCCAAACCCGTGTGTGCCACCACCTCACCAGGCTCTCTTTGTACTTGCTGTCCTCAGATCTAGAACATTCTTCCCTTAGCTGTCCACATGATTTGCTCCTTTAATTACTTCATTTCTTTGCTTAAATGTCACCTTCACAACAGACTTCCATGTTGGCTTTTTTTTTTTTGGCCAGGGCTTGAACTCAGGGCCTGGGCACAGTGTCTGAGCTGCTTTTGCTCAAGGCTAGCACTCTACCATTTTGAGCCATAGCTCCACTTCTAGCTTCTGGATAGTTAATTTGAGCTAAGAGCTCACAGACTTTCTTGCCTGGACTGGCTGTGAACCATAATGCTCAGATCTCAGCCTCCTGAAGCTAGGAGTACAAGCTTGAGTCATTAGTGCCCAGCTCCTCACCCTGAGCTTCTGAAGCGCAAGGCTAGCACGCTACCACTTGAGCCACAGCGCTACTTCTGGATTTTGTGTATGTGGTGCTGAGGAATGGAAACCAGGGCTTCATGCATGCAAGGCAAGCGCTCTACCACTGAGCCACCTGCCCAGCCCTCTCCACCTTTCTTAAATGCTGGTCCTGGGCTTGAACTCAGGGCTCATGTTATCACTTGTGTTTCTTGTTCACAGCTAGCCTCTACCACTTGAAGCATGTCTCCGGTCTGGCATCTTGCTGGTAATTTAGAGACAGAAGTTTTTCGGACTTTTGTGCTGGGGCTGGCTTTGAACCATGATCCTTAGATATCAACCTGCCACCGCGCGGGGTCCTCAGGAACTATCTGTTGCATACAGGCCTGGACTGCCACCTAGTGGCAGTCTTATTCTACGATGATCCTGGGTTCAGAGACTACCAGCTCTCTGGAGCCTCCTTACTATAAAGCTCCTCTCTTTGTCTTTCCTGTGGTCAGTAGAATCCCGCTGCCAAACTCCCATGTTCTGATGTTCCTGCCACGGGATGATGTTGACAGACGTCACTCAACTAAAAAACCTGTCACCACTGTCACTGGAAATGAGGTTAAGTACACTTTTTTTTCTTTTTAAAAGAAATACTTAAAACAGGCACTGGTGGCTCACACTGTAATCCTGGCTACTCAGGAGGCTAAGATCTGAGGATTGCAGTTTTAAGCCCCAGACAGAAAAGTCCCTGTGAGACAGTTAACTCCAATTAACCACTCAAAACTGGAAGTGGAGCCTGTGGCTCAAAGTGGTAGAGCTCTAGCCTTGTGCAAAAGAGCTAAGGGACATTGCCCAGGCCCTGAGTTGGAGACCCACAACCAGCATATATACGAAAAAAGAAAACTTTTGCATTTGGTATTCTTTAGTGAATAGAAGATCTCCAAATACGAATGAGGAAAATAATACACAGTTGACTTCCTGGTTTTGTTCTTTGTGGCCACCCTGATGTCCTTTCTGGACAGCTCAAGCATTTCTTTGCGGGCTGGCCTGTAGCTCAGTGGTAGAATGCTTGCCTAGCATATATGAAGCTCTGGGTTCAATCCCTGGGACAACAAAACCAAATATTTCTTCTTTTTGATTTTCTAGAAACCATGAAAGTTCCAAGTTATTGCTTAAAACCATTTGTTGATGTCTGAACTTTCTGATTTGCTGTCTAAATTGCTATAGGTATAAGACAATTTGATGAGACCAGTTTGATATACGCTTTCTACTGTCTGCAGACATAACCCCTGGTTCTCTGCCCTGGCATAAGGCCAGTCCCTGGTATAGAGCCAGTCCCCTGTATAAACTGGGTCCCGGTGTAACATCAGTCGCTGGTAGAGAGCTGGTCCCTGACATAACTCTGGTCCCCGATATAAAGCAGGTCTCTGGGCTAGCGCTGGTCTTACCTGTGCACAGCGAACAGGAGAGCCAGAGCTGCCACGCACTTTTCCCCGCCTGACAAGTTGTCCATCGGCATAAACCGTTTTCCTGGAGCCACACAGTTGTAGCTGACTCCCTCCAGGTACGGCTCTTCAGGATTCTCTGGGCTAAGAAATGCCTGGAACACAAATGACTTATTTAGCCATTATCAGAAAACTAGCTAACTAGTTAACTGATTGCAACTGCATGGAGAACATAAATCACAAATATTTGTTGATAAGGATTTCCTCAGTTTTTTTTTTTTTTTTTTGGGTCCAGTCGTGGGGCCTGAACTCTGGGCCTGGGCACTATCCCTGAGCTCTTCAGCTCAAGGCTAGCACTCTACCACCTGAGCCACAGCGCCACTTCTGGCTTTTTTCTTTTTGCTTATGTGGTGCTGAGGAATCGAACCCAGGGCCTCAGGCATGCAAGGCAAGTGCTCTACCACTGAGCCACCTTCCCAGCCCGATTTCCTCAGTTTTGATGGAAAAATACCAGTACTTGTGAATAATGTACTTAGTCTATAGGCTTACTCACAGGCCACAGGGCTGGGGCAGAGAGAGAAAGCATTCTGGCATACTCACAATTTTGGCCTTTGTGCCAGGCTGCCGGCAAGATCTGAACACATGCCTTTACAAAACAGTTGTGGGATCACTGTCTGCTCACCAGACCTTTACTCAACACTTTCCTGGGCCACATACAGATAGACCCTATTTCAGGGAGTTAGGGGCATACTTTAGTCTTACTTGACTGAACATAAGCTAAGTTTTGGAACTTAGTTCTAGTTCTAAAACTACCCTAAAAACCCTATCCCAGGGTCACTTCAGTCACAAAAGAACATGAACCAAGAGCAGAGCAGGAATGAGGTGCTGACCCACCCTTTATTCCACATTACATTCCACAATTATTTGCTGTGTAACGTTAGTAACAGAATGGACTGGTGATAGCCAAGAGACCTGGACCCTGGACTTGGACCGAGTCATCTTCCCCAGGTCCTTTACACAGACTATACCTTTACCCCAAAAGAAAAAGTACTGTAGTACCAGACAACAGAATTTCACCATGAAGAGAACCTGAAAACCAGCTACGCTAACCTACTCATTTACCAGGTGGGGAAACAGGCTCAGAATGTTCTGCCTTGCTGAGTGCGGCTTCTGAATGGGGAGGGGATCAAAGCACAGGCTATGAAACACAGCGCCCCGAGCGAGCGAGCGAGCGAGGCACTCCAGCCTGCAGGGGCAGGCAACGCGTCCGCACTCTGGAACCCCCACCCCCGCCTGGGACGGACACGTTACCTGGGCACTGCTGTTTCTGCAGAGCTTCTTGTAGATCTGGTCAATTGAGATGGAGACGTGCTCGAAGCATTGGCTGAAAAGGTCGAATCTCTTCTTCTTCACCTGCTCAAACTCCTGCCTGCATATTCTGGCTTCCTTTCTGCTGGCCTCAAATGCTAAGACAGAATTTGGGAGGCCACTGAGATACTTAAAGCTTAAAAGAATACAATATTTTGAATTGAAATTTCAGTTACATTGTTTTAAATTTACCTTCAAAACACCTCAGCTATTACTAATTCTAAGAGCAAATCTCTTACAATTGAGTCCTTTTATGGCAGGGCTAATTTATATCTTTCTTTCTTTCTTTCTGTTCTGGGCACTGTCCCTCAGCTCTTCGGTTCAAGGCTAGCACTCTACCACTTGAGCCACAATGCCACTTCCGGTTTTCTGAGTGGTTTATTGGAGATAAGAGTCTCACGGACTTTCTTGCATGGGCTGGCTTTGAACTGGGACCCTAAGATCTCAGACTCCTGAGTAGCTAGGATTATAGGCATGAGCCACTGATGCCTAGTGGCAGGACTAATTTCTAAATGATGAACAAATTCTGAATATGCCTATTGCTGTTATTAAAAAATTAAATATCTATTCTAAAATAACCAATAAACCTATTTTTAAAATTCATTCAGAGTATTTTATAAAGGGACAAATTAATAATTCAACATTAAAAGTATATAAGACGTATATAAGACAATAGAGAAAAATATACAATAAAAAAAAACAGGTCAGGCTCTGGTGGCTCACACCTACAATCCTTGCTACTTGGGAGGTTGAAAATGGGAGAATCTTGGTTCAAGGCAAGTCTGGGCAGTAAAGGTAGTGAGACCCTCTCCTAAGCCTATAGCTGGGTGCACTAAAGAGCACTTGTTATCCCCAAGCTACATGAGAGGCCGAGACTGAGGCAATGGCAGTTCCAGACCAACCCAGGCAGTGAGGTCTGAGACTCCATCTCTACAGAAGAAGCTGGATGCATGTACCTGATCACAACACAGGTGTGTGTGTGACTGGTACATAACTAACTAGACAGTGTGAAACAGGAGTGGAGGCATAGCTCGGGAGAATTATGCCAGCCTGATAAGCCTGAGGCCCTGATTTCACATTCTCAATACCAGACAAGCAAAAAGGAAAGTTACAATCCACTGAGATTGTTGGCACGTGGTACAGAAATCAAAGCCACCACGGATATGATCTTGTTAACAACCATAAATATAAATTCAATTTTACCATCTGTGGACTCTTGAAACTTGTCTCTGACATTCTTTAAGTTCTCCAGGGCTCGCAGGTTTGGGGTTGCTGTCTTCAACAGAATGTCTTCTTTGGCTGCTATTTGCTCCCGAAAGAGAGTCAAGTAGACCTGCACTTCTTTGTCTCTTTGCAGGGCCTATTATTAGCAAAGAACAAGAGTGACTTGCGTGTGTGTTGTGTTGGGCTGGGCTGCTGACCTACGATGCATACACAGGGCTGTGGCCATCCACCAGCTCTTCCTATGGGAGCCCTGGCCCTGGAACTGTAGGTACACCGCATGCCTGTAGCTCCCTACTCAGTTGGGCCTTTCAGGCTGTGGTGCTGTATGCACTGCCTTTGAGATATGGTTTACTTTCTTAGTTTTTAAACTGGCTTGTTCAACAAAAATACTGACCATTCATTATGCATCACTGATGAGTGATGACAAAACTACTCCATCCCTTCCTCTGACAAGTTCATAGCAAAGTCAGAGTTACAAACTAGCATTTGCAACAGGATGAGAAAAACCTCTTCTCTGGGGAAACAGGTACTAGACAGCGGGGTGGGGGTGGGGGGTAATAATTAGCCAGGAACTTGATGGAAGACTAGGACCAACTGAAATGAAATGAAGAAAGAAGGGGAAGTACAGCCATTCCCTCCTGGAAAGCCTTGACTTCCAGAGAGGGGTTAATTAGTTCATAATAAAAGTGAGATTAGAAGACAATTTTTGGAACAAAGTAACTCTTAAGAAATAAGTGCTTATAGATCTAAAATACACTGGAGCATGATAAATTATATAGGATTCTAGGCATTCATACATAAACAGTGAGACTAAAGGAGGTTACTTTTAGGGGAGGAACCCAAATGCATACTGCCTCTGAACATTTAAAATACTATTTGTTGAAGCAAATCCCAGGAAATGGAAACATGGGTGTTTTGTTTTTTTTTTTTGGTCGGCTGTGGGGCTTGAACTCTGGGCCTGGGCGCTGTCCCTCAGCTCTTCAGCTCAAGGCTAGCACTCTACCACTTGAGCTACAGCGCCACTTCTGGTTTTCTGGTGGTTTATTGGAGATAGGAGTCTCACAGTCTCTCCTGCCCGGGCTGGCTTTGAACCACGATCCTTAGATCTCAGCCTTCTGAGTAGCTAGGATGACAGGCGTGAGCCACCAGCGCCCAGCATGGGTGTTTTTTCTTTTGTTTGCTTGTTTTTTTTTTCTTTTGGGAGGGCTAAAGGAATGGTAGAAATGGAGGAAGGAAGGATGAATAAATGCAGGCATGGTCCTCCGTAGACACTGGAAAACTATGTAACTTGTGGGCAGGGATGGGGCGGGGAAACAGGGCGAGGAAAGGAAGAGGTGACACTTCTAAACAAAATACACTCATTACCTGACTTAGGAAACAGTAACCCTACTGCACACACATTAATAACAATACAATCATATTCTAAAAAACCCATTATACTAATGTAAATTTCAGATGAATTAAAAAGACAAATGAAAACAAAAGAAAACCACCAACACAAAAATATAAATGTTTACTAGGTCATGGGTGGTGGTAGGAAAAGTACTCTCTAGACACAAACTCAAAGGGAAGGAGCACTGCATAGAAAACTACTGAGAGGATAAAGGCTGTTTTTGAGTACCAAAGAATGCCACAGATGCAGACAGCCCAAACAAATCTCACAAAGCATATGAGCAACTGGAAGTGCAAGATCCCCTCAGTGTCCACAGTCCCTGCCTTGGCCGGTGGCCATTCCCACCTGTGAAGCCGTGCCCTGAGGGTGATCCTGCTCACTCAGAGGAAAGCTGTCTCCGCGTGCCCCTGCGACCAGTGGCTGGGGTTCAGGAACACACACGTGACTCCGCTCAGATCCCGGTGAAAACAGCTGGGATTTTACAGGAAAACCTTCTGCTCTTGTAACGGCAGCACCCCAAGTGCTCTAGTCACTGTCCCTTTAGAAGCAGCCTCAAGAGGAAGCCGAGGAAACATGTGGCTATAGCTGACGGAACCAGAGCCATGGCTCCATGGAATCGAATGGCAGCCCAGGCCATGCCCTGCCTCTGCGGAGGGTTTGCCCTCTCCCCTTCCAGATTTAATATTCAATATTGTTCTGAGTGAGTCATAAGCAGAACTCTGGATTACCTTTAAGTCACTCCGTAGAGAGCTGTAGTCTATTTCCATGGCCGCCTCCCTCTCATAGATGTCAGTTGTCGCCTGGGTACTTTCTGTTCCAGTCCCCAACTGAAACACAGGAAAATCCTTCCTTGTTATCCCAATGGGGCCCTGACCTCGCTTGTCTCTCCTGGTCTTCAGTTTCTCATCATCTCATTCAGACTGAGGAGCCTGCCACGGCAGGGTCGCATGTGCCAGCGACCCATGGCTACTCTGGGGCACCACGAGAGCCTTCCTACTCCAGCAGGCGTGCTACTAGAGCTACCACACGGGTCACCTCTCCATGTGTCTGCTCGCCTGCCATTTCCTCTGGCTACCTGGGCCTCACCATCCACAGCTGTGAGCACAAGCTATCAATACTCTGGGTTTGTCCTTTCTGTTTTCTTTAGCATCTTACTTATCCTTTGTTTGCTTGTCTCCTCCTACTAGACTGAGAAGACTTCTGGCTGCTGTTTTTGTTGCCTAACACAAAGCCTGACATGTGTATTTCAATTTCAATACATATTATGCCCTGGAAGGAACAGGATAAACGCAACAAATAAATGATCACTATTTAGTTAATGCTGATTCAAACCGAGACCTGTAAGGGAAAAAAAACCTCTATTTAGATGTTCCCAACTAATACAAACTCAAGGAAAATCACTGTGAACTAATAAGTATACCTCTTACAAAATACTCATGATTAACTCAAATAGAAGGTTGAATCTGAATATAAATCTGTAACATAGAGGCTCTAAATCTCATGATTCTGCGTGATTTGTACCACACTTCTATCTATGGCTGTGTTTGACATGGTGGTGTGCTTGCCTGACTCAACACATGGAGGGCTGAGGCAGGATCTGAGTTCCAGCCCAGCCTGGTTCATGTCGTGCGACACTGTCAAACAGCAGCAACGACAGCCACCCATGACTTCCATGCAAGTCAGCTGGGGCCTTGCGACTCAAAGGGCGGCCTATGTGGCAGCAGCAGTGTGGCCTCACCTGGTGGGGGGTTGGGAATGCAGACTCAGTATCACCCCAAGATGCCTCTTCTACACGCTGCAGGTTGATCAGCAGTAGTCTAGCAAAGTCTCCCCACAATGTAAGAGTCTTCTACCAGAAATATAGTGGACACAGGTAACTGGCTTTGCCTCAACATTTGTCAATGGAAGGGAAGTTTCTGGTGTACCTCACAAGTACAGACTGTTAGTCCTGAAGTAATTGTTGCAAGACAATCATTTCTGCCCATTAACACAAGTTCAGTCCTTTGGGAAGCATATTCCTTGGGCTTTCCTATTCTGGGCTTTCAGCGCCTCCAGTATCCAGGCGCTATTAGATGTGCTTACATACCACAGAGGCCTGCCATCTTCAGACAAGGAAGTGTCCCTGGTGAAAGTGCACAGACTCGGGCTGGGAAGGCAGCTCAGTGGTAGAGCGCTTGCCTTGCACGCATGAGGCCCTGGGTTTGATTCGCCAGCACCACATAAGCACAAAAAGCCACAAGTGTCACTGTGGCTCAAGTGGTAGAGTGCTCGCCTTGAGCTGAAGAGCTGAGGGACAGTGCCCAGGCCCAGAGTTCAGGCCCCATGACCGGACCCCCCAAAAAAAGAAAAAGAAAGTACGCAGACCCTGTGGCTTTCTGAACGCAAGCTAGGATACTCCTGGGACCAGGAGGAGCCAGTGTGGCCCTCAGGACAGACTTGCTTCTGTCTGAAGAGAACCATCCTCCCGTTGACCTTTCCCTTATAGGCCGTGTTCTAGGCCTTCCTTGGGCTTTAAAAAGTATGGTGTAGCTGACGACTAGCACAAGCTGGGGCAGAAGCATCAGTGGAAAGCCTGTCAACGTCCCCCACCAGAGTGCTGCACGACTGCCTGAGCCCATAGATTACCTCAGAGCCCTGCTTGTGTACATTCTATATGGGTTTATACAAATGTATAAAGACAAACATGGAACCACCACCTCATTGTTAGACAGACCAGAAAGCCACTGCTCTAGGTAAAGACCTAGGTACAGGATGGGTTTATACAAATGCATAAAGAAAAACATGGAACCACCACCTCAGTATTAGACAGACCAGAAAACAAACCACTGCTCTAGGTAAAGACCTAGGCACAGGCAAATGCTGTTTACTTCCCATTCCTCTTCAGTCCCTGGAAGTTGCACACTGCATGCTCCCCAGGTTCATGATTCCGTATCAGCATGCAGCTGAAATCCTAATACGAGTGTAAATCTCTTACATGTCCTTTCATGGCTAGACAGTCGATCACTTTCTAGCACATGGTCTCAATGCACCAGCTGCGATAAGTTATTTTGGTTGCTTCCAGTTTTAGCAATTATGAATAAAGCTGTTATAAACATTTAAGTGCAGGTTATATGTGTGTGTGTGTTGGTCCTGAGGCTTGAATTCTGGGCTACTGTGCTCTTCCCTTAGCTTTCTTGTTCAAGAATGTCATTCAGCCCTGGAGCCACACTCTATTTTTATTTATTTATTTTTTGGCTGACTAATTAGACATAAGAGTCTTGCAAACTTTTCTGCCAGGCCTGGCTTTGAACATGATCCTCAGAGTTCAGTCTCCAGAGTAGATAGGATTATAGGTGTGAACCACCAACACCTAGCTCCCAGTGTAGATTTTTCTGTGGGCATGTTTCTGCGGACACTTTTTGGGACAAATACTAGCCATAAAGGGACTCTAGAGCCAGAGGAAAGGTAGAAATTCAAATAACACTATATTCAGTTCTGCTCAGCGTCACATGTTTTAAAATCATCTGCTAGATGGGGAGAGAGGGAGAGAAGGGGTGACACTGTCCAAAAGGAAGTGTACTCGTGACCTGACTTAAAAACGATAGTCCTGCTAGGCGCCAGGTGGCTCAGGCCTGTAATCCTAGCACTCAGGAGGCTGAGATCTGAGGACCTCAGCTCAAAGCTGTGTGACTCTTATCTCCAAATAACCACCAGAAAACCAGAAGTGGTGCTGTGGCTCAAGTGGTAAGAGTGATCACCTTGAGCTGAAGAGCTGAGGGACAGCACCCTGGCCCCATGACCAACAAAAAAACAACAATAACAATGACAAAAAACAATAATCCCTCTGTATATTACCTCTATAGCTTAACTTAAAAGAAGAAAACTATCGTCTGCTAGAATACCTCCACTTCGATGATGTCATCCAGGGACCCCAACAAGAGAATGATTTCAATGTCTTGAACTTTGCAGTCAAGCAGCAAGTTATGCTTCTCTAGTCGTTTCTGTTCCAGAGACGTCTGAATGATTACAATTTCCTTTTGCAATTTGTCCAGATCCCTGTTAAGTACACAGACATGAGATGTGATTTTACATATTATGGATTGGTGCACCAAAGAAGAAATGTGTTAAATTATGAACTTTCATTAAAAAGATTATTTTCAAGTGAAGTATGGGGACATATCTTTAATTCTAGACATATTTTTAATCCTCATAGATGAGACAGTAGGATTTCAAATTTGAGGCCAGCCTGAGCTACACAGTGAGACCCTATCTAAAAAAAATATAAGAAAGACTGATTTTCTTGTGCTAGTGTGGGACTTAAAAAATTAACACTTCTGAGAAAGGTATAATAAACCCAAAGAAATGTGTTTACTTTTTATTTTGTTCCAGTACTAAGATTGGAACTTGGGAATTTTCATACTTGCCTTTTGCTCAAAACTGGTACTCTACCACTTGAGCTACAGCTCCACTTCTAGCCTTCTGCTGGCTAATTATAAGAGTCTTTCAGATCTGTCTGCTTAGACTGGTTTCAAAATGAGATTCTTTGCTCTCAACCTTCGAGTCTCTGGGATTACAGATGTAGGCCTCTGGTACCCAGCTCAAGGAAGTATTTCAAAATAACGAGCATTCTGGCTTCAATCAGGGATGGAAAAGCACACTACTTTCAGGGTGTCTTTATTATTATCTTTGTAAATAGCCCCACTGGCTATTCAGAAGTGACGGGGTCATACCCAGCACCCATTAATTCATTTAAAATCTAATTTTTCAACCTAAGCTTCTCCCTCATATAAGCTCTCTGTTTTAGAACTTCAAACCAAGAATTTCTTAACCAAAAAAAAAAAAAAAACCATCAGGCAAGTCACGGCTTTCATAACAGCGTGGAGTTTCTTTGCGATCATTACTACTGCTTTAGCTCCCGAGCTGAACATGAGGGGGGGAGTTTGCCAGCTGAGCCAACGGCACCTTTAAACAGGACCCCAAAGAGAGCAAAGAGAGACCAAGAATACAAAGTGAAAGGAGAGAAGGGAGCGAAGGCACGAAGAAGGAGGTGCGATTACAAGGTTTTCAAGAATATGAAAAACAGAAGTGGTCCTATTTCAACTAAATATATAGGTTAAAAAAATCAGGAGTCGTGCCCATGGCTTATACTTGTAATCCTAGCTACTCAAGAGGTTGTGGTTTGAAGTCAGCCTCTTCAGGGAAAGTCTGTCTTACATCCAATTAACCACCAGAAACCAGAAGTGGAGCTGAGGTTCAAGTAGTAGAATGCCAGCCTTGAGTAAAATAAGCCCAGGGACAGCTCCCAGAGTCCCTGAGTTCAAGGCACTCCTCCCCTCCCCCCCCAAAATCAGAAGTAAACATTTTAGTTCCACTTAAAGATCATATACTAAGAACTGAGTCTTAAAGCTCTCAAGGTCTTTGGTCAGTAAGGAAAACTATGATACACCAAGAAAAGAAAACCTTTGTTTCGATCACCGTGTTCATGTCAATCACAAGTAGGGGTATGTCATTTTGGTAATGTTAGCCAACTCAAAGCATCATCGTCACGGCAAATTCATATGCTCACCAGATGTCCTGAGTGCTGTTTAATATTAACTCTATCTCCATAATTATTTGGAAATAGACTTTTATTATCTTTGTTGGAAAGGAAAAGTAAGTTAAATTCCTTGCAATACGGAACTTAAGGCACAGTACATAAGGAGCAGAGCTGCACTCTGCTCCCAGGCTGCACATGCCTCACTGCACAGACCACAGGGACTCTGGACCTCTGGAAGACACCAGTATCAAGAGCATTTTAAGGTAAGAACACAATACGAGTTCATGTTTCCTCCCACCAAAGAAAACTAGGCACACTAAACAACTTGCTTCTCTTGGGTGTCCCCTAAATTAGAACATTTGGAAGGATTTCTGTGTGACCAAGAGCAACAAAGGGTACCATATTCAACTTCAGATAATAATAATAATAAATTTCAAACTGAGAGTATACATTTATTTATTTTATTTTTTTGTCTGTCGTGGGGCCTGAACGCTGGGCCGGGGCGCTGTCCCTCAGCTCTTCAGCTCAAGGCAAGCGCTCTTATCACTTGAGTCACAGCGCCACTTCCGGCTTTTTCTGCTAATGTGGTGCTAAGGAATCGAACCCAGGGCCTCATGCATGCAAGGCAAGCACTCTACCACTGAGCCGCCTTCCCAGCCCGAGAGTACACATTTAAAGCATTACAAAGATCTTTCAAACTGTTGAACTTGTAGTTACCTATCAATGGCCAAAATCTTCTTCCGTTCCTCTTCAATCTGAGTTTGAGCTTTCTCAGTGTCAGAGTTCTGAGTGACAAACATGTCCATAAATTGCTGCCGTTTTGCCATGAGGTCATCCACCTCTTGGAGACAGTCATCTTCCACCTAAACACAGAGGACATACATTATAGACTACTCTCTTTTATATGAATGAGATCAACAGTTCTGGTATTATTGACAAACAAGCCCAGCCATGCTGAGTGAACCCTGCCTTGACCCCTGTGATCATTCTATACTATCTGTGCATTGGCAACCACTATGTATCACTGCCTTCCTCCTTCATCTTGGATCATGTCAGGCCTTGCTTCATTCCCACGGTCCAGTGAGAAGTACTGTTGACACTACGATCTTCCAGACTGCCTTTTTAACAGCTTTCTTCACTTCCTGGGCTTCTGTGCTGTTCCCTCTCTGCCTTTCCCACCAGAATCCCACTGTTGCTCTCACTGCTTGAGTCTCAACCTTTCTCATACAGTTTCCCTTTATTCTCATAAAGGAGCAACTTCTAAATCTGTGGGTCCAGCCTAGACTTCTGCAGCAATCCTGAATCATCTGTGGCATCTTCTTGCCCACCCCCCCCCCCCACGTGACATCCACCACTAACATGCTCCTTTAGGAATTCGAACATGGCTGCTTGATGAGCGTCTAATTTCAATGAAGAGGCAACTTTAAGCCACCCATTATGCATTACCTTCTTTAGCTTATCAGTTTCTTCTCTATCTTTCTGGAGTGTTTCTTTTAATGTGTTGATCTTGCTCAGTTTCTTCTTAAGTTGGTTTTGACTATATTCAATCTGAACATTAAGCCGAGTTTTCTGTTTTTCAAATTCCAATCTAGTATAATAAAGTCAAACATCACAAGTGGTAAGCAGAGTGCTTTTTACATACAAAAGTAGAAGGAATACTACCATAAGCCCTATGTGGCCCATTTCCGATTTTGTAGTGATCACTTCACCAGGCATGGGGGTGGAGGGATGGAGGGGGGTGTCACATCTATAACCTTAGCTACTCAGGAAGCTAAAATCTGAGGATATTGGCTGAGGCAGGAAAGTCCATGACACTAGTCTCCAATAAACTACAAAAAGCTAGAAATAGAGCTATGGCTCAAGTGGTAGAGTACACACACACACACACACACACACACACACACACACACACACACACACACACACACACACACACACACACACACACACACACACACACACACACACCAATAAGGGAATAGGAAATGTGTTCAAGTGGTGAGCAGCCACCTAGCAAGAGCTAGGCCCTTAGTTCAAACCCCAGTACCATCAAAAAAATTGTGTCAAGCTGGGCACCGGTGGCTCATGCCTGTAATCCTAGCTACTCAGGAGTCTGAGATCTGAGGATCACTGTTCAAAGCCAGCCTGGGTAGGAACATCCATGAGATTCTTATCTCCAATAAACCACTAGAAAACTGGAAGTGGCGCTGTGGCTCAAGTGGTAGAGTGCTTGCCTTGAGCTGAAGAGCACAGGGACAGCGCCCAAGCCCAGAGTTCAAGCCCCACAACCAACCAAAAAAAAAAATTGGTCCATATATACAATTAGGTAGACTAATTGTATTTAGGCATTTAAAAGACTACTTCTTTGTATAACACTGTGTTTTCCTTATAAGAGAACTAGAACTCATATTTGCTTTTTGTTACAAGTTTTTAGATATTTTTCTAAGAAAATGCATTTGTAGTAGTTATTTCTTAATAAACTTAAGTAAAAATTACCTCAGGCACAATTCCTCTAAATTAAGAAATAACAGTTACTACTATATATGTGCAAACTGTTCATTAATGTCTTCTAGTAAACATACCTTTTTTGATCAACTTCTTGATGCTGTTTAACATGTATATTCTCAAATTCACGAATATTTGCTACGCCAATTTCTTCACAAAACTTTTGGAATATGTCATCTTCAACCTTTTAAATTATTTTTAAAACAACTGTCTCAATAAGGAATTAATAAATACCTAGATAGTGCCATAGATAGTGCTTAAATATAAGTTTTTTTACTCCAAGATTTTCCTGGATTAGGCCAAAAACTAATGCAATTCAATATTACTGTATGCAACCACTGCTTTTTCTTCTATTATCTCTATAAACTATGCTAAACTGTTTTCAAACTGTGTGTTCAGATAAACTAAGTAAGAAAGCTCATTAACTGGGTTTATTAAATGTTTTGGCTCTGTGCAGTTTAACACAAAGCTGATGGACTCTATTTACCACAGCTACCACAAAATGTTAATAATTTGCACAAATTCTTCTTTATATATGAGAAAAAAATCTCACAGATTAAAAAGGAAAGGTTAGCGTAGAGTTAAGAATCAAGCCAGAAACCAAGTATGGTGGTTATCATCTATAACCCCAGCTTCTTGGGGAGATCAAGAGATTGAGGCCAACCTGAGCAAAGTTATCGTACCAAAGGGCTGAGACATAGGTCTACTAGCCTGAGCTAAATCCCTCTGACCCCCAAAACTTAATTTCAACAAGTTTTACAAACATTATATGCATTTGTAGGAGAGAGATAGGTATTGTTTAAAAAAAAAAACATTTTAAGCCAGGTGCTGGTGGCTCACACCTGTAATCACAACTACTCAGGAGGCTGATTAAGACTGTGGTTCAAAGCCAGCCTAAGTAGGAAAGTCCATGAGACTCCTATCTCCAATTAACTACCAAAAAAAAAAAAAAAAAAAAAAGCCAGAAGTGAAGCTTCACTAGCCTTGAGCATAAAAGCTTGGGGATGACTTCCAGTTACAGAGCTCAAGCCCTAGGACCAGTACAAAAAATAAATTAGGATTTTAGTTGACTATGCATTAAATATAAGTGAGGCAGGGGCAGAGGAGGAACCATGGCCATGAGCAAGGCAAAGCACAGTGTGTGATACCAACAGCGTAAGGACTAAATGAGAAAAGGTAAAAGGCTCCTGTCATGTTTTAAGCAAAGGCCAGATGACCAATCTTTGTTGCCATAGAGCCAAACTGCCTTATAACAGATGTTTATAAAGTAAGTTAACATTGAAAAGTAACCTGAATGATAGGCTTTCCCTTCAAGGGGTGTCAAGGGCAAGAGAGGAAGGAAGAGACTCTAAGTTTTACACAAGCCAAGGCTCTTGGTGAGCAGAAAAGAGTACACGCTGGTGTCTTGAGATGGCCAACAGTGTATCCCCACAAAGGAAATCGTTCTGATAAGGCACTTGAATAGTAGGTGCCCTGGATCTGGTCTGGTCTAGAGCCATATATGTTGCTTAGTAATAAGTATGACATTCATCACCTTGTCTATCTTCTCTTGAAAATCTTCGATTTTCTGCTGCTGTTCTGTGATTCCTTGGCTCAGCATAGTGCACTGAGCCTCTATGTTTAGTAATTCGCTTTGTAGTTGAGATTGTTCCTAATAACCAAAGGAAAACATTGTCATATGGCAAGCTTAGTTTTATGCAGTGAGGTCAAAACATGATAGGTGTCTTTACGATCAAGGAGGAAGATGGGTGTCGACAGTGTGCAACAGCTGCTGCGCTGTAACTCTAACCTCCACATTTTTTAATTTTTAGGTCTGAGACTAGAACTCAAATTTGGTAACTCTGCTTTCGCTCTGATAGCTTTGGCTATCATTTTACCAACTGAGCCACACCTCCAATCCCAAACCACCACACTTTATATATGTTGCATTACCCTGGAAAAATTAGCAAGTTGCTTCTTCTTAATCATCTCCAGTTCACTCTGTGAATATTTGAGTCGTGTCTGAGTTCCTTGTATTTGGGTCTGTATTTGTTTCAAATCTATTTCCTTGCGGAGTGCCTTCATCAAATCCTGAAAAAGAAAGAAATGTGAAACATTTACAACAGAAGAGTCCTTTCACTCTTCAAAGTGCTTTCCTACGTAATACATGATATAATATTGATTTTCCGACACAATCCCTCTTCCCATTCTTCTGGGAAGTCTGGGCATGAAAACACATTGAGCACCTGAGTGTGATGACATACAGCTTCCTCAAAAAGTAAACATACTTCCTAGCAGGAAGAAGAGCGCACGAGACACTGCGTGAAGACATGCTCCATGCATGTATGTGCCCATCAGCACCTGGCTTGGGGGGGGGGGGAGCAGGACACTGTCTTGCTCTGAGAGCCTCCTGTTCTTTTTGCTTCCCTCCTCCATTCCCTTCTCCCTTCACACACCTATTACTCAACCAAAACAAGTCAAAACAAAATTTGATTTCACCACAGGTCTAGCCTGTAGTTCTGAGTACGATAGGCTATATCAAGCACAGTTTCATGTTTACTGGTCATCTGGGCCTCTTTCAGCGATTATACAGTCCTGTTCTTGGCGCTAATGTTTCATCTTAATGTCTTCTACATCATTTTGTAAAGAATGATTTAATAGATGGAACCCAGGTTCTTCATTTAAAATGAATAAAAATTGCTGGGTCACTGGTGGCTCAGGCCTGTAATCTTAGCTACTGAGGAGGCTGCGATTGGAAGATCAGGGTTTGAAGCCAGCCCAGGCAGGAAAGTCCATGACTCGTCTCCAATTAACCACCAGAAAACGGGAAGTGCAACTGTGGCTTCAAGTGGTAGAGCACTAACCTTGAGCAAAAAAGCTCAGAGATAGTGCCCAGGCTTGAGTTCAATCCCATGGCTGACAAAATAAATAAATAATTATGGACTTTTGTTTTATTTTATTTTTTTTAGACAGGGCCTCAGAGTCAGGTTAGCCTGGACTATTATCCTCCTATCTCTGCATTCTGATTGCCTTTGGGGATTACAGGTATGTACTACTATGTCCATCAAATATAGAAGCTCTTAAATACAGTTTTAGCTGTATTTAAAGCTCTACACTGACATCTTAAAATTTATTATTTGTGTACTTACTTTGTACTAGTTCTGGGACTTGAACTCAGTGCTTGAGTACAGTCCTTGCGACTTTCCTTGAGCTTTTTTGCTCAAGGCTAGTGCCCTACACTGGAGGCACAGCTCCACTTCAGCTTTTTGGTAGTTAATTGAAGATAAAAGTCTCACAGACTTTACTGTTTCAAATAATTATACATACTATTTCAGTTTTGTCCCTAATGTAGTTGTCATTTTAAGGCTATGTTGAATAGTAATGGTGATAGAAAACATCTAGTTCCTGATTTTAACAAAAATTATTTTAGTGTTTCATCATTTAAGTAATTATTCCTTTTTTTTTTCTAGGGCTAGGGGTTAAACCCAGCACTTCATGCTAGGCTACAACTCCCAGACCTTTTGGTTTTGTTTTTGAGATAGTCTCACTTACCTTTGCCTAAGTTTGCCTCAGACTTGCAATCCTCCTGTCTCTACTTCCAAAGTAGCTGAGATTATAGATTTCTAATACCACTCCTGGTTAATTTTTCTTTTTTCAATGCTGGAGACTGAACCCATGGACTTGGTTATGCTAGGCAAGCATTCTTACCACTTGAACTATGTGCTTAGTATGTGTTAGTGTTGAGTAAGAGCTGTTTATTGTATTTGAATAATTTCTATAAAACTATTCTTTTGTTGGTATATTAATTGGGATTATCTACTGCATCTTATGAAATGTCTCTTCTAGATTGTGATTTTTCTTCTGCCTTTAATTCTAATGTCAAGGACTATACTAAGCAATCAGAATATCAAAACATCTATGCATTTACAGAACAAATTTTATCCAGTTGGATATATTCTTTGACTATGCTGATGAAAGCTCTACACTGACATTTTAAAATTTATTATTTGTGTACTTACTTTGTACTAGTTCTGGGACTTGAACTCAGTGCTTGAGTACAGTCCGTGCGATTTTCCTTGAGCTTTTTTGCTCAAGGCTAGTGCCCTACACTGGAGGCACAGCTCCACTTCAGCTTTTTGGTAGTTAATTGGAGATAAAAGTCTCATAGACTTTACTGTTTCAAACCATGATCCTCAGATCTTAGTCTCCTGAGTAGCTAGGGTTACAGGTGTGAGCCACTGGTGCCCTGGCTCTATATGTTTATTAAGTAGTTGTACAAAAGGGGTTCAATTCCAGAAGTCAACTTTTGAGTACTCTGTGATAGTTTAATTTTGGAACTATGCATTATATTCCTAGGGAAGTCAGCCTTTGTTTTTGTTCGATTTATCTATCTATCTATCTATCTATCTATCTATCTATCTATCTATCTATCTATCTATCTATCTATCTAGTGTGTGTGTGTGTGTGTGTGTGTGTGTGTGTGTGTGTGTGTGTGACAGTCCGGGGGCTTAAACTCCTAGGTTGAGATGCTGTCCTGAGCTTTTTTTTGCTTAAGGCTAGCTCTCTATCATTTGAGCCAGTTAAGCTTCAGTTCTGGCTTTTTTGGGTGATTAATTGGAGATAAGAGTCTTACTGACCTTTCTGCCTGGGCTAGCTTTGCACTGTGATCCTCAGGTCTCAGCCCCCTGGATAGCTAGGAGTACAAGTGTGAGCTACTAGCACCTGGCTATAATTTTTTATTTTAAAGTTACATAAGCTTTATAAAAAAACCAAAAACTGGGCTGGGAAGGTGGCTCCCTGGTAGAGCGCTTGTCTTGCATGCATGAGGCCCTGTGTTCGGTTCCTCGGCACCACATAAACAAAAAGAAAAAAGCCGAAAGTGGCGCTGTGTCTCAAGTGGTAGAGCCCTAGCCTTGAGCTGAAGAGCTGAGGGATAGTGTCCAGGCCCAGAGTTCAGGCCCCACGACCGGACTCCCTGCCCCCCCCTCCAAAAAAAATCCCAAAAACTTTCCCCTCTTTTTCTATTATCTAAAGTAACTTAAATAACACTATATTATACAGAACTCAGCTGAAAATTCATTGATTTTTTTAAGTTGTAGTAATCTACACATATCATAAAATATGCAATCAATTGCCACATTTTTTTTTTCATTTTGTAAAACTGAGACTCTAAATCCATTAAAGAACTCTTTATTTCCCTTTCCAAAGGCCCTGGTAGCACCATTTAACTTTCTATCTCTCTGAATTAATTGCACAATTCAATATTTGTCTTTTCGTGACTGTTTTATTTCACTTAGCATAATTTTCTCAAGGTCTAAACCCCAAAAACAAAAACATGAAGAAAACCCTAAACAAATTTAAACGACAACTGTTGTTCTTGCTACCTTGTAAATTTTATGGCACAAATGTACCTTGAGTTCCTGAACCAGCTGGTTCCTTTTATCTTTGAGATTCTTTATCTCTTTCTCATCCCAGCATCTAGCCTTCTGTCGTAAGTCACTTGATCCTCCAGAGATCACCCCAGACTTTAAAAACAGAGTTCCATCAAGGGCTACTGTCTGTAAAATTAAAAAGTGTTTTACCATTGAGAAATATACATGAGGTATACAAAAATAAGAACCTAACATGACAATTTCTACAGCTGAGAATTTGCAGATGAGAAAAACACTTATTGAGTTTTACTAATGAAAGATCTAGCTTATGAAGAAACATAAATGACCAAACTACAGATACAAATCCCACTTTATTAACATCCAAAGAAACTCTAGACAACAAAATTGGCATCAATAACAAAGGCTTCAAACAAGTTATATAACAGTTCCAAACAAATGGAATATTGAGAATTAAAAGTCAATGATACATTTGGTATCAAATAGTTGGTATTACAGAATCTCATAAAAAATCTGACATAGCTGTCAGTGGGATATGATGGAAAGGGCCTTATTAACTGTAGGATTCTCCAAATGAATGTTAACACTAATGAGATAAAGAAAAACATTTAAGTGGAGCTGAAGTATAAAACAGCCTAGGGTTTCAACTCATTTAAATATGTCTATGTTTTATACAATAAATGAAATCTATTCTCAACATTTTACAAATCTTTCTAGTTAATTAAAGCAAGGGATCACCTGTGACAGACTAAAAATTCTATCAGTGATCTGACAAAAACAAATCCAACAAATATTCTCCTTTCTTCCTCCCTCTTTCCTTTTAATTTTTCTTTTTTGAGGGGGGTCCGGTCGTGGGGCCTGAACTCTAGGCCTGGGCGCTGTCCCTCAGCTCTTCAGCTCAAGGCTAGCGCTCTACCACTTGAGCCACAGAGCCACTTCCGGCTTTTTTCTTTTTGCTTATGTGGTGCTGAGGAACCGAACCCAGGGCCTCTGGCATGCAAGGCAAGCGCTCTACCACTGAGCCACCTTCCCAGCCCTCTTTTTAAATTTTTCAACACTGGGGTTTGAATTCAAGGTCCTACACTTGCTAAGTGAGCTTTCTACCACTTGAGGCACTCTGTCAGTTCCTTTTTGTGTTTATTATTTTCAAGATAGGGTCTCCTTTCATGCTCAGAAAATATAAAGGGGCTGGGATCCTATTGTGCTCCCCTTTTTCTCAGGGATGACAGGTGTGAGGGAGTCACAAGAACTTTTATGCCAAGGCTGGCTTCTAACCGCAAGCCTCTAATCTCTGTCTCTCAAGTAGCCAAGATTAAACTACTACAGCCTTTTACTTCTTCTTTGAAGACATTCTCTACATACTTCTGTGTACTAAGACATCCTGCCCAAGGGACTGGAGCCGTAAAATATAGTGCTGGCATACAGGGATGCATGACAAATAATAGATAAACTTGGTCTCACTCTGAGAAATCTGGAAGCAAGAAATTATTTTTAACTGAATACATTTTGGAAACTGACATAGACTTTACATAATGTGGAGTTTTCTACTGTATGTGCTTTTTATTTTTATTTTGCTAGTCTTACACAAATGCCTAGGTTAGTTCTACTATACCCAATGGTTCAATCTCTAGGCCTTGCACACATATCATTTCATATGATTAAGTTTGCCTATATGCTAAGTCCCCATAGAGTATAACTAGTAAACATGCCCTTCACAGAGCCAGTGAGCATACAATGTCCACACTTTAGATGGTTGCTATTCTAACAAGGAAACATAATACCTAAGAATAGTGTTGACAAGCATTGCTCATATTATGATTAAGGTTGATTTTTTGTGTTTAAGAGCTATTATATTTCTATGGATAAGAACAAGTTTGTTCATGATCTGTCCAGTTTCTCGCCATATTATTATTCTACCTATTGGTTTACAGGAACATTTGCTCTTTACTGTGAGTTGCAAATACTTCCCCCGGTTTGCAATTTGTTTTTATAGGTTTTCGTTGTTTTGCTGTGCAGGACCTCATGCATCCTAGGTAAAACTAACTAAGTTCTAGGTTGGTTTTCCTTATAAAGAGAACATATGAAAACATACATAAATGTGAGTGTGTGTATTTATTTAAACAAGAAAGCAGGGGAGGGAAGGGAAGAAGGGAACACCTTGTAAATACTGCTTGGATTTCTCTAAAAAGGCATCCAAATTCTTTCTTACTTTCCGTCTCTCAGGTCCGCCAAATGCAATGTGTCTTGCTTCCTCCACAGTTTCACAGACAAGGCCATTTCCACATACAAACTGAATTACTTTCTTCAGCTGAGGAATGTGAGTCTTTATAACATCAACCATCATTTTGCAGCCTTTAAGTTCTCTTAGTCTTTCATTAATTGGCTTGATCTAAAAGGTTTAGAAATACTTGGTATATTAGTTATGATAAAAATTAATTGCTGCCAGGTGCTGGTGGCTCACGCCTGTAATCCTAGTTACTCAGGAGGCTGAGATCTGAGGAGTTTCAAAGCCTGTGGGACAGGAAGGTCCATGAGACTCTTATTTCCAATTAATTACCAGAAATCCAGAAGTGGAGCTTGGCTTAAAGTGGTAGAGCACTAGCCTTGAGCACAAAAGCCCAAGGACAGTGCCCAAGCCCTGAGGTTCAACCCCCACAACTGATAAAAAGAAAATCCCAAATGCTCATTGTATTTTTCTCACAGAACACAGGCACGACAGCCAAGATGAACAGTGTGCACCTATCTGCAACAAGTTTGACAAGAACATGATAAACTATACCCCAGGCTGTCTGAGACACAGAGTATTTTTGTTGTTGTTGTTGTTGGTCATGGGGCTTGAACTCTGGGCTTGGGCGCTGTCCCTCAGCTCTTCAGCTCAAGGCAAGCGCTCTACCGCGTAAGCCACAGTGCCACTTCCATTTTTCTGGTGGTTTATTAGAGATAAGAGTCTCACGGATGTTCCTGCCATGGCTGGCTTTGAACTGCAATCCTCAGATCTCAGCCTCCTCAGTAGACAGGATTACAGGCGTGAGCTCAGAGTATTTTTTAAAATACAAAAACTTCATAAGAAAAACAGAGGATTGGGGCTGGGAAGGTGGCTCAGTGGTAGAGTGCGTGCCTTGCATGCATGAGGCCCTGGGTTCGATTCCTCAGCACCACATAAGCAAAAAGAAAAAAGCCGGAAGTGGCACTGTGGCTCAAGTGGTAGAGCGCTAGCCTTGAGCTGAAGAGCTGAGGGACAGCGCCCAGGCCCAGAGTTCAGGCCCCATGACCGGACCCCAAAAAAAAAACCAAAACCAAAAACAAAAAAAAAAAACCCAGAGGATACAACTTCCAGATTCAACCCTGTTCCAAGTACATGGGACAGAACAATGCATAAATGCTCCTGTGTTCTCCTGATCAACTCCTGTGGCAAAACACAATACCCACCCAGATGCATATATGAAGAACAGTATAACACTACAGAGCCTGAAAACCACTGAAGGCTCAAATCCTCAGGAAAGCCTTCAGACCTTCAGGCTGACTTTCAGGCCTGGTCTGTTAAGAAAAACAAAAACAAACAAAAAACCCCCTGTGAATCTAGCACTATAGTACAAGCCTTTAATCCTAGCTACTTGGGAGGCAGAGATCAGATCACAGTTTAAGACCAGCCCAAGCACAAAAGTTCACAAGACTATCTCAACCAGTGTTATGTATTTCTTGACCCAGCAATAAGGAGAAACAAATAGGATGACTGTAGCCCAACTAACCTGGGCATAAAGCAAGACCCTATCTTGAAAATAACCAATGGAAAAAGGGACTGGTAGAGTGGCTCAAATGCTACAGCACCTGCCTAGTAAGGCAAGGCTCTGAATTCAACACTCAGTATTACAAAAAATTATCTACAAGCCGGGCACCAGTGGCTCACACCTGTAATCCTAGCTACTCAGGAGGCTGATATCGGAGGATGGTGGTTCAAAGCCAGCCCAGGCAGGAAAGTCCATGAGACTCTTAGCTCCAATAAACCACCAGAAAACCAGTAGTGGCACTGTGGCTCAAGTGGTAGAGTGCTCACCTTGAGCTGAAGAGCTGAGGGACAGTGCCCAGGCCCAGAGTTCAAGCCCCATGACCAACCAAAAAAAAATGATCTACAATAAAACCAGCAAAGATGATGTAATATTTATTAAACAAAACAAAGCAAAAAATCCCATAAAATGTGCACATACATGTGTACGTAAACTAAGTGCATAGAAAAGCAATCTGAAGTAATTACTATTAAAGAACTGGACACTGAGAAGGGGTACAAGTATTCCTTTTATATTTAAACATACTTCTGTATAAGATTAAGAAGTGACTTTGAAGCTGGGTCCTGGTGGCCCACACCTGTAGTTCTAGCTACTCAGAAGGCTGAGATCTGAGGATGGAGGTTCAAAGCCAGCCTGGCCAGGAAAGTCTGTGAGACTCTTATCTCTAAGTAAGGCACCAAAACAAGCTGAAGTGGAGCTGCAGCTCAAGTGGTAGAGCTCAGCTGAAGTGGAGCTGCAGCTTAAGTGGCAGAGCTCAGAAGCAGCACCCAGGACCTGAATCCAAGTTCCAGGACTGCCATACACACACAAAGTAATTTTTAAGTAAGTTTGCCCTGAAAAATCTGATGTGAGGCGTAAGTAAAAGATTTCACAGTCAGGCCGGGCGCCGGTGGCTCACGCTGTAAATCCTAGCTACTAAGGAGGCTGAGATCTGAGGATCACGGTTCAAAGCCAGCCCGGGCAGGAACATCCGTGAGACTGTTATCTCCAATAAACCACTAGAAAACTGGAAGTGGCACTGTGGCTCAAGCGGTAGAGCGCTCACCCTGAGCTGAAGAGTGCAAGGACAGCGCCCAGGCCCAGAGTTCAAGCCCCACGACCGACCAAAAAGCAACCCAAAAAAAGATTTCACAGTCAGTTAAAGTAAGGCAACAAGTCTTGGTGGGCCCTGCATGGCACAGTGTGGAAGCACAAAGGCAGGACTGGCTGGCGTTTGCCGAGCTGCTCCTCCAGATAGGTGCTGTGCCGTGCTTCTTCCAAACCATCCAATAAGGTGAGGACTTATTCCTTTACTTCACAAAGAACCTAAGGCTAAAATGAAAACCTGACAAATGAACTGGTACGGCTACTTAGCAGTAGGGCTGATATTCAGTAGCCGAGAGTACCCTGCTTATCATGCCCCTGCCTGCAGTTCAGAGGTGTGACTGATGAAGGAAGAGAACCTCTGCTTCAGGAGACAATGAAAAGTCTCTGGAGGTTGTCATCCATATGGCAAAGTTCTTGTGTCAAGAATTTAGGTTCTGGATATACTAAGGGATCTCAAAACAGACCTCAAACCTTAATCAATGAAATCAAAGACACCAGGGAGGATTATAGCAAAATTCGATTATCAAGAAAAGACCTGATCTAGTAAAGAGCAGCCACTTGTTAATATTCTCCACATGCTAATACATTAACACTAGCCTTAGTTGTAACTTGGCTGTCATCCACGCTACATTCTCCCTCTCCCATAGCTACCATAGTTTTAAGCAATAAAGATGTACTTAAACAGACAAGAGTTGATCACTACTGAAGACCAAACATAAATTTCTTACATCAAGGTAATCGAGAGCGAGGAATGTCTCAGGTTCTGCTCTTTCCTCCTTCAGAAATCGAATACAATCCCTTGCTACCTTTTCAGAAGTGACGATTATGGCAACCATGTACCGGCCAAAAACCTTAGTCACTGCCAGCTGGTATTTCTTATGAATAGGATGACACAGGTCAAGCAGTCTTCCAAACTTAGCAGGTTTTTCAAAAAAGAGAGGAAAAGCAATATATTAGTAAGGAACAAACAATTCACTGCTATGGTAACAAAGCAGCATAGACAAAACTAATTTTTAAAAATTACATCTATCATTTACTACAAATTCACTCAAATCTACCTAAATTTCGTTATTAAATACCCGTTATTAAATACTCATTATAAAAAATAGTATTAGTGGTGGAGGGTTGGCACAAGTGGTAGAATGTTTGCCTAGCATGTCCCAGGCCCTGAGTTCAAATCTCAGAAAGGTGAAAAAACCTAAAACGGAAAACATTATTAAATGAATTTTAGTAAAGTATTAAAATATGTTATAAAACTAAAGTAACTCATATTTATTATTTTGCTTAATAATTAGACATTTATGAATCCCCTGTTGTGTGCAGGAATTGAGTTAGATACTGCTGAACTAACCTCCTGGAATCTCAGAGAAAGGGATGCAGAGACTCAATGTTCTTATGAATATCAAAGCACAGCTAGACACTGGCAAAGTGCAGAGTGCTCTGCAGGGCCAGGCTGGTTAGGAAACGTTTTCCACAAATGCCATTTGCACCGCTCTAAGAGTGGTCAAGAGATCACTGAAGACACCCATTTTCAGAAGACACCTGATTATCGGCATCCTGAATAAACAGTTCCTAGAATTTGTGATCATGAAATTTCCTATCTTTGGGCTCTTCCTTCCATTTGTTGGTTTTACTTCAGGCATATCAGTTTCATGACAGACTTTTACTGTCTTTAGTATCTATTCTCTTTGCTCTCTGTTTAATTATTATTTCAGCCTCTTAAGCCAGTAATTTGTCTTTCAGCTGTTTGATCCTTTCCTTGATATTGCTAATTTATTTGCTATTTTTAATTAAATGTTAATTTTGTGTGTGTGTGAAGAGAGAGGAGGGAGAGAGGGGGGAGAAGGAGGAGAGAGGGACAGAGAGAGAAGAGAGAAAGAAAAGTGAGAACGCACCTCTGGGGGCTTAATTTGGGGTCTTGGGCACTGTCCCAGAGTTGGTTTTGCTCCAGTCTAGCACTCTAACACTTGAGCCACAACTCTACAACACCACTTTTTTGGTGCTTAATTGGAAATAGTCTCATGGCTTTCCTGCTTGGGATGGCAACTAGATTATGTTCTTTGACTCTGAAATCCCCCCTTGCTCTTTGTTATTATTGTATAACATAGTGGTTTGCCCCCCTTGCTTCTATTTGAGGGCTCAGCTCCTTGCAGATGCTTCACTGGTCTGAAATTCCTTCCTCCCACAGGTGATGGAATCTGCATCTCCTGTCCTACACAATGTCCTAACTTAAGGGCTTGCAAGCCAGGGGTATGAGGGTTAGGTGATGCTTTGCAAGAATATACTTTGCTTGAATATCTAGGCTTTTTTTTTGCCAGTTATGGGGCTTAAACTCGGGACCTGGGTACTGTCCCTGAGCTTCTTTTGTTCAAGGCTAGCATTCTGCCACTTGAGCCATAGTGCCACATTTGGTTTTTTCTGTTTATGTGGTACTAAGGAATCGAACCCACGTGCTTCATGCATGCTAGGCAAGCGCTCTACTGCTGAGCCACCTTCCCAGCCCTCTCCTGAGTTTTTAACTAGTACTTTATACCAACGTTCTCTCTTGCACAGGATCAAATGGCATCTCAACACATTAGGCCTCCTGGAGTCGTCTCTTCCATCAGAGAACATTTGAAGTTTACAGTTCCTGGTTTACTAGTATTTAAATCTAAGACTCTACAATTAGAAAAAGAAAAGGAATGACTAAGTGAGGAAATACTAGATGAAAGGAAATGCTGGGGGCTGGGAAGGTGGCTCAGTGGTAGAGCGCTTGCCTTGCAAGCCTGAGGCCCTGGGTTCCATTCCTCAGCACCACATAAGCAAAAAGAAAAAAGCCGGAAGTGGCGCTGTGGCTCAAGTGGTAGAGCGTTAGCCTTGAGCTGAAGAGCTGAGGGACAGCGACCAGGCCCAGAGTTCAGGCCCCATGACTGGACCAACAAAAAAAAAAAAAAAGGAAATGCTAGGTAAGAATCCTCAGGAAGCTGGGCGCCCGTGGCTCATGCCTGTAATCCTAGTTACTCAGGAGGCTGAGATCTGAGGATCGCGGTTCAAAGCCAGCCCAGACAGGAAAGTCTGTGACACTCTTATCTCCAATAAACCACTAGAAAACTGGAAGTGGTGCTGTGGCTTAAGCAGTAGAGTGCTCGCCTTGAGCTGAAAAGCTGAGGACAGCGCCCAAGCCTAGAGTTCAAACTCCACGACCGACAAAAAAAAACAACAAAAAAACCCCAAACAAACCCTCGGCAATTGGTTAGGCTTCTGTAGAGTTTAGAACAAGCAATGCTATATTTCAACCTTTTTTCTTTTAGTGGACTATTGTCATTTCTGAAGTTTATGGCATTTAGGTTGTTTAGCTGTTCAACTAGTTTTCCACAAGTTTTTGTCATTTTGTTAGGAATTAAGGGAATAAGATTCTGTGACCCAGCCTCACCCTCCATCATTATCCAGGATTCAAAGTGACATAAGAATCAGAAAGCTAGCCAGGAACCAGAAGACTGCGTTCCAGAGAATCATGTACCTCATGCTGTCACTCTAGCTACTCAGAAGGCTGAGATCCAGAGGATCACAGATCGAAGCCTGGACAGAAAAAGTCTGCAAGACTAAAGCCAGGCTGGAGATGTGGCTGAAGTGCTAGCTGTGAGTAACCAAGGCAAGTCAGCCAAGGCGCTCAGTTCAAGCCCTGTTACAGGCAACAAAACAAAACAAAAACCATCCCAAAGAATCAGAGGTAAAAAAGAACTGTAAAAGAGCTGAAGGTAGGTGTTTGTGAGAGTGTGATACCACAGAGGACAAAGGCAGGTGCTTTCAAACAAGGCAGTGATGAAGAGCTTCAAATACTGAAGACAAGCCTTTTGACAGGGAATGCAATGTTGTGAGAAAATACTGCTGTGTAGCAGACACTCCCAGCAACAGCGATGCCAGTAACACATGTGTGCAATGCCAAATTAAAAAAGTGAAACCGTGAAAAGCGTGAGGTTTGGGCTGATCTTTCTCGGCGATCCAGATTCCATCACAGATCTTTTGGGGAAACTGGCTGGTATATGTTAATGAGACTGTATCATATCAATGCTTCTCCCTAATAATTACTTACCTATAGACACAAATGGGAGTTGCTTATATAATGCCATAATTACTTACTGTTCTATTTTAAATATAAATAGTCAAATGAAAAACATAAAAGATTCCTAAAATAAGTCTGTTTCCTAATAATGGTAATACTTCTAAGTCCAAGTAAGACTGTTTTTCACCAAGGACTGAGCTTAGCGTTTTTTGTTTCAGTCGATTATTCATTGTAGTTACCACAGAATCTGGGTAAAGCCTTTTGAGGTGATCCAGAATTTCTGCTCTCTTCTGCTGACGTCTCCCTTCATGGTTATCAATTCCAGCATTCTCCAAGTCATTTCTAATAAGGTTCAATTCCTCATTAACTTCAGACATTCTTGATTTTGTTTTTTTAATTTCATCCATCAAGATGTCCTCTTGCTGTTTTTTCTCTTCCAAGCATTCCCTACATAATAATAACAACAATAGATCACACAGCAAAAGAGAATCCATAATTTAGAAATTGCTGGGAACAACATAACACATGTCTGGTCTTATAGGAGAATGGAACAGTGCTCAATCTATTTTAAAGGATTGAAAACACAGATATACCCAACACTAAACACAGAAAAAAAGCTTTTGATCATTCTTTGTTGATTCAAAATATACATGTTTCTGGGGAGTGCAAGAATAAGTCTAGATCGGGGCTGGGAAGGTGGCTCAGTGGTAGAGCGCATGCCTTACATGCCAGAGGCCCTGGGTTCGATTCCTCAGCACCACATAAGAAAAAAGAAAAAAGCCAGAAGTGGTGCTGTGGCTCAAGTGGTAGAGCGCTAGCCTTGAGCTGAAGAGCTGAGGAACAGCGCCCAGGCCCAGAGTTCAGGCCCCATGACCGGATCCCCCGCCCCCCCCCCCCCAAAAAAAAGAATAAGTCTAGATCATCTAATCAGAGCAATTAATCATAAGCTTAGTATTTGGGAAATGCCATGAAAAATTCTTAGAAGTAGAATATCTAGGTTATCAGTATCCCAAGGAAATTTAAGTTCCACTGTAACAAATCTATGTACTCAAAACTTAACTATTCTATTATGTGGTTAAGAATAATGTTCAACAGTCTAAAGGGAAGTAATAAGCAACAGAGTGGGCGCATGCATCTGCTGTACAGAAAGCTGCAGGATTCTACCTACATGCATGACTTTGTATACTCCTCCAATTTCTCTATTCGTTTTTTATGATCTTCTATTTGTTCTTTTATTTGCTTCAGATTTCCCTAAAATAAATAATAAAACCTAAAATCAGTCACATCAATTCTAAACCATAAAATCACATGCTTAGAACTTCTTATATCATAAGCTTTTACAAATTTGAAGTATGTATTTTTGAGAACAAACTTGAAAAGATAAACTGGCTAAAATCCTCACTCCTCCAATTGTTAAATATGTGACCTCCAGGATGTGAATATGGGATCTCTGGTAAATTCAAACTCAAAGTAGATTATTTCCAAATACCTATAACAGTTCTTATCTGTATTCCAAGTTAATTTACTTAACCCATATTCATTCAGTGGCTAGCATATGGCAGGAACGAGAGACATAATAGAGATGCTAGTCCTTAAGCCTGAGTGCTCCTCTGGACATATTAACTGGGATAATCAGACAACTCAGGTGCCAGGAATTCTGGATTTGAGATCCAGGCTGATTATGCTAACTGTTCAGGAAAATCAACTGTGGACCATCTCTTGAGGTCACAGGACCTGTGAGACAGTCACAAGACTGACTGTCTTCATCCCTCTTTACCTGTCTTGTTATTGCTTGTCACATTCAAAAGACAAAAGCAATTCAACAACACTTTTGACTTCTCATAGTGCAATTATGAATTCTGCCTGGTAGAGCAGTATCAATTTATGACAGTTTTTGTGCAATTTGTTAAGAGCCCTTGGATAGATGCAGATTAAGAACATGGAATAATTGTAGATGGAAGTAAGTACTGTTTTCTGGAGGTTGGGGAGGGAGAAAAGGGAAGGCTTGATGGTATAGAAACTATAGAATTTAATGTATAAAGATAAGTGAACTATTTAAAAAAGGAAACTAGCATTCACAAAGACAAAAACATAGTATGTATTTTCAGAAATCAATGTATGTTTTGATAATGTGGTACAAATTACACAATTAAATGCTTTTAATCTCTGCTGTCACACCTTTATTTTCCCTTTTTATAAGATGCCATTGTCTTCTCAGACAACTCTCATATATTATACCTTTTATATTTATTTGGTTTCACCTGACAGAGCAAAAAGAACAAAATGAAATAGAATATGTTGAAGATTCATTTTGCAAACCAGGTTTGAAAGCAAATCCTAGTTTCTCCGCTTAACAGCTTATTCAAATAACGCAATCTTCTTATGCTTTGCTTAGATCAGTAAAATATGTTAATTCAACATTATGCACTGAGATCCATAAGTGAACGAACACCAACAATGCTGGCTTTGTGGCATTTTCTCTCTGAAGGTAAGTAAGCTCCGTGTGATGTGAGATGGTAAGGAGAAGCAAGGAAGGAGAACAGAGAGCAGCGGGGACAGCTTTAAGTCACCGGGGCAGGACAGCTTCACTGGGAAGACGGTAGCGCTTGAGGGCAACTTGCAGGAAGCAAGGGGGTGGAAAATGAAGAGATACAGCAGAGGAACAGCAGTGCAAAGCCCTTCAGACAGAAACATTTCTGCTATGTTCCAAAGATCAGTACAATCAGATCACAGAAAAAAGGAGTTCAGGGCACATGGAGACTGGAGGGGTGAACAGGTAAAGTAGCTCAATGGAAGCCATTTTATAGGCTTTGGCCTAAAGCTTTATGTGTCCTTTAAAAAGTATCTTAGGGGCTGGGAATGTGGCTTAGCGGTAGAATACTTGCCTAGCATGCATAGAAGCCCTAGGTATGATTCCTCAGTACTACACAAACAGAAAAAGCCAGAAGTGATGCTGTGGATCAGGGACAGAGCCCAGGCTCTGAGTTCAAGCCCTGGGATCAGCAAAACAATAAATAAATAATAACTAAAAAGAATCTTAGATAGTGAAGGCATCACTGTGGATACTACATTCAGACTACTAAAAGTCAAGTGTGGAAATAAAGAAACCTGGTAGGCAGCTTGGCACTAATGCCTCACATCTGTAATCCCAGCTACTCAGGAGGCTGAAATCTAAGGACTGTGGTTCAAAGACAGCCTGGCAGACAAACCTGAGAGACTCTTATCTCTAACTAACAATATTAGCACAAAAAGAAAAGAGTCACAAAGCATTAACAGGGAGTGACTAAGTGGGCTCTAATGGCTCACACCTCTATTTTTAGTTACTCAGGAGGCTGAGATCCAGAGGACTGCAGTTCAAAGCCAGACAAGGTGGAAAAGTACTCAAAACCTCATCTCCAAAATAACCAGCAAAAAGTAAGACTGGACGCTTGGGCATCTGCTCAGAACATTACAAGTCAGGATATGGTAAAAAACTCGAATATCCATGTTAATTGCTGTGCTATTCACAATAGCCAAGCCATAGGATCAGCCTAGATGCCGCACAACAAATGAGTGGCTCAAGAAAACGTGGTATGTACACACGACGGAATTTGACTCATCCATTAGAAAGAATATGTCACTTGCAGGGAAATGACGGACCTAGAACAAATCATGTTAAGTGAGGTAGTTACAAGACAAAAGTTTTCTCATAGGAAGCTAGATCTAAAATACAACTGAACATGGTAACTTTTTTTGTTTTTTGTTTTTTTGGTTGGTCGTGGGGCTTGAACTCTGGGCTTGGGCGCTGTCCCTCAGCTCTTCAGCTCAAGGCGAGTGCTCTATCACTTGAGCCACAGCACCACTTCCTGAACATGATAACTTACACATGACTCTTGGCATTCATACACAGTGAGACTAAATAAAGGAGGACACTCTTAGGGGAAGAGCCCGAAGGCATAACTCCTCTGAAAAAAACTTTTCTTTTTTTGGGTCCGGTCGTGGGGCCTGAACTCTGGGCCTGGGTGCTGTCCCTCAGCTCTTCAGCTCAAGGCTAGTGCTCTACCACTTGAGCCACAGCACCACTTCCGGCTTTTTTCTTTTTGCTTATGTGGTACTGAGGAATCGAACCCAGGGCCTCAGGCATGCAAGGCAAGCGCTCTACCACTGAGCCACCTTCCCAGCCCCTCCTCTGAACATTTTAAATATCACTTATCAAAATGAGTTCCAGGAAAATGGAAACATGGCTTTTAGTCATTTTTGCTTTTTTAAAAATCTTTTTATGGGGGCGCAGAAATGGAAGGAGGAAGGATTGAACTAATGCAGTCATGGTATTCATGAAAATAAGCTATGCAACTTGTGGGCAGGGACAGGAGGAGGAAACTGAGAGAAAGTAAAGTAGTAACAATGTCCAAAAGAACTGCATTCATTACCTGACTTATGAAATGGTAACCTCTGTGTACAATATCTTAACAATAATAGTAAAATTATATGTTTAAAAAGTAGGGCTGGAGGCATGCTAAAGTGGTAGAATGCCTGCCTAGCAACCTTTGTGATCTTCTTCCTTTTTTTCTCTTCCAACTATGCAGAAACATCTAAGTGAAAACACTAAACAGCTCAAGAGAGATCCAGAATTTTTTTCTAGTGCTGGGATCAAACCCAGGGTCTTAGAACTTTACCACTAAGCTATGTCCCCAAACCCTCAGATTTTGAAAAATTACTTATGCTCAATGTAAATCCTTTTATATTGAAAAATAAAAGGAAATAAAATGTCATTGAGAATAATTCTAAATCAGTGCAGCCCATATTACCTCAACTTCTCCATGCCGTCTCTTTTCGAATGCCAGTCTTTCTTTTTCTGTCTTCTGTTCCCACTGTAGTTTTTCCAACTGTTGTGTCATTATAGCTACTTTCTTTCTTACTTGCTCCTTTAGTTCTTTGTAACAATCCAGCTGTATAAACAGCATTGAAACATTGCTAACTCACTTAAGCAGGATAAAATATTCTTTGAATGATATTCTGTACTAACAGATACTTATCAAAATCTTATTTTATATAAATGAGATCGTAAGTGCCATCTTCTCCAGGTGAAATACAAGGACATACTATGAAAGTCTTCATATTTTATATTTGTGTCAGTACTAGGGCTTGAACTCAGAGCCCGAGCACTGCCCTTTTTCTTTTTCTTTTGCTCAAGAATGGTGCTCCACCACTTGAGCCACAGCTTTACTTCTGAAAGCCTTTCTATTTAAAACTCCTTAGATAAAATATGAGATATTTAAAATAGACTCTATAACAGGGCCTCCATTAGAAAATCTTAAGAGGGAAAGGGGAAGCTCCAAGTGGTGGCCCACACCGGTAAATTCCAGTCCTTGGACGCTGAAGTAAAGGACTGCCGGTCTGAGGCCAGTCTGGATTACAGTGAGTTCAGTCAGCCAGGGTACATAGTTAGACCCTAACTCAGAAAAACAAAAAACAACTCAAACTTTAATGAGAGATGTTTGAAAACTCTCGGTTATCTATTTTTGGATATCTACTATTGATTATAACTAAAATTTGCACATGTTCTAAGCTGTATATTGACTCCTGTTTCTTCAATACTGTGTTTGAACTCAGGGCCTCACGCTTGCTGGAAAGTACTTCACCACTTCCATCAACACCTCTAACCCTTTATGCTTGGAGCTCCTTTTCAGATAAGGTCTCTCAGGACAGCCTCAGCCCAAGATCCTTCTACCTGTGCCTCTCACCTAAACTGGGATTACAGAGATGAATCAAATCACCACATCCACATTGAACTTTTTGCCAGGGCTGGCCTAGAATGGTGATCTTGCTCGCTCCCTCCCAAGCTCTGAGATTACAGATGTTCACTACTATGCTCAAACCCCATCACTCAACATCTTAAATCACTTTAAATAATCAGTTTCTCTACCAATTAAATGACTTTAAAGCCATATATATATGACTTTTAAGTTTTTTTGTTTTTTTTTTTGTCGGTCGTGGGACTTGAACTCTGGGCCTGGGCGCTGTCCCTCAGCTCTTCAGCTCAAGGCGAGCGCTCTACCACTTGAGCCACAGTGCCACTTCCGGTTTTCTGGTGGTTTATTGGAGATAGGAGTCTCATGGTCTCTCCTGCCCGGGCTGGCTTTGAACCGTGATCCTCAGATCTCAGCCTCCTGAGTAGCTAGGATTACAGGCATGAGCCACCAGCGCCCGGCGACTTTTAAGTTTTTATAGTATCATGAGAAAAGTTTCACCTTAAAAAATTACTTAAATACCTAAGTTATATTATAATGTTATACCAGGTAATACTGCTTTTAGAACTTGAACTCATAAATCTTATTATGTCACTTAATTATATAAAAATGGTTTAATCTAAACATTAAAGTTAGATTCTGTGTGTACATCAAAACAATCTTAATACCCATAATTTACATTCTGAGGATAATCTCCCAAAGTATCAGAGATACTTCATTTTTTTTCTAATTAAAAGCTACAAACAGTAGAAAATATTCCCCATCTTCTGCATTTTCACCTGACTAGCTTCCAGCTCAATGTCTTCTTTATGTAAGATTTTTTCTTCAACCTGCTTCTCAAAAAGTTTCCATGTGTTATCTAAATCAATCAGTTCTTTCTCCAGGACTCTTATGTCATCTTCTTGTTTAGAACATTGTTTGTCACCATCCTTTATTGTTTTCTTATATTCTTCCAATTTCTTGAGGTGGTGAGAAGTGTTTTCTTTAGCTTTAATATACTGAGGCCTCTTCACATTTAAAAGTGCGTCAATAGACCTAGAAAGGAAATAAAGCTTGCTTTAAAGAAAATTATTATTATTATTTTTTTTGTTGGTCATGGGGCTTGAACTCTAGGTCTGGGTGCTGTCCCTCAGCTCTTCAGCTCAAAGCTAGCACTCTACCACTTGAACCACAGCTCCACTTCTGGTTTTCTTGTGGTTTATTGGAGATGAGAGTTTCACGGACTTTCCTGCCCTGGCTGCCTTTGAACTGCAATCCTCAGATCTCAGCCTCCTGAGTAGCAAGGATTACAGGCGTGAGCCACCAGCACTTGGCTTGGGCCTGGCTGAAAATTAATTTCTTTATAAGGGAAGATCTTTTAATCAAATCACATCTCATACTAATTTCTATTTTTTTTTATACTAATTTCTAATAACTAGCTTTAAGAGGTGGTTAGGCAAGAGTTGGATAGCTGAAGCTTAGGGACATCTTTTTTTCCTGCAACTAAACTTACAAATTTGTCAAAACGGGTGATTGTTTAAAGCAAGAAAAATGAATGTAAGAAAATTTAAAAAATCGCAATGGAGGGTAAGGGACAGTAGATAGAAAGTGAAATATGCTGAAAGACTATTAAAAATATGTGAAACAACCTCATTAAAGGAGTAGAAGGAAAAAGTGCTGGCCAGGTAATTTTGAAATCCATGACTTTTAAAACAAGAATTATACATAAGCACTGTACTCTGGTTATAAAACTGCTCCCTGCAGGCGTGTGGCTTAATGCCCCATATGGTGTCTGGAACTGTTCTCACTGCTGGAAAGGGAAGTAACAGGAGGTAAGTAAAAAAGGACAGAGCACTCCATGTGGCATGGATAGCAGTGAGGAGAATTCAGTATAAATCACAATTATCTGAACACAGTCACAGATCGACACATACAGAAACGTAAGAATGCATATGGTAAAAATGTCTATGTACATGTTTTCTAATTCTGTCAGCTGAGACAATCTAATGGTGACAACCAGGATCAGTGAGTAAACCTAGCATGCAGGTATTGGTTCCTAATGTTCATTCCAGTAGAAGAAGCCAATATTCCTTGGAGAGATCCTAGACCTTGGGCAAGTTCATAAAACTGGACAGGCTAATGTTAAAACTTGCTCTTATAAGAGCATCTTTTAGTGTCAGAAATTAAGTAGAGGAAAAAAAAACTTCCACAGTAATGGTGATGTGACAAAGGGATATACTAAGCAAAGAACTCACTGGCCCCTGACCCAACCCGTCTAAGAAATAAAAATAAAAAGCGTAGAGTATAACCCAAATATAAAATACCTCTAATACAGACAACCGAATGAATACAAAACAGAAGACACAAATCCCCTACACAGAATTATAAACACATTACATAGATATTCTGCCCTAATGCCCACTCCTTGTGGTGTTGGTTCAATGACTTCCTTCCAAAGGTTATGCATTGAAAATGGGCAGGAAACCTGAACAACACTACCTTGATTAAGTGATAAAGGTTATGACAACAATAATATCATTGTTGACACAATGGGATGAGAATGGCATTTTACTTCTGTGATCTCTTTCCCCAAAACCTGTACCACCAGTGTGATGATGAGTACACCATTAGACAAAACCCAAATGAGACACATTCTACAAAAAAACCTGGACCAATAGTTCTCAAAGATGCCTATTTCATCAAACCAAGTCTGAGAAACTGTCTCCGTCCAGAAGGGCCCCACAGAGACAGACCAATGTCATGTGGCATTCCGGGTCAGAAAAGGACAGTAGCAAACACCAAGAAAATATGGACTGAGTGTGGGCTTTGATTAAAAGTGTATCCCTGGGCCCTGGTGACTCATGCCACCTAGCTGCTCAGAAGGCTGAGATCTGAGGAACATAGGTTGAAGCCAGCCTGGGCAGGGAAGTCTATGAGACTCTTATCTCCACTTAAACACCCTAAAAGCTAGAAGTAGAGCTGTGGTTCAAGTGGTAGAGTGGGTGCTAGCCTTGAACAAAGTAAGCTGAGGGATATGCCTTGAGGTTAAGCTCCAGGACCTGCTCACATATGTAAGAAGAAATCAATACTCGTTTATTAATTCTGAGAAATGTAGCAGGAGAAAAGGCATAAGGAATTTCAGAATACTGCACTAGTTTTACAATTTTTCTTATATCTAAAAAGTATTCCAAAATACAAAGTTTATTTTTAAAAAGTCAACTTTCAGTGTCTCGTGTCAATGCACGTAAGGCCCACTGTTAATGCTATCCTCACATCTCATTCAGTCCTTCACGTAAGGCCCAGTGTTAATGCTATCTTCACATCTCACTCAGTCCTTCACGTAAGGCCCACTGTTAATGCTATCCTCACATCTCACTCAGTCCTTCACGTAAGGCCCAGTGTTGATGCTATCCTCACATCTCACTCAGTCCTTCACGTAAGGCCCAGTGTTGATGCTATCCTCACATCTCACTCAGTCCTTCACGTAAGGCCCAGTGTTGATGCTATCCTCACATCTCACTCAGTCCTTCACGTAAGGCCCAGTGTTGATGCTATCCTCACATCTCACTCAGTCCTTCACGTAAGGCCCAGTGTTGATGCTATCCTCACATCTCACTCAGTCCTTCACGTAAGGCCCAGTGTTGATGCTATCCTCACATCTCACTCAGTCCTTCACGTAAGGCCCAGTGTTGATGCTATCCTCACATCTCACTCAGTCCTTCACGTAAGGCCCAGTGTTGATGCTATCCTCACATCTCACTCAGTCCTTCACGTAAGGCCCAGTGTTGATGCTATCCTCACATCGCACTCAGTCCTTCACGTAAGGCCCAGTGTTAATGCTATCCTCACATCTCACTCAGTCCTTCACGTAGTGTTAATGCTATCCTCACATCTCACTCAGTCCTTCACACAAGGCCCAGTGTTAATGCTATCCTCACATCTCACTCAGTCCTTCACGCAAGGCCCAGTGTTAATGCTATCCTCACATCTCACTCAGTCCTTCACGTAAGGCCCAGTGTTGATGCTATCCTCACATCGCACTCAGTCCTTCACGTAAGGCCCAGTGTTGATGCTATCCTCACATCGCACTCAGTCCTTCACGTAAGGCCCAGTGTTGATGCTATCCTCACATCGCACTCAGTCCTTCACGTAAGGCCCAGTGTTGATGCTATCCTCACATCGCACTCAGTCCTTCACGTAAGGCCCAGTGTTGATGCTATCCTCACATCTCACTCAGTCCTTCACGTAAGGCCCAGTGTTGATGCTATCCTCACATCTCACTCAGTCCTTCACGTAAGGCCCAGTGTTGATGCTATCCTCACATCTCACTCAGTCCTTCACGTAGTGTTAATGCTATCCTCACATCTCACTCAGTCCTTCACACAAGGCCCAGTGTTAATGCTATCCTCACATCTCACTCAGTCCTTCACGCAAGGCCCAGTGTTAATGCTATCCTCACATCTCACTCAGTCCTTCACGCAAGGCCCAGTGTTAATGCTATCCTCACATCTCACTCAGTCCTTCACGCAAGGCCCAGTGTTGATGCTATCTTCACAACTCACTTCAGTCCTTCACGTAGTGTTGATGCTATCCTCACATCTCACTCAGTCCTTCACGCAAGGCCCAGTGTTGATGCTATCCTCACATCTCACTCAGTCCTTCACGCAAGGCCCAGTGTTGATGCTATCCTCACATCGCACTCAGTCCTTCACGTAAGGCCCAGTGTTGATGCTATCCTCACATCTCACTCAGTCCTTCACGTAGTGTTAATGCTATCCTCACATCTCACTCAGTCCTTCACACAAGGCCCAGTGTTGATGCTATCCTCACATCTCACTCAGTCCTTCACGCAAGGCCCAGTGTTGATGCTATCCTCACATCTCACTCAGTCCTTCACGCAAGGCCCAGTGTTGATGCTATCCTCACATCGCACTCAGTCCTTCACGCAAGGCCCAGTGTTGATGCTATCTTCACAACTCACTCAGTCCTTCACGTAGTGTTAATGCTATCCTCACATCTCACTCAGTCCTTCACGTAAGGCCCAGTGTTAATGCTATCCTCACATCTCACTCAGTCCTTCACGCAAGGCCCAGTGTTGATGCTATCCTCACATCTCACTCAGTCCTTCACGCAAGGCCCAGTGTTGATGCTATCCTCACATCTCACTCAGTCCTTCACGTAAGGCCCAGTGTTGATGCTATCCTCACATCTCACTCAGTCCTTCACGTAAGGCCCAGTGTTAATGCTATCCTCACATCTCACTCAGTCCTTCACGTAAGGCCCAGTGTTGATGCTATCCTCACATCGCACTCAGTCCTTCACGTAAGGCCCAGTGTTGATGCTATCCTCACATCTCACTCAGTCCTTCACGTAAGGCCCAGTGTTGATGCTATCCTCACATCGCACTCAGTCCTTCACGCAAGGCCCAGTGTTGATGCTATCTTCACAACTCACTCAGTCCTTCACGTAGTGTTAATGCTATCCTCACATCTCACTCAGTCCTTCACGTAAGGCCCAGTGTTGATGCTATCCTCACAACTCACTTCAGTCCTCTCTCTGTTTGTTGCAGTTGTCTTGACAGCACTCCATGCTCCTTTTTCTTGGCTTTCATTATGTTCTCATGATGATCAAAGGACTCTTTTGTAACACTCAAGTCCCTATTCACACGCTCTAACTCGGTGCTCAGATAATCAATTTTTTTCCCATTGTAGTACAGTTGGAAAAGCTGCAGCTCTATCTTGTGTGCTTTTAGTTCTTCAAGGAGACTCTGGTAGCGTTCTGCCTATGAAATAGTACAATTCAACACAAGTTAACAAGGTATCCATTTCAGCTGACCTTTACCACACATTGATTACTAATGAGTTTTTGTATGTGTTATTAAAAATGATATTTTCCCCCAAATAGCATTTGGAGGTTTCCAGATAGACCAAAATAAGACAGTAACTAGTAAATGACTTGTATTCACTCACTCAGTGACATAGTGGTTAAAAGGGTGTCACCTGGGGCCTCATCCATTTCCATCTTGACCAGCGAATTTGGCAATCCACTGACATTGTACAAGCTTTGTCATTTGTAAACTTAAAGAAGACTCTTTTATAAGTATAAGACTCCTAACAACTTTAAATTCAACGACTACAGATAAAATACTGGCTATAGCTAATCATTTTATTTGTGCTATGAATAAAGAAATAGCAGGCCAGGTACCAGTGGCTCACACCTATAATCCTAGCTACTCAGGAGACTGAGATCTGAGGATCATGGTTTAAAGCCAGCCCAGGCAGGAAAGTCCGTGAGATTCCAGAAAACGGAAAGTGGTACTGAGGCTCAATTGGTAGAGCAGTAGCCTTGAGCTGAAGAGTTCAGGGACAGCTCCCAGGCCCAGAGTTCAAGCACTACAACTGCCCCCCCCCCCAAAAAAAAAGCTGAAGTAAAGCTATGGCTCAAGTGGTAGAATACCAGCCCTTGAGCAAAAGAAGCTCAGGGACAGTGCCTGGGCCATGAGTTCAAGCCCCAGGACCATCACAGAAAAAGAAAAAAGAAAAGACAGAAAGAACAGAAAGGGCCACTCAGGTAGAGGTGTTTCAGGTAACCTGCAAGCAGCCATCTGCCAAGGGTGCTCTAAAAAGTCCTGAGGAAGCTGGATTACACTAATTATAGGTTTAAAGTTCTACAACCTCATATGATGTTCTCAGTACACTGGAAATATTACAGTCTGATCCTCACTGCCCCCCCACTTCCAATAACAAAACCAGGAACATAGATAAAAAGCAACAGTCCTATTACCAATAACACATTCATTTTTTTCTTCAAATATTTACTGAGTGTCTACTACGTGTCAGGCCATGGTCTATGTACTGGAATTTGGTAAAGAGTAAGACAGACTCATCCCAACTCTTTTACGTTTTCTTTTTTTATTGGTTGTGGGGCTTTAGCTCTAGGCTGTCTCTGCGCTCTTCAGCTCAAGGCACGCACTCTACTGCTTGAGCCACAGCGCCACTTCGGGTTTTCTAGTGGTTTATTGGAGATAAGAGTCTCATGGACTTTCCTGCCTGGGCTGGCTTTGAACCGTGATCCTCAGATCTCAGCCTCCTGAGTAGCTAGGATGACAGGCAGGAGCTACCAGTGCCTGGCTCATCCAAACTCTTTATAAAGTTTATATTCCAGTTACTGGAGCAAAGAGAAACCAGTGAATAATAAACATCAAACGCCATTAAATGGAATACAGTATGTGGTAGTACAAGGCAGAAGGTGTTCATTTAGATGGGAGTGTGGCTAGCAAATGCCTACCGAGGAAACGGCTGTGAAAACCCAAATGAGTATCAGCTGTGTGAAAATCAGAAGTGTTTATGAGAATCTAGCAATCTTCTCTAAGCCAGACTTTGGAAGATTATTAAAAATACAAAGCAAAGCAGGATGCTGGTGGTTCACACCTGTAATTCTAAATATATGTGAATATCTTTCTCATTAATTTTAAAGAATGAAAATAAATTAGCATGTTCATATATGTAATAGTTTGCTATTTTCACATGGTCCATTAAAACATTTATTCAGGGGAGGGGCTGTGAGGGAATATGGAGGATGAAAGGGGTGATATTGATCAAGATGCACTGTATTCACAAACTGCTTTGCTGAATGACAACTCCTTTCCTCAACCACTTAAAGATAATAAATAAAATTAATATAAATATAATCATTTGGTGCTGGTACTGGGGCTTGAACTCAGGGCCTCCCCCTTGCTCTTGGTTTCTTATAGCACTCTACCACTTGAGCCACACCTCCACTTCTGGCTTTTTGCTGGTAACTGCCTAGGCTGTCTTTGAACCATGACCCTCAGGACCTTAGCCTTCTGAGTAGCTAGGATTATAGTCATGAGCCATCAGAATCCAGCTAAAACACACACACACACACACACACACACACACACACACACGCACACACTTATTTTTCTTTTTTTTGCCAGTCCTGGGGCTTGAATTCAGGGCCTGGGTACTATCCCTGAGCTTCTTTTTGCTCAAGGCTGGCACTCTAACACTTGAGCCCCAGTGCCACTTCCAGTCTTTTCTATTATGTGGTACTGAGGAATTGAACCCAGAGGTTCATGTATTCTAGGCAAGCACTCTACCACTAAGCCACATTCCTAGACCTAAATGTATTTTTTAAATGTGAATTAAAACTCTAACACAACAAGTATTGGTAATTGTAATCCACATGAACAAAACATCTCTGGGGTATTTGATAATTTGTATGTATGCCAGTGTTGGGACTTCAACTCCTGCTTAGCTTCCCCTGTCACGCCCTTAAGGATGGCACTCTACCATTTGAGCCACATCTTCATTATGACTTTTTTTGCTGGTTTAATTGGAGATAAAAATTTCACATACTAAGCCAGGCGCAGGTGTCACACCTGTAATCCTAGCTACTCAGGAGGCTGAGATCTGAGGATCAAGGTTCAAAGCCAGCCCGGGCAGGAAAGTCTGTGAAACTCTTATCTCCAATAAACCACTAGAAAACTGGAAGTGGTGCTGTAGCTAAAGTGGCAGAGCGCTCTCCTTGAGCTGAAGAGCTGAGGGACAGAGCTCAGGCCCAGAGTTCAAGCCCCACGACTGACCAAAAAAAAAAAAATCTATTTTTCTACCCAGGTTGGCTTCACACTGTGTTCCTCAGATCTCAGTGTCCTGAGGAATTTGGATTACAGCTGTGCACCATGCCAGCCCCTCCAACTCTGATTTTTAAATGAATTCAAGATACAAATGCTTGAGTGTATTTGCTGTGTAATGCTAGTCATCTGATCTGGGAAGAAAAGCTCAAATGGTAGAAGATAAATCAACAGGCTTATTGTTGCCAGGTGCTTGTAGTCTGGTGTAAGCCTAGCTTACTGGAGACCGAGAGCTGGAGGATCATGGCCCAAAGCAGCAGCCCAGGTAGAACCGTCTGACAGATTATATCTCCAAAGTAACCAGCACAAAAGCAGGACTGGAAGTACAGTTTAAGTTGTAAGGTGCTAGCTAAGCAATGGCTAGATCTTGAGTTCAAACCCAATTAACATCCCTCCCAAATAAAAGATTATCTTTAAGGAATATCTTGTTTTTTTTTTTTAAGTGAATCTTTGGTAGCTTGAAGGAAGTATCTAGTAATTTTAAGAGATGGCTTAGCCGGGCGCTGATGGCTCACGCCTGTAATCCTAACTACTCAGGAGGCTGAGATCTGAGGATCGCGGTTCAAAGCCAGCCCGGGGAAGGGGAGACGGTGAGACTCCTATCTCCAATAAACCACCAGAAAACCGGAAGTGGCGCTGTAGCTCAAGTGATAGAGTGCTCGCCTTGAGCTGAAGAGCTGAGGAACAGCACCCAGGCCCAGAGTTCAAGCCCCACGACTGACAAAAAAAAAGAGATGGCTTTTGTGTCTAATACTTACTGGCTACCTCTTTGGGATACTTTACCTCATCTTTCTCTAATTTTGCCTGCTTACGCTCTGCAGCCACACTTTTTTTCTTATTAAAATTAAACTGTGCATCTTCTTCAGCTTTTAGTAACTTCTTTTTCTTTTCCTCATATTCGCCTATCAGTTCTCCTGAAGTGCTGATTTCCTCAAAAAACTGAGTTCTTTCTTTGGGTTTTTTCATGGAAATCAACTCTACAGTTCCCTATTAAAAACAGTAAAGCACAGGAACATGTAAAACACAGTGTGTTGCTCAAAACCATGAATTAAACTGCTACAGTGACTTACCTGAAAAACTAAACAGTTCTGTGCTTTGACTATTATACCTATCTTTTCCAGCTCTGCGACGTAAGCAGAACGACTCACAAGATTATCATTAAAATAAAATTCTGAGCATCCTCCTGAAATTAAAAAAATAAAGACTGTTATAGAATATTTTCTTATTGCAATATCCAGCTATGCAACGATGTGATTAATAAATGTTTAATCAATCAACAAAAGCACCAAGAGCATATTGTATGCCAAAGACTATTTTTGTGGTAGTTTAACAAACGAAAACTCTCTCATCTCAAAGAGCTTATAAATGAACATGACATATACAAGTAAAATTAAGCATGGGAGAAAGCAATGTGCTAAAGAGTAAACAAACAAGCTGAAGTCAGGTGCTGGTGGCTCATGCCTGTAATCCTAGCTACTCAGGAGGCTGAGATTTGAGGATCTAGGATCAAAGCCAGTCCAGGCAGGGAAGTCCATGAGACTCTTATCTCCAGTTAACAAAAATCCAGGGGTAAAGGTATGGCTTAAGTGGTAGAGCACCAGCCTTGAGTGAAAAAGCCAAGTGCACAAGGCCCCCAGTTTAAGCCTCAGTACTGGCGAGTGTATGCACACGTGCACACACACACACACACACACACACAGCTGGAAAGGAGAATGAGAGTGTCTACATGGCAAGGGGAGGCATGATGAATTTAAACAGGGTACTCAAGAGAATTCTTACTGAGATGGGTTCTTCTGAGTTACAAATCTACAGGCTGGGTGCCGTGGCGCAGTGTAGGCCCAACTCCTTGTGAGGCCGAGACCAGTGTGTCACTAGGGCTCAGGGGCTGGAGGGCCAGCCTGAGCCAGGCAGGGGACTGCACCTCAAAACACAAACAAGAACTTCCCCAAAGAGAGAAAATTACCAGTGAGTAGGCATGGATGGTAACATGGTAAAGTACTTAAGTTACAGATTATGATACAAGTAAGTATATAGTATTTTTCTTTTCTTTCCTTTGGCAGTACTGGGACTTAAACTTAGGGTCTCACATTTGCTTAGCTGGAACTCTACCACCTGACCATGCCTCCAGCCTGGCTCTTTGCTGGTTATTTTGAAGATGGTATTTTGTAGAGCTGTCTGTTCATACCAGCTTCAAGCCACAATCCTCTAGGTCTCATCCTCCTGGGTAGGATTATAAGCATGAGCCACCAGCATTCCACTAATAAGAAGTATTTCTAAAACTACCCAGGACTGATTTTGGGGAAGTTAATTCAACAGCATTTGTACATTAGAAATGTTCTCTTAGAGTAGAATGAAAACAAAAACTAAAAACAATAAAGCACACATCTATTTTTAGAAGTCCTATAAAATCTTAGCATAGAATACAAATGTTATTCTCAATTTTGTTTATTCTGGAAACATTGGAAATTCATGAATAAAAATACAATTTAAAGGCTGGGCACTGATAGCTCATGCCTGTAATCCTAGCTAATCAGGAGGCTGAGATCTGAGGATCAGGGTTCAAAGCCAGCCCAGGCAGGAAAGTCCGTGAGACTCTTATCTCCAATAAACCACTAGAAAACTGGAAGTGGCACTGTGGTTCAAACAGTAGAGCGCTCGCCTTAAGATGAAGAGCGCAAGGACAGCGCCCAAGCTCAGAGTTCAAGCTCCACGACCGACAAAAAGAAAGAAAGAAAGAAAGAAGTACAATTGAAAACATTTCACTCAAATTGTTTCTTGATGGTAGAGAAAAAAACATGTAAACCAGAAATATGTACACAATTAGTTCAACACTGAAAAAAAAAAAGATAACCTCAGGAAGAACTTTCATGACTTCTCTTACAGATGGATTTCCTTTTTCATTCTAACTGAATAACCAGGTACAAAAATGCTATCTGAGCCAGGTGCTGATAGCTCATGCCTCTGTAATCCTAGCTACTCAGTAGGCTGGGATCAGAGGATCATGGTTCAAAGCCAGCTGGGCAGGAAAGTCTGTGATTCTCTCTCCAGCCCAGGAACTGGTGGCTCACATCTATAATTCTAGCCACTTAGAGGAGATTGAGATCTGAGGATCAAAGTTCAAAGCCAGGTCAAACAGTTAAGTCTGTGAGACTCTTATCTCCAATTAACCCCCAGAAAATGGAAAGTGGAGCTGTGGATTAAAGTGATAGAGTGCTAGCCCAAGCCCCATGACCAATCAGAAGAGAAAAGAAAAACACTGGCAAGTGGAACTGTGGGTCAAGTAGTAGAATGCTAGCCTTGAGCAAAAAAGCTCAGGGACAGTGCCCCTGCTCTGAGTTCAAGCCACAAGACTGGCACACATACACACACACACACAACAACAACACAACAAAAACAACCAAACAAAAAACTTCCTGAACAAACGCGTGTTTTAATTAGTCTTAGTGAATAGATTGGCATTTGCTTCTGAGAATAAACATATCCACTCACTATGCTGATAAAACAGTTATCTTCCCCACCCCCACAAAAAGTAGGCAATTAAATGACTCATGATAGCAATTACCTTGAATAATCCTTGAGAATTTCTTCTCTTCTCCATCTTCCTCTACATATACAATTTGTACACTTGCAAAGGAAGAAACAGGTTTTCCAATGTGTGCTCCATGAATAAGTTCCTGAATACTTTTCACTCTTAAATTAACTATTTTCTCTCCCATTACAAAACTAAGTGCATCCATTACATTTGATTTTCCTGGTGAGGAAAGGAGAAAAACATTCATAAAAAGCCATGCCTGGCGCTCAAAATCAGGCCACCAGTCATCTAATCATCCTGCTGGTCAATGTTCAAAATGTGTAACTAACAAATTCTGGTGGACCACTGGTCTCTTCTCTGCAGTTATGGCTTGATGCAATAGAGGTCTAAATTTAAGAATCAGACACAGGGATCTAAATTCAAGCTCTCCCATTATTCTAGAGTAAATTATATACCAGACAAATCACTTCTCTACATTTCAGTGATTCCCTTTCCAAGTATGGGATTTGCAAGTATTACCTAAGGAGTTAATGTGGCACCAGACCTTCACATACCCAAGGATACAAGATTAGGCTAAGATTGCCAGAATCGTCATAGTTGGGGTGGGATGGTGTTAGGAAACTCATACAGCAGACCTGGGACTGTGTGCAAGCTCAGCTGGCTTTGGGCATTTAGATTTGGAGTTATGTGTCTAGTTTCCTGGTAAGGGCCCAAAAAATAACTTAGGCTGAACATCTAGTTTCATTCCAGGCATGTGGAATCTTGGCATAGGCAAGGCAGTGGGTGTGCTCATCTCCCAGTAAAAACCCCGGGCACTGAATCTTTAGTAGACAACAGTTGAATATATTATGCTTGGTTTTCTCAGACTTGGCCCCAAGTACTCTTTCTCTTTGTACCTTGTCATTGTTAATTATCCTGTTTACAATTATGTGCTGAGACCTGCAAATTCTCCCAGCCAATCTCTAAACCAAAGGGTAGCCTCAGGGATTCTCCACTCCCATGGCAGACCTGTTGTCCAATCATGAGCCTGTGATTTGCTCTATAACAATACAGATATTCTACAAGTAAATTTGAATTTTTAGCATCTGGGAGAAGCAACACAAAGAGAAAGGAAGGCTGTCAGCCACTAGAAATATGGCCTAAAGGGTTAGGATCGTTTTTTAAAGAACCAGAACTGTTTAAAATGGTGCTAATTCATTTGGCTGAGCTGCAGTTAGACATTAGAAATACATTTTGGGTTGTATACTGATAGTCTACACATTGAGAGTCGCTATATGTATATATAGGATAAACACTCATGGAATTAAAGTATTACATTTGATAATGACAAAGCAACAACAGAAGCTTTTTTTGTTCAACCTTTATTTAAAATCTACTTAAAAACCACTACTTTCCCAACAAACTCAATTAATGTTGCCTTTCACTAAAAATTTGTTTTATTAAGACAGACAATAAGCAAAAAAAGGGGGCTGGGAAGGTGGCTCAGTGGTAGAGCGCTTGCCTTGCATGCATGAGGCCCTGGGTTTGATTCCTCAGCACCACATAAGCAAAAAGAAAAAAGCCGGAAGTGGCGCTGTGGCTCAAGTGGTAGAGCGCTAGCCTTGAGCTGAAGTGCTGAGGGACAGCGCCCAGGCCCAGAGTTCAGGACCCACGACGGGACACCCCCCCTCCCCCCCAAAAAAAGCAAAAAAAGGCAACTGCATATGGTAATGAACGTCAAGAAGAGATCAAGTGGGTGATAAAAAGGAGGGTAATTTGGGAGGAACTTCAGATAGGACTAGAGAATACTGAGTGCTGACTGCGAGGTAGTGTTAGCATAACAACCAACTGTTGAAAAAAATGAGCGAAACAAATCAAGTTCTATAGTAGACTGGGGGCCTTTGCTGTAATTAAAAAGCAACATCAGAGAAACGATTCTAGGAGTTATGTTGTGTGTGTGTGTGTCCTGGGGCTTGAATTCAGGGCATAGATGCTGTACCTGAGCTTTTTTGCTCAAGCCATTCTTGAGCCACATCTTCACTTTCATCTCTTTAGTGGCTGATTGGAGGAAAGAGTCTCCTAAAACTTTCCTGTCTGGGCTGGATATGAACCATGATTCTCAGATCTCAAACTCCTGAGTAGCTAGGATTACAGGCATTGAGCCACCAGCACCTGGCAAGTTATATTTTAGGTCACTATCACTTGCTAAAGATGGACTAAGTAGTCAAAGATGTAAAAATTGGGTGTGGCTCAAGTGGTAGAGTACCTGACTAGTAAGCATGACACTGAGTGGAAAACCCATTACTGCAAAAAAATAAAAATGATGAAAATTACATTTGTTTTCAAAGTCCCTTTTGATTCCTACACCACAAACTGTACTTCCTTCCTCTACTACAGGGGTGAAGAACATTCGGCCCCTTGTAATCATTTGGTCTGGCTAGGCCATGGCAATCACAGGTACGACTCAAAATTTATAAGACTTAGAGAATTTTTCATATCAACCAACAAAATGTTAAGTGAATCGTAATATAAAATTTGAGGGACAAACAAGGAAATCCATTAGGGCATGAAGAACACATATATGAGTACATATGAGAACAGACACATATGCTTTTATTAGCTGCCTGTAGCCCATCTGCCCATACTGACTCAGAAGACAGTAAGTGCCAGGCAGGCTGGGAGTCTAGATGTTGGGAAAGCATAAACACATTGTGGCCAAACTACAACGGTCTGGTGATGAGATGAAGGTGTGTCGGGCTCCTCACACGATGACTTGACTTCCGATGACTGACCACAATGCTGTCGACTCCTCTGTTGGGACGGAGAACTCCAATTCAACCTCTATCCACAGAGGTCATGATCAATAATCCTTGAAAAATGAATCCCAGATGAAGAGCAAGGAAATTATAGCACACTGAAAAGATTTCAGGGGGGGCTGGGAAGGTGGCTCAATGGTAGAGCGCTTGCCTTGCATGCATGAGGCCCTGGGTTCTATTCCTCAGCACCACATAAGCAAAAAGAAAAAAGCAAGAAGTGGTGCTGTGGCTCAAGTGGTAGAGCGCTAACCTTGAGCTGAAGAGCTGAGGGACAGCGCCCAGGCACAGAGTTCAGGTCCCATAACCGGACCCCCCCCAACAAAGAAAGATTTCAGGCTGGGAAGGTAGCTTAGTAGTAAACTGCTTGCCTAGCATGCATGAAGCCCTGGGTTCGATTCCTCAGTAGCACATACACAGAAAACACTGGAAGTGGCACTGTGGCTCAAGTGATAAGAGTTCTATCCTTGAGCAAAAGAGGCTCAGGGGTAGTGGACAGGCCCTGAGTTCAAGCCTCAGGCCTGGCAAAAAAATTCAGAAGTCGATGATAAACATTGGATATGTTCTAAATCCAAGAAACAAGATTTGAAACATAATCAAAGAAAAATAATTGTGATGCTGGTGACATACACTGGATAGTTGATCAGACTTAAGTAGTATGACATCTTACAAATGACTACAAAGGAAAGTTGATTCAGAGTATGCATCTTTCCAAGAAAAATGGACAAATGGTCTTTTCTCTGAGGAAGTTAAAGGCAAACCTGTGTGACTCACTTGTGGTAGTGTTTGCAGCAGCAAAAAAAGCCCAACTCAAGTATTACAGTTCAAAACAGCCCAAACTCAATGCACTGGGAGGTCAAGTAAATTTGGATAAAATCAGTGTTCTTCTATGAAGTTTGGAATCATGGGATGAGTTCTCTAGGCTTGTGAAAAAACAGTATTACTCAGATGAATCATGTAGTAAGTGAGCTAATCACAAGGAAGCTGGGCCTCGAGTAGAGTGAGTTTGTAAGAGTACCTGCTGCAGAACTGTTAGCACAAAAGTAAAATGGTTTCAGTTAGAGAACCATCTCAGATCAGATTACTGACCTACCACATGATACTGAAACACTGCAGGATGATGCAGATCTCCAATTTTTCTGACTTGTGATGAGATAGCAGATATCACAAATACCATCCAACTGGCCATTTTCATCCATGGGGTAACTGCAGAGTTTGAGATGCTGTAAACCATGCATGGCACTACAAGGTGAGGTCTTGGAGAGACTTGTTTTATCAATAAAAAAAAAACTTGAGTTGTCATTTGAAAAATTAAGTGGTGTTACTACAGATGGAACTTCTAATTGCTCGCTGGGCACTAGGGGCTCATACTTGTAATCCTAGCTACTCAGGAAGCTGAGAGCTGAGGATTGTTTGAAGCCAGTAGGCATATACAAATCCAAGAGATTATCTCCAATTTACCAGTAAAAAGCTGGAAGTGGAGGTATGAATCAAATGGTAGAGTGCCAGCTAACAACAAAAAAGGCAAAAGAATGTGAGGGCTTCTTTTCCAGCATTGCCAACAAAAAGGGGTTTATTCATCTGTGAGGAGACAACTGAATTGTCTGTCTTGATACAAGTGATTTAATGATATGCCACCACTGCACCATACTCCAAGAAGGTCCTGTGCATAGTCACTGTTGCTCAACAATGTGATATCAATGACGGTATCATATACAAGCATTGTCAAGAGTAGAGTTTAACAGCAGCCAGACTGCCAGTTTAAGGAGTTACTGATCTGGGCTCTAAGTATGGTGATCTTGTTCATCATTCTGAAATGTTATGGCTGAGAGGCAGGAACATGTTCATGAGGTTTCCCAAACTCCAGGATGAAATCAAGCAGTTCATGAGGATGAAGGGAAAACCTGTCAAATAACAATTGGCTGTGTGATCTAGCATTTACAGTGGACAATACCGTAATGTCAAGTAGCAGGGTCCCAACCAGCTTCTCAGCTCCCTGCTTTCAAACATGAAATCATCTGAAGCTACATTGAGGCTCGGAAAGTGCAACTGGAAAGGAATAACACAGAACATTCCCCCACATTTGAATATGACAGTGAATGTGTGAAACTAATGTGACCTTTAAAAGTTATGTTATCAAACATAAGCTCCACCATAAGTTGTGGAACTAGTTGATGTGTCTGATAACCCACAATATGACATCACTTAGCTACCAACTGATGATGAGCTGAATGCCAGGTGCAACAACCCTCACCATGCTGCTAGTTCTTATGTTATAAAGCAATGATGCATTTCCTACTTTGAAGAAGTAGGAATATACATCCATGTTGGGAACAATTTACTATCCCAAAGTTTCCAAAACCTATCATTGCAAAGATTTGACTGACCAACACAAACCTGGAAAAGCAGTGTGAGGGTCAAAATCAC